TCCATTCCTCGGATAAAAAATCATCTTAATCTTGTTCATCTCAGATTTCAATTTAAATTGTTATTCAGATTATCGAGCTTCCTAAATCATGACAAGATGATTACAATAAACTTGATGATGATGGACAATCAACTGATTCAGATTAACCTATGAAAAAAAAAGCTTTTATCTAACAATGAATAAGATTAATGAAGTTACTATTTATAACTTAACTTTCACTTTTAACAATCAAATTTTTATATAAATTGTATTGAATTAACTTGAATGATGATGATGATGATGATGATGATAACTATTGAATAAATTTCATCTTAAATCACTAACAATCAACTTAAATGATTAGCATCTTCTTGGAGCTACTATTTTTCCCGGAGTAACAATTTATCACGAAGCAATTTGATACCATGATGTTGATTAACTTTGATTTTAGTAATCAAATTGTGTGAATCAAATGAAAAAAAAAAGAAACGATAATTTTTATTTTCTATTATCAAGTTAATTGTGAACAGAATTAAAAACTGATAAATTAACTCAAGATTCATCTTAGTGATTAACAATTAAAAGGTTTCCCTTTTTGATCATCACGTTAATTATGATGATGATGATGATGATGAGTAAAAAAAAGTAAACATGAAAAATGACCAAGCAATTAATTAAATTGTTGGTTAATTAACTGGTTACTCTTGGATTGTAGAGTTAAATTACCAAAATGATTTAGTAATCAGTTGGGTATTTATGTTTACAATGGTAATGATTAATGTCTATTCATGTCTGTTCATTTGTACAATTAACCCTGAGGCGGTTAATCCAGTTAATCAATTGAAATTATCTGTTGTAAACATATAGCAAAATATTATCATCATTAATTTAAATCTCAAACTGTTTTGTTAACCAGTTTGTTGATTAACTTTGGTTATATAAATTAAATCAGTAGACATGAAGTTGTCATGAAAAAACATGATTAACACTTGTATATATCTTAATCATCACAATCAAGAATCATAATTAACCATATCCAATGGATTAGCTTTATATTGACCTAAGGTCATTGTCACATTGACTGGATTATTACAATTGATTTGATGAAACAATCAAAGTTGATCAGTTTTGGTTTTGTTTTTTTGATTGCTGAAAGTTAATTGTTGATTGACCAGGAAGCGATATGATGATTTATCCCAAAGGATTAATCATAATAATAAACAACGGGTTTCCAGTTAATCAATGGGGCTTTGATTGTGTTAAATTGTTGGGGGACTACAATCAAAATAGATTAACAATTGAGTGGGTGAAATGATTAGTATTAAAATCCGGAAGGGATTGATGATTAAACTAAATTGTTGGTAATCAATTGATGAGAAAGCGATTAATAGCCTATGTTATTTAGTTAATGATGTTAATCATGATTAAGAAAAACTTTTTCCAACTATTAATTTAAATCACGATGATGAACAATTTGTTGTTCATAAGAGAGATGATTAAAATTTACTTTGTATAATTAACGGTAATTATTAAGTTTATCATTTGTAATCATGATTAAATAATCAATCTTATATTTGATTAACTATCATTATTTAGTTGACCAAATAATTGATTATTAATAAATCATCATGTTAATTGTGATGGTTTAATTTTACTCTTAAATCAAATATTTTATTTCCGCAATTTGATTCCAGAATTAAATATTATCATATAATCGTCCAATAATTTAATTGTTACTCTAATCAAATTAGTAAATGAGTGACTTGAAAAAAAAGGAGAGTGAATGAAAAAAAAGATGATAATTAGTTTAATTGTGAATAAATAGGAAAAATGTTAAATTGTAATGATTAAGCAACAATTTGCATGTTCAGTTAATTTAATGGAAAATATTTTTAATCATTGAGATTGTGATTAAATACAAAGAATCAAAAACATTTATTATTCCCATGAATTTAATGATCAACGATGATTAAGTTGATTAACTGATATAATAAGACATGAATCAATGTTAATTATCTGTTAATCCTGTTAATTTTAATTCTAGAATTTAAATTGTGATTCCATTGATACATAATTGTGATCATCGTAAAGTTGATGATGATTAAGATGATGATTAAGGAGGAAGTTTGAAATTATGAGGGAAATCAAGGTGAGGTTGGAATGAGAGATTAAGATGATGATCAAGATGAAGATGAAGATGATGAGGGAGAAAGTGAAAGGTAAAAGGATGAAGATGAAGATGAAGATGAAGATGATGATGATGGTGATCAAATGAAAGTAACTATTAAAGGCCAAGAACCTTGATTACTTTGGATTTAAATTGTTGATGATCAAGTTTTTTTCTGTTCAATTTAATGTTGAATGTCTTGTTAATCAACTTTTACTTTTGATCAAATTAATGATCATCATTAAGAGGATTAAATCCTGAAGATATTTATTTATGAATCGGAGACAATTAAGAAATGATAATGAATGAACAATCAACGGACTGGTTAATTGTTGTTGCCCTTTGATCACTTGATTGGTTGAAATTTGTTAAATTATCTCTTGAATATTGTTACTATTAAATCATAAACCTACAATTAGTTAAATGAAAAGTAATCAAAGGTTGAGATTTATATAATACTAATCATGATTATAATTGTTATGTTGGTGGACCTTGATTGTTATCATCATGTTAATCCAGTTTAACGGAAAAATTAACCACAACAATTAAATGTTTTATGAATGGATAATGATTATTACACATTTTTAATCATTATCCAAATACAATCAATTTAATTGTTGTTGTTATATTGGTAATAACCAAAAAAGAAATGGTTTCAACTTGATTGATTAACTAATTGTTGTTTATCAACAGGTCATCTTATATCATTGATTAACCAATAATCAACCTTATTTGGATTTGTTGATAATAATATACAATTAATTCAATCACCATATAGTATTAATTGTTGAAGGTTACATCATCGTAATGATTTAATCAAGTATATTTTGTGTGCTTCATTCATGACAGTTGATTAAATTGATTACAATTAACCAATTGCCAAAAACAAACTTAATCATCATCCAATGTTCTCGATCAAAGTTTAATCATTTAAAGAAAACAAAGAAAAGGTAAAATAATCAATTTAAATTGTAACAATTAACAGTCAAATTATTTACATCACCCGCTTAATTTTACTTACAATCAGTTAATTATGAATACTGATCATATTAATCTGATTGATTAACTGGTTGTAATCATTAAGTAACGGTCAAGGTTTCATTGACTAATAATTTCCGGTGGATTTTACAATTAGTTAATTGTAAGAGGAAAAATGATTAGCAAATCAAGTAATCAACCAATTAAAAAGTTCATTTAACTTTAATTGAAACATTAATTCAACTGAGGTGGTCTTTTAATCAACAATTTATCTTAATTATTATTACTTTTTTTTTCATAGATTTACAATCAACTATCAATTAGAGACCGTTAATTATTTGGACAAATTTGAAAATCTAGTCAGTAATTTAAATTAGATTAAGGTTAAAGTATTAAAACAATTAAAATAATTGAAAGTGTAAAAATTAAACGAGTAACAATTTAACTTTCATAAGGTTAATTAGAGATGACACTTGGAAAAGTAAATTGTAATCAGATATGATGATTAAAAATTCACCATTTAAATTGTGTTACGTTTCAATTTACCATGAGAAAAAAATTAAGATTAACTATATAATTGAGTTAACCAACAATTTACCTTGATTATAAACTGTTGTTGATCATTTGCGAGGTTAAATTGTTGTAATCAGAAAAAAACGCGAAATAATTAAGATGAATAAATTTTCTCATAGGTAAACAATCAGTAAATTGTTTTGAGTTGATTGAAATGTCTAAATACAAGACGGAACGATAAAGAAATTGATGATAATGTTCAATTGATTATCTTAATCATCATGATCCTTTTGATTGTTTAAACTCAATTGTATTCTGATTGTTAATTGTTTCCAATGCAACGGTTGTAATAAGTTGATGACCTGAGTAATTTAAACAATACATTTGTAATCCAAAGGTAAAGTTTTGTTGTGACTCCTTCCAAGAAACGGTTACAACCAATGTAACAGATAAATTGTATTAGATTTTGAGTTGAATAGTCAATGAGAGAGAGAGAGAGAGAGAGGATCGAGATGATGAAGATGAAGATGAGGATGAGGATGAGGATGGGAGAGGAAAAAAAATGTTTTCTTTGAAGGTAATAACATTTTCTGTTGGATGATGATGATTTTCATCGTTTACTTGTCTCTTTTATTCACTGAACCCAATCATCTTGATCAACCTCTGTTTTGGCGATGGTTCAATGATTATCTAAGCTGAAAGTCCAGGGTGGAAAATTCATCATCAGCTGAGCAAATTCAGTCTCTTTTCATCCTTTTTTACAGCTGATTTTTTTCCCTCATCCTTCTGGTTACTCATCAACCTCCTCCTCAATCCTCATCTTCATCCTCTGTGTGTCTTTATCATGATTATCATCTTGAATCAATTGAATCTCTTGTTTTCCTCCTGCTGCTGATTTTCATTACAACAACGTGTTCATTTCATTATCATCGGTAATTTTATCATTATTAAGCTTCATTGATTTGATTGTCTGGGTTAAACAACTTAATTGTCCCTCATCATCATCATCATCATCGGTCCAATCTAATAGTTAAAGTCCATTGGGTTATCGTTATATCATCAAGCATCTGCATCAAACTTATTTAAGATGAAAAGAGTTAATTTTATTGATTGCTAAGGGTCAGAGTCTCTCTATTGTTACAATCAAATTCAATTGATTGGGGATAACAATTTACCTTTTTATAGATTACAGGCCAGTCTCCTCGCTTTATTAATCCTATTTTTTACTCATGAAAAGGCCACAATTTACAGTAAATCAAAAGTACTTCCGCCTAAAAGTGGTTAATATTGTTATAATTTATGGTAACATCACCAACTTATCATCATCATTATCATTAAAGTCCAAGAATCTCCTCCTCATCCTTTTGGTCAGTTTAACAATCATTAGAATATGAAATTTACATCAACAAGCGTGAAGATGAAAAAAAAATTCAACTACAACTCATATGAATCTCATCTATGGGTCATCAGAATTTTGTTATTTATCAAAATTTATTCATCATCTTGGTCATTAAAAACATTTAAATTGTTGTTGGTCAACAATCAGTACAATTAATCACCAACTAAATACAACTCTCAGTGAATCAACTAATCATAAAAACTGTTTTTTGCTATTAAATGGCAACATGAACGATGAAGCAATGATGAACCGGAAGCAGAAATGATGAAAAAAAAGGGATAAATATTAAATTGACTGAATAGATTAAAGAATTTGTAAGATTGATTTAATTGTGAAGAGGAATAAATCAATTTGATTAAAATGACTTCATGTTAATTGTGTTCTTTTAAATTGTAGCATCCAAATGATATAAGAAAAATATTATTATCTTGAAAGCTTCGTTTTCGTTTGATAATCAGTTAATTGTTACAATTGGGATGAGAAACAAACAAACAACAATTAGAAATATTTACAATTAGACAAATTTAATTGTTGTTACCTTTTAAATTTCATTCTAATGACATTGAATTGTGAGAGTTTGTTAGCCAAGTAAAAGTTGAGTTAATTTTTTTTTCGACAATTACGATGAGATAATTAATTAATTCTTCTCTCACAATCAAGGGTATGACAATTACTTTCAACTCATACAATTAACATGAAATAATATCTAATCATTAATGAAATTAATCCGAAAATGTAAATTATATTAAACTTTCATTTGATTATTTAACATAAGCATTTACCCTGAGGGTAAATGAACAACAACAATCTAACTATATGTACACGTTGGTTAACAATTAACTATTGCGAAAACAATTTAATTGAATCAGTTTGATAATTCATAATGCTTGATGAAGATGAAATAGTTTTCCTGGTAATTTAATTGTTAACAATCAACTTACAATCATGACTGAAGACTAACATAGAGATCAAATAATAATAGTAAAAAAAAACAGCGAAATCATTGTTAATCCATTCAGATTCAATTGTAATAACTAATCAAGTGATTATCAGGAATTTTGATTATCTTCATGATGATTAAGATGATTACAGAATTGATTAAAATTCCTATGAACAGAAAGAAGGAGAGAGAAATTGATTATAAATGATTAATCATTAAAGGGAACATAGGGAAATACAATTGATATAAAATCTACAGTTAATTGTGATCAAAGATTCAAATCAATGATTAAAATGAAAATAATTTTAGGTGGTGGGTGATTAAGGTAATTGTGGGTCTGGAGAGATTAATTTTTGAAGGGAGGTGAGTTGATTACGATTGTAATTCTAATCATTACAATCAAAGATTTAGTGTTATTATTATTGATTAGTTATGGATAAGGCAGTAGATTGGTCAGTGGATGGTGATTATGGTCAGCAATTACTAACCGATAGTATGAGAAGATAATTGTAGTAAGATGAACTGACCATTAACATGGTCATTTGGTTACCAGTTTCAACATGGTATCAATGGTAAATGATTAACTATCAATTTCCTTTTGGCTTCTTGATTCTTGATTCTTTCATCATCATCATGATTAAATCATTTTGAACATTTCATTTTTCGGTGAAAATTCAGATTCAGATTTAGATTCAGATTCTTCCGGCATTAATCTGAGTTATCGGAATACTTTTTTCACGCTTAAATTTGTTATATTTTCATTTGATCAACTAATCAAGTAGAAAAATTTGATTATTCTCAATTGTAATAAATCAATTGAATTTCAAGAATTGTTTAATATTGATGATGGGTAAATGGTGATTTCATATTGATTGTCAATCAATAAAAATTATCTCACAGTTTTCAATTGAATAATTAATATCCTGAAAATGTAACATTCAATTGATTAATCAGTCAGAAACTGAGAGAGAGCTAAACTTGTTGAGTTTACTTGTCAAAATTAACTAATCACTGATTGGCATCAATTTAAATTGTTTAAGATCTTAATCTGTCGGTCAATGAGTTGAATCAATTATCCAGGATACGAAATGGTAAACTAATTGTTAGAAGTGAAAAAAAATGAGAGATTAATTCAGACTAATTAATGAAGTATATTAATAACAATACAGAAAGAAAACCGTTACTTTTGCTTTCAAGAGATTCTGATTGAAAAGTGGGCGCAGAATTGATGTAATCAAGCAAATTCATTATCCATTAATGAAACTCAATTAATAATAAGTTTAGATTATGATGAGACCAGTGAAGGTGGATAATGATTAAGGTGCAATTTAACGATGTATCATGATGATTATTGAATAATCATGAAGTAAATTCATTCTCTATCCGAAAAGTGCCTGAACAAAGTGTGAGAAGTGAGTTGTTAGAGTATCTCAACGGTATTTCCAAAGATATTCACCAACAGTTAGGCCACAATTATGCGGAAATAAATTAAATCATTATCATCAAGTTCAGTGGATGAAATGATCAGAAAGAGAAGAGGCAAGAAAAAAAAAGACACCATGATAAGTAATAGGTTCTTAAGCTGAAAATGAATGAAGGGAGAGAGGGAATTCTTACCTGGAGGGTAGAATCAACTTTTACTTTTGAATAAATCAAGTCATCGTTGAATTTACACTCTCCATGAACATCATCATGTTGGTAGAATTTCTTTGAACAAAAAGAGAGAGAGAGAGAGAGGAAAAAGAAGAAGAATCTTCCTCATCATCCATCAAAGACTGTTCACCTTTTGGATCCCGCTATTGACTGACCATCAGCTTGTTTTCCTCTTCTCTCCATTCAATTGATCTGATGGTTTTTTCTTTCTCTCTCAAATGTTTCCCCACCCTCTGAATATCAACAGGTATCATGAAGGAACAAATTCTTGTTGATAAAAAAACTCAGTAGACTTTGATTTCCACTTCTTCTTGTCATGTCCACCACACCAAGAAAAAATATCACAATGGGAAAAGAATTGACTTGTTTGTTGTTCAAAAGATTTTCTTTTCACTTTAATCCTTCCTGATCGATCAACCATGTCACCAGAATAATAATCATCATCAGAATTTATCATGTCAATTCAAACAATTATCGTTAAATATGAAGAAACAAATGAGAAACTTAATTCATTGAGAAAAAGTAAACATCAGGAAAAAAAAACTTACCCTTGGAACGATTATTATTCAGATGATATAAAACAGAAATAGAGAATAATTTTGATTGATTCTGGTGAAATCAGCTAATTCCATGGATTTATAATCATCTAAAATTAATTCTTCTAGTTAATTGTTGATTAACAAAGAAGAGAAATTAAATCATGTCTTCCTTTTAATATCTTCTCTTTATGTGGTTACAGGACTCAGAGAATGTCAAGATCGATGATTGAATTAAAAATCTTTCATTCAATTAAAATTTGAAGAAAATCAATTAATCATAATTAGATTTCTTAATATCATCAAGACAATTATGATTAAATTATGAATCGAATTTTAATCTAATCCCTTATAATTAACTAATCGATTGTATGAATTAATAAGAAAATAGGTATTCTCATCTCGATGGAGAAAAAAAGTTACTTCTAATTGTTGAGAATTAATTGTTGGCCATTTTCTTTTAACAATTAATTACTCGGAGAACACAATTAGTTAATAAACTGGCCTCTCTTTCCCACTACTGAATACTAATCATAATAGAGATAATCAGATATCAAGAGTTTGTGGGTTGAAACAATTAAGAAAATTGTTTTCATCGTTAATTAAGATTACTTAACACTCGTAATGAAAATAAATTGTTTGAATCAAACTATATATTAGTTAGTTAATCATAGAAATATAAAAAAAAAAGTTAATTCCTTGCGGGCACAATTTGATGTAACAATTATTGTTTCACAAATAATGAACAATTTGATAAGTTAAATTGTATTAATTAATTTGAAGCTTAATTAATATACTAAATCAATACAAGTCGCTTTTACTTGTATCTTCATAATATGGATAACAAATTGTTGTTGTTAAATTAATAAATTGCTGCGATTTGTAGGTAATTTAAATTTCGTGTTAAGGGCTAAATCACTTCAACCAGTTTTTATCAATTCCAACAATCAGTGTAATTGTTATTAACTTGATTTGATTGAGATAATGTCATCATCATGATAATAGGATTTTTTCAAATTTCTCACCATTGTTATGATATAAATCATAATTGTCTGTGTATTTGAATTATATATTTCATACACTAATCGTTATTATAATGTTATTATCATGATAATCATTATCATTTATTGTCACTACAATTAGTTGATGATGATGATGATGATGTTAATCATTTCTTCAGGAAGCTTTGATTGTGAATAGAGATGAAACTTTTTGTTAAATTGCTCAGGGAATCATTTAGTTGGATCTTTATTGTTTGCTAAATCCAATCAAGCCAATCAAGTCCAATTCGTAATCAACCTAGATTTTTGATGGACGATTAACATTGACAATCAATTGAAGAATTGAAAATTAAATTAATTGATTGACCACAATTGATTGTCCATTCAATTGATTTCTTCTGAAAATTGGATTGACAGTTTGTTGATTGTTCAGCTTTTGGTTATAATCATTCTGATTGAAGTTAAATTTTTCTCTAAATTCAATCAGTTTTAATTACTATTGGTGTTCACTAATTGATTAAACAGAAAATTAATAAATTAAAAGTAAGTTAATTAGTTAACTGTTAATAATGAATGTTAATTATGTTTTCATTTGGTTTGTAATCAATTTACTTAATTTGGTTGTGCAAGTGAAACTTTTTTTTCCACCAATTAATCAATCAATCAAATTGACAATCTTTTCCGACTGGTTAGTTAATTAAATATTAAGTTCTCATAATTAGAAGACGAAAATTGAAACAATTAAGATTACCCAATGATCAATATAAGGTGAAAAGTGTCAAATGATTAATTTAAATTGTTAACTTTCCGATGGAAGTTGTTAACAATTAGGTTAACTCACCTCTTCCTAATTACAATTAATTTTGATAAAATATCATCTTAAATCATAGGCTTGATGATTCAATCAATTCAATTGTATTTTTGAGTAAACATGATTAGTTAATTGTCTGATCTTGGGATAATTAAGAGGAAAACAATTTTACAGGCAAAAGAAAATCAAAGTTAAATTGATCGAATTTAGAAAATCAAATTGAGGATAATTAACTGAAGAAATCACGTCCAAAGATGGAGTCAACGAATAGATAGTAAATAATCAATTGATTATCGAAACATCAAAATTAAATCACAACAATTAAAGAAACAGCAAATTCATGTAGGCGATAATCAACCAACCGGCCAAAAGAAAACCTAAAAAAACATTGAGGCTTTAAGATCAACTCCAATTCCAATTTCTAAAAACAATCAACCCATAAGCGAAGAAGATCAGATTAATTAAAAAAAAGACAAAAAAAACTTATTCTAAAAATAATTAGCTACTAATTAGAAATCAAAGTTAATTGTAATGGCGATTTCGATTAATTTAAAAAGAAAAACCATGTGTTCGAAAGTGTCGCCATCTATTATCCAATTAGAACAATTTTCTTTTCTCTCTTTTCTCATTCGTTAATCTTTTTTTTCAAATGTTTATTCACTTTCAATGAGAACACATTAAACCGACTTTTGTCTTAACTTGTTGTTAATTAACTCTAATAATTAGTTATTTTTTTCTTAATTTTAATTGTTATTCTTTAAGTTAATTAGTTGATCCAAATTGTGTTAACTGTTTTTCTTTTGGTCAACAAAACGTTCATCTTATTGATTATATTTCCATTGATTTAGCTTGTTTTGTTTTTTAATTTTCTTCTCTATGTGAATTTTTTTTCTTCTTCTCTCTTGTTGTTAATATTTAATTTGTTAATTTTTCTCATTACAATTTATCATAATGTTCAAATCTTTTTATTCTTCTTCTTCAAATAGAAATTCTTTTCTTTCAAGAAGTCAAAGTACCATTGAGGAGAAACCCGAACCTTTGGATTTGGATTTAATTGATAGCCAATTGTTCAGTTCTAAACCAAGTTTACCTTACCGGTACTCTAATTATTATAGTGGTAATTATAATCGTTCTAAACCACAAACAGCCATGAGAAGTGTTTCTCTCCTTGACTGGCCACCAAGTCAATATATCGTTGACACTGGAGAACCACCACCGCCACCACCATCACAACAACAACAACCAGGACCAACATCATCTTCATCATCATCATCATTGACAAAAATTTATTCCACCAATGATACTATTAATAGATTACCTTCCAATCATAATCTATATGTTCAAAAAAATTTGTCCAATCAAATCAACGATAATCATCATAACAATAATTCTCACCATCACCATAACCATAATCACCAATCTCACCAACAAATATCATCTCTTAATCTTGAATCTTACGAAACAATTTCCAACAATTGTGACTCTGATTCAAATTGTTCCTGTTACAATAAACTCGGTGATATTGATGAAGATTCAATCTCACCAATTCAAGAGGAGTTTATTCAGGTTAATGTTTTCATCCCTGAATATCTAGTTGAGGTAAGAGAATTGATAATCTACTGTTAATTGTTAATCAGTTAAATTGCCCTGAGCAATTTTCTTCCTAATCTCTCTCTCTCTCTCTCTCAATATATATTAATAATTTCCAATAATTTTGCAAAATCTAAATCCCTTGACCGTAGCAAATCAATTAGCACGATTATCAATACAATCAAAAGAAAACTAATTAATTACCTGAGAGTGTCTCTCATATACACACACACAAGGTAATAAATATAAAATTGAAAAGCGAATAATTGATTAAACTAATAACAATTAATCTAAAAAATTAACTCATTTTCTAAACTGATCATCATCTTCTTCGTAGGCTGTTTAAATTAACATTTTCTCGTTAATTACAATTAGAAACACAACAATTTATATTCAGACAAAACATCAACTTGAAGGTTACTTTTTCAGATTCAATGTTAATTGAAATCAAGAAACACCAATAGATACACAAGAAAACAAATAACTTTCACTCCAACCATAAGACAGAATACAATTAAAACCCACTAGGTGACAATTAATTATTCCAAAGTTAATTTTCCATTAGGATTTAATCATTTGTCTATTAGTTAATCAATGTAACCAAGGTTTTCCAAATCAAATCTTTACTCTCTCTATGTTTCCATAAGTCAAAAGCAAATGTGATATTATTGATCAACCTTGTTCTCAATGAATACTAATTGTTTACTGTTTTTATCATCAAACAATTTAATTAAAAGTAAAATTAAATGAACCAACTAAATTTACCCAGATTGTCCATTGCAATTAACTTTTCATCACATGTTAATTAGCAACAATTTTATAGTGTTGAAAGATTTACCAGATCAACTTGATTAACAGAGAGAAAGAAACAAAATTTCACCAAACAATTAACAATTAACAATCTCAACAATTAAATTGTTCATTTTGTTTCTAATCATTTCAGAGAAAGACAATAATTTAAGAAATGTCTTAAGAAATCAAGGTAAATTGTTTTGATGAATTGATTTAAACACACATTGGAAATTGTCAACAATTAACCGTTGATTGTTACAAGGTTTTCACTTTATTTTGATTGTGATCCTTGGATTGATCCATTGATGCGATCAAAACTTTTTTTCCTAATGGTTAATATTGAATTTTACAATTTCCACTTGATTGTCAATCTTTATCATTGTTAAATTGTTGATTGTTAATTGTTTGCCTCATATTTTAACACAATATGCTGTTCCGATTGATTTATTGATTGTATTTACTTAAAATGATCATTTATTAATCTTATACATTATTGATAGCCTAAAATTTTATTTGATATCTAATTGTAATAATGATAATACAATTAACTGATTACTATTTTATTATTATTATTATATTGAAGATGATTAATTACTTGCAATCAATCAAAATGTCCACAATTTAAAATTGTGACCGTTTAAAATTGATCGTAAATATCAACAATCAACTGATCAGTTAATGAATCAATTTAATTAAAACAATACTCACCAATTAATAGATTAAATTACCTTGATCTTTGATCCATATCAAATTTTTTTCTGTTTGATTATTAATTGTTAATTATCTTGCAACAATTAATTATATCTTTCTGGCTAATTGTAACGTTACTATTGATAGAAACAGTTTTAATATTAATTGTTACAATCCAGGGGTGAACATTTTTTGTTTCAATTATAATTATGATAGCAAAATTTTGGGTAGAGCAATTAATTGATAATTCAGTTACTGTTATTTGATTATTCACTGAACAATTAATTATAATTATAACAATTTTTGCCTGCAATTGGCTTGATTTGATTGTTAATGTTTGCTAATTGTAAACAACACTAATATTTGAGGACAAATGTTAAACTTATCACAACAATTAGTTAATCAGATTAATTTAGGTTATCATTTGATTTCAAACTAATCTCTGAACCTACAAATTAATCACATCTTTGCAAACAGTTAATCACAACAATTAAATAATAACGATGATCTGTTTTTATTCAATATTTAATCAACAACTTTATGTTTACTTTTGTACTCAACATGTTAAGTTGAACTATTTTAATTATTAATATGATTAACTATTGATTAACTAACTACGATTGATTTGTTTCCGTTTCCTTTTTTTAAAATAATCCAATTCCCAATGATTATAAATTATATCCTTTTGTTATAATCAATCTTGATGAGCTAAATCATAACAATTAATCCAAGTTTCAACACTTTTATCATCAATGATTTATTAATATCTCAACAAATCAACTGAACGAGTTAATTAATTAAGTTGAAAGTAACTGATTGTATCAAAAAGGAGATAAACACTTTGATACTTAGTTAATTAATATTACATTGATTGTCATTATCACTTATTAACTAATCGTTGATTCAATTATAATGGTAATCAACTGATCGTTGATAATATCGTTAAGTTAACCTGATAACCTTAAGTGTTACCAAAGTATCGTTACAATTAATACAATTAACTTATGCTATTCAATTGATTAGATTAACAAAGACAGACTGATTAATTGTAAATTCTGTAATCATCAAATCACAATTAAGACTAAAATTGATTAAAGTTAATCAACAATTTGTGATCACGGAAGAACTTGAAAATAAATAACCTTCTAAATCTAATAGAAACATTTAAGATAATTAAGACAATCAAATGTCATCATGTTTAATTGTTACAACAATTAATCGATACCTATGGATTTCCAATGAAGTTTTCTTGTTCATTAATCAACTTACCTTTAAGTTTTAATTAGTTAATTCAACTATTTATTGATGAATCTTTAATTGTTGCTTGCAAATTCAATTTAATTGCTGCAATTAAATAATTTCTGATCATATAATCACTTTGTTATCACTACTTGATTGTCGCAAATGATTTAATAACAGATGATGAGTTAAATGAAATTAGTTAATCAATTGTTGTTGAATTGTAATTCTTTAATCATGATCATGATTAACGGTAAATAAAAGGCGTAATTATATTAATAAATTCCCTGACCATGAAAGTGTTAATCAATTTTTATCCATCGTAATTAAATTGATTGTTTATCACGATTTCAACAAAGTAGCAAAAGTTAATTGTAAAAAAAAAGGGAATCAGTTGATTTGTTTATGTAATCAACTGTTTTAATGTTGTAAACAAATTAACATTGAAATGAATTAAATTAATCAAAAAGTGATCAAAATTTAACTGTTTTAATAACATTCAATTAAATTTGATTGTTTGACTTTTTAATTCAATTCTATTGTTGATTAACAAGATTAACTTGTAGCAAAAATTTGGTTAATTATTTCGTGATCACAATTGTTTACTTATATGTATTAATTATTTTAATCATAATATATGAATAATAACCAAAATTTTGATTGTTAATTTGTTTTCAATAGTAATTATTAAACAATTTAATTTACTCAACAACCTTAACCGATATAATAATTTTCCATAACAATTACTAAATCATAACTTTTAACAACAACAAGAAATACACAGATAAAACATGACAACCCAAATGGTTAATAATTAATTAATGATCAATATATTAGATTTAATTTGAAACATTAACCCAACAATTAACTTTTGATACTCAAACAATAATAAACTCGATGTGTTTTGGTTATGGATGATAAATCCCATTGATATTCATCAAGTAACTTTATCTCTCTCTCTCTCTCTTCCGTATCATCCCTCTTGAATTTTTCTTCATCATCCTCATCATCCTCATCTTCAAATGATTTTCTCCCTTTCTCTCTGTCTTTCTTTTTGAAATTCGATTTCGATGAATCGATTTATCGAGTGCGCAAGATCAAGCTTCGAGGTTTTTGTGTCGAAAATGTGAAAAGAAAGAGAATCGATGTTCGAGAAAATAAAGAAAGAGGAAAATGATGAACCAAAGGAAGAGAAAAGGAAGAGAAACTATTTTCCCTTATTATTTACCATAGGAAGAGAAAAATATTATCCAATTTACTCCAAGGCATCTTCATCTTATCTCCATCCTCATCCTTATCCTTTTATCAACCGTTGACTTGAAACACCAATGAGAAGATAATTTGTTTTTCTTTCATGTTTTTCATTCGGTCAGTTTGACCATCACAATTAGTTAACTGTCATCACCATTAACCTTATTATATTAATCAACTGAAAATGTCTAAATTAACTGAGATTGTTTTTATCAACCAGTTTTTGACCAGCATCCAAAATGATTGTTGATTTTTTACCAATGTGATGTTATCCTTTTTGACTGTTCATTGATAACTGATTAAATTTCAACTTGATCAGCATAATCAAGTTGACAAAACAATTAGATCAAACAATCAAACTGAATCAATTTTATAATCATAAAGTCTACAATTGTGGTTAATAAATTCAATGATGTGTTACTGTGAAGATGATGAAAGTGTAGTTATATTTAAATCCTAGTGATTTAAACAATTAACGATAAAATTGATAATCACCACTGAATTTGATAAAAGTCAACTAATCATCTTAGCTGAAAATCATTCCAATCAATCAATCAATCAAAAAAAGGTTGGTAATCCGCTTTGGATACATATTAATAGTTACCGGTTTTTGGGTCTATAACATTGGCAATCAATAGATTGTGACAATTGTTAACTAAACCACTTAATCCATCTTATTTGTTTACCTTTTTTTGCCCTTAAAGTTATAATAATTCCTGATTAATATAATGTTCAGGTGATTAAATCGATGTAAGACAAAAATTAAGCTTTAATCCGGTTAATCTGCTGATCCCATTGTCAAGGAAAAATGAACTTGATAGCAAAAATATAAATAAGAGATGAGAGAATCAATGAGAAACCTTAGGAATTAAATTGAAGACAATTTATTGAGCAACAATTAACTAATTGTGAGAACACAATTAACCTAAAACCTTTTTTCTTTTAATTTCTTCCCTTTTCCCCATTTACAGCAAACTGTTTCTTTAAGTGAATACGAAACCATTTGGAATTTAAAACTTGATATAATCGATCGTCTTTCCGCTTTTCGAAACAATTTGAACAGTTCACAAAATTATATAAACAATTTATTAATCACTGGAAGTGGTTATAACAATCATCTTGCAAATGAAGGAGGAGGCAAAAGTAATTTAATCAACAGTAACAGTAAATCATCATTACTCTCAGCGTCATTGTCAACATTAACTTCATCTCTATCCAATATCAACAATAATAATCTTCAATTTAATAATAACAATAAATTGTCACAAGGTGAACGGATTGACCTTAACTATGGTTTCTATTGTCACAATTTAGGAGGTTTCCTTGAGGAAGAGGCCACTTTTTACGATTACCTTAAAGGTGATTTAAGAGGGGGATGTGGAAGTGGTTTCATTGGCAGTGAGGCGATTTTATCATCATCATCATCAATTAATAGGTCAACTAGTGGCGGAGGAGCAATTGTAGGTGCAAGTGGAGTAATCGATTGTTGCTTCTCGTCTCGAACATTAGTTCGTCTTGAATTTCGCCATAAACAACGAATCGATATAATCGTCATGTCCACCACCCTTCCAACCTCAACGGCAACTCGACGTAAACGTAAACGGGGTCGCCTAATTGAAGCGGTGACCAATGGAAATGTTGAGAAAATAATTAAACTATTAACAAATTGTGACCCTAATTTTATTGATGAAACTGGTGCCGGTGGGGAAACCTTGTTATCCCTTGTTGCAGGTAATGCAACATTGTCCACTTCAACCTCTCAACGTGTCATCGTCGCCCTGGTCAATGGAGGTGCTCTCCTTGACTTTCGTACCAAAGATGGTCGGACACCTCTTCATGTGGCCGTTCAAAAGTCAAATTATGTTGCCCTGAAAACATTTCTCGATCTCGGTGCTTCACCTAATTATCGAGATGCTGCTGGATTAACTCCGCTCTTCTATTCCATCCTTTACTCAGCTAATCCCAAGTTAACTCAACTTCTTCTTCATGAGCATTCCATTCATGGGGTAGCCGATGCTCAGGGCTGGCAGGAAGTTCATCATTCCTGTAAATTGGGCCTTGTTGCCCACCTCGAGCAGCTACTCTACTACGGGTGTGATATGAATTGTAAGATTGTCGGCTCAGGTAATACTCCGCTTCATGTGGCCGCTATCAACGATCAAATGGACTGTGCAAGAGTTTTACTGCTTCGAGGATGTAATACTCAGGTTAGTTGATTTTACTGTTAACACTAATTAACCGCAACAATTTAACTAATCAACTAAACATCAGGGAACAAAAAAAACAAACCCAAACAAATCACTTAATTTAAATTACTTTTCAGTTTATGTTACAACTTAACTGTTAATATTTGCTTGATGTTAACCAGATCCTTGAGTTTAATTTAAGTTACTTATTATTAACAATTAACTAGTCCTGTTGATTGTCGCTCAGATTGTTGAATTAAATTAAAGAGATAAATCATTTCTAACCATTTCTAGAAATTAACTATTTAATTGTCATTTCCATTTTTAATAAGAAAGGATTAATTGTTTCAGGAAATGTAACAATCAATAGTTAATTTTTATATCATTCCCATGTAATAGATGATTATTGTTATTGTAATGATCATCATAACTTACCAATCAAATTTAATTCAGTTGATTCTGATCATGATCTTGCTTAACTGATCAGTAATTTATATCCGGTAACAATTATTATCAATTTTAAATCCAATTAATGATAATTTATTTCCGTCAGGGAAGTTTAATCAAAGTGAACACCTTATTTTGATTGTTTCTTGGGAAAGTTAATTTAATTCAACATTTGTCAGCAATTAAACACCCAAAGATTGTTTATAAATCATGATTAATATTAATATCAACTCGAGTGGTGAAATTGTATTGAAATTGTAATCAAGTTAATTGTTAATCATCATGATTTTGATTGTTGTTGTTCACTTGTTTATCTTACAATTGAACACCAATTAAAAATGTTTCATTTTGAAACAATTAATTGTATAAATATTTGTTATCAATCTAATTCAAGGTAGGAAAAGAGTTAATTAAATCAGATTGTGAGTTAAATCAATTGTTAAACTTATCAATTCAAATTTTAATCACTTTTGTTTTCCTAATTTTTTCAAAAATTTAAATTACTTGGGGTTGGTTAGGTTTGATTAATGGAGATACAAATTAAAATCAAACAATCAAGAAACAAAATCATAACAATTTACCACAGTTCGTGACTTAATTGTAGTAAACAGTAAATTACCATAATCAATTTTAATTGTATTTCTTAATTTCTGGCCAAGAGATATTTAGAAATGAGAAATCATTTTAATGAAAAGTTGATTCACTTTCAGCAATTAGACACAAATACATAAATCAATGAAAGTGATTTAAATTATTAGCTAATCAATTGTTGATAATTAACATTTCACTTTACTTGACAAAATATAATTAAATGTAATCAGTTTAGTCAATAATCAATCAATGACAAATTAATCAGGTTTACAATTAAAAAAAAAGTTAATATCCAATTGATTGAATTTAAATTATTGTGACTTTCAATAGTCAAGGAGATGAAGATGAATCCAGTTAACTTAATTGTAGTACTAATCAATTAATTGTTTGTATTAAACTTGCTTGTCACTCTGACAATTAGTTTTTTTTGGCAAATCAATATCATAATCATCAATTGTTTAATTGTCAATCTTGATTAAACAACAACAATGAGAATCAAATGAAAGTTATTGATTAAGATGATCAGTAATCTTGATTAAATCATAAACAAGGCTGATGATGATGATGATGAAACTTTAATAGTAATAATTATAATCAAAAAGTAATACAATTTGTTGATAGTTTTTTGACCCTTCAATTGTGATGATTAAAAAAATCAGAGAAATGATTAAATGTCCTCAGGTCATCAGGATAAATGATGGTGATGAAAATGATCAGATTGGGATAATGATGATGCAAGTAAATTGTTATAACAATCAGAATAATTATCCAACGATTTAGATATAATCTATTTTCAGTTGATCAGTTGATTTCAGTGATTTGTAATAACAAAATCATTAACAGAATTAATTTTGATTCGTTGAGTGTGAACGATTTATTTATTATTTTTACTACACATTGATTATCCTAATTAATGTTGTAAAATAATAATTAATTGTTAATCAAATGTTTATCTTTATGGTTGTTGATTATAATTAAATATTCATAAAGTTAATTATGATGATAATGATGACGATGTAATTTATTAATCACTTTAAATCAGTGTTCAGTTAATTTCTTACATAGTTGATTGTGATTGATTTCTCAAGGAAAATAAATAACAATTATTATCAATTGTTTTCATCTTTGATTTTGAAAACTTTCCCTTAATGATTAACATTTAACATTTAACTAATTAAGCTTTGATCTAATCATGTTTGAATACTCTTTCTCTATATATCATAATTAATTTCTTAATGATAACAATTAAATTGTTATGAAAACAATTCTAATTGTATTACCGTTTTTAAATACCTCTAATTGAAACCTGTTTCAATCTGGTTTCCAGTTAATCATCATAATCAGTAAACTAACAGAGATGATGAAAATAGTAATGATAATATTAAATTGTAATCATGTTAACCCTGTAATCTTAATCTGGCCTAACCTTAACTCTTAAACCTTGGGCAAGTCTCATCAGGATTAATGACGAATCACTTAATCACAATTAACTTTTTACTTTCTCCATACTCTAATCATCATCATCATGAACCTGTTTTCATCTTGATTTAATAGACTGAGAACACAATTAAATAATATTTACTAACAAGATGATTTAAGTTGATCATTTTCAACATCATGAAAAGATGATAATCTATCAGATTAAATAATATGATTAAGTATTTCGTTGACTTGCTATTTACAACAATTAACTAATAGATTTGATTGGTACAAAAATATTTTTAAACATTTACAGTAATTAGTAATTGTGTTAATCGCTTCATTTACAAACTTATTCATTGATTGTTATTGGGATTCGATGATTAATTTCAATTATTTTTTTCTCATCTATTTCATAGATTGCTAATAACTCTCATCAAACAGCTTATCAAGTAGCTGTAATTGCTGGAAATATGAATTTAGCTGAATTTATATCTAATCATAAGCCCGAAAATGTTGTTCCTTATCGAGATAAGCCTAAATATAATCCCGCTCGTCGACCTCCTTCATCCATGGCTGTAATCGCCAATGAAACTGTATCTGGAAGAGATCAAGGTAATCATCATGGTAAATCATCTTGTTCCTCATCTTCTGGTTCATTGATGATGAAAGATGAGTTTACCAAAAAGTATCTCAATGGTTCTGGATCATCTTCTTCTCAAGGAGGAGGTGGAAGTGGTTCCTCTTCATCATATGGACCATCGATTTCACCTTGTCCGTCTCAAAGATCTTGTACCACATCAACTACCATCTCGACAACAACAACCTCTTCGGGTGTTTGTTGTGAACTTGATGGAAGTCAATCTGAAGAGGCTGGAGATGATGAAGGTGAATCGGAAGATGATTCAACCACCAACACCGAGAAATCGTCTCAACATTCAAGGGTTGAAGGTCGTCGGGAACAAAAATTATTAGGAATTGGATCGTCAACAACACTTCCCTCCCGTGGTAGACGTGAACAACATCAACCCAATCAACAAAAGTCACAACAACAACAACAACAATTAATGTCCTCATCACTTTCTCGTCAATCGGTTCCTAGTAATGAAGAGATTTCAATTTCATCGATATTACCTGCCGATATGCCACCGATTACATCATATGATGAGAAAACGGTCTCTCTTCATAAGGGATCAAAAGGGTTTGGTTTTGTTCTAAGAGGTGCCAAGGCCACAAGTCCGGTAGTTAAACAGATCCATGAAGTTGCGCCACAACCTCAGCCCATTAGTTTACAATATTTAGATGAAATTGAAACGGGTGGAGTTGCAGAAGCTGCTGGATTAAAGCGAGGTGATTTCCTGTTGAATGTTAATGGTGTCGATGTCCGTTCAGCTCCTCATGAACATGTTGTCCAATTGATTCGTCAGTCTGGTGATAAAGTGACCATGACGGTTGCCAGTCCAAATTATTTAACTCTTGATGATGAAACAAATAACAGTAATGAGTCAACGGAAGATAAAATAACACATGATGACAAATGTAATAATAACTATTATAGTGAGAAAGAGTTTTCATCCACAATGCCCAGGGGAGCGGAAACTCGAGAGTCAAGGTCAACCTCGAAAGTTCGTAACCCTCCGGTTCCCCCTAAAAGAGATCCATCAACAACCCTTTCAATTAGTCGAGCTCGAGCCAAATCTCTCTGTATAACAAGTAGCACCTCATCGGATACCGTTAACAATGGACTATCAATGTCCACCTCAACTTCATCTGAAATGTCTGGTCAACAAAAATCATCTCACGATCATGAAGATCGATCAAATAAAAGTAGCTCACCTTCAACCTCAGTGGAAAGTATGGTTTGCCAATCGAACACCGTTACTTTGCGATCGAAAGAAAGTAATGGCCATAAAATTGCCTCAATACGATCTCGAAGTTCTCGACGTATTTCCGCTTTTGAGTTGGAAAAGTTTTTCGCTCGACAAGATGGACCCAATGGTGAAGCTTATCTTTTAAACGAAGGCGATGATAAGGGAAAATCAGGTCACCAAGTAACAACTTTACAAGCATTGAAAAAGAAGCGAAATAAAAAGTTACAAAAAGATTTCCACTCAACACCCGATATCCAGGAACAATTAGCCCTCGAACAAGCTAAATTAGCCTTGCAACAATCAACGAATGTTAATCTTAAGATTAAATTTGATGTTAATGGTAATCGTTTATCAACTAGTCAAGAGGATATCCGGTCAATCCAACCAATTTTCTCGGAAACTTTAACCTTACGAAATGGTAAAATCGTTCACGACAAAAACGATTCATCGGACAATAAGATTAGGCCACCAGCACCTAATCAACCTCCACCACCAACACCATCATCGTCAATGGTTGAAGAGGCAACTGGTCAATCAGTTATGGTTAAAGTTGATGTTAGTGGTAACAGGGTGTCCAAATCTGATTATGCTAATTTTGCTCAAATAAACAAAGATGAAGCCGGCGGAGTCTCGCCCAATGAACAAGCGGCATCTTCGGCTCCTTTGTCAAGCTTTAAACCATCACTACCATTGTCAGGGGAAACTGAATCCCCTGAAACTTCAAGAAAGGGAATGAATTATGCATCACCGGATAAACTACAACAACAATCAACAGCCTCAACTGGTCAACAATTAAGTTCAACTAATAAGCAACCCTGTAATACCCTGAGACCTGCTAAACATGTCAAGCAAAGTTCATTGGTAAATTCAGGAGGTTTAGAATCAGTTAATGGCGGTGAACCATATATTCCTGAACCTGATTACTCCTCAAGTGAAGACGATGCTAACACACCGACAAACGTTAGTGGACGTGATTTGAGTACCTTTAAAGGTACTACAATTAGTCAGCAAACTAAATCAAATAATAATCGGATGGCTTCAAGTTATCATGAATCAGTGGCAGGATGTAAACAAGAATCCGATCTAATGTCAAGTTCAACTTCAGTGATTGAAAATGATCGTGATTTGGACAATCAGTTGCGAAATAAAATGGCCGCTATCGCAGTCGAAGGCAAAAGTGTACTAGAAATGAGATCAGGTCAAGTTGAAGAGATCCGAATAATTAAAAGCACCAAAAAAGAGGAAAGAGGAACAATTAGTGAACCATTAATGGCTAAACCTAAAGGTGATCATTTTAATAAAGTTAAGGAATCAATTGCTGTGTTTGAAAGACGATCAAGTTTAACTGGTGAGGGCGCGGGTACAACGGCCGCAATTGCCGCTGTTCAGGCATCATCAACATCAACAAAGTCCAATAATACAAATGCCGTAGATCAGTCAGCAATTAACAATAATAACGCGCTACGAGTGTCAAAATCTTGCTTTGAAGTGGATGTCTGTGATAATAATGGTTCATCTGGTGTATCAGAAATTGATCGAGATAATTACCAACACCTTCAACAATTAAAATCCGGTGCCAATGTGAACACCAGAAATCAACAAATTCATTCACTCAATAGACGCAATAGTGCAATTGTAAGCGAAAAAATCGCCACATTAATGGCTACTGGAACATCGGTAAGTTAAACGATGTTTAATCTATCGCTGGGCCGAATTCCTTTCATTTTCTTTCCTTTCAAAATCGGCTAATTGTTAATTTAATTTCTTTCTGTTAATCATTTACAGTCAACAATTATAAGGACAAACAACAATCAAGAAATGAAACCGATTCTTATGTATCAGGATAAGGAGCAATTCCAAGTCCCTCGACGAGCCTCGATCGCCTCAACCTGTCCAACCGATAAAGGTAAATATTGATTAATTAACTATTACTTATAAATCTAATTTAATTATCTTACTCTAGATCATACAGTTATCAACAATTTAAATTGTGAAATGCATTCACAATCAACTGGATCAGCCAAAGCCGCACCAACCATGGCTAAAACTTGGAGTGAAATATCATCAGCAATTAGAGCTGCCAAAGGTGGTGGTTCGACCCCTGTTAGTTTACCTGTAGGTGGATCAACAACAACGGGTACCAGTAAATCAGGAGTTTTAATAAATAGCGGTAGCAATTTAACAACAATTAAACAAACCACCATGAGACCGACAAGTGCACCAAGCGCAGTAATTAATCAAAATAATATTCACGCTAAAACTGGACAAAGTAATAAGACTACAGCTAAAAGTCGTGACGGTTTATCGGCAGTTAATGAAGTTGATGTTTTAGCAGAATTAGTTCCACCGCCGCCAGAATTTGCTGCACCACCACCACAGCCAATGGATTCCAGGCCAGGAGCGGTTAAAATTCAAGTTGGAGGACCAAAACAACAACAACAACAACAAATTCAACATCAACACCATCAACATATGCAATCAATTCAAAATCATCCTCAAATGTTAACAGCTCAACAACAACAACAATTACATCAACAACTTCATCATCATCATCAACAACAATTACAACAACAACATCAACACCATGGACAACAAACTCATAGTAAAATGGTAACCACACTTCCCGCAACTCCAGGAGCACCAGTAAATACAATTATAAGTGGAGTCGCAATTAAAGGTGGACAAGCAATCCAATTACAACATCAACAATTAATCAACAATCAACGTAAAGAGGATATTAGATTAATTAATCCTCAGCAATCAGCTCAAGTTCATATTATCCATAAACCAACTCCCCAACAACAAGCTTGTCTTTATAACAATTTAGCCTGTGAAGCTAATCAACAACAATTAATCAGAAAAAGCTCAACTCCACCACCTCCACCTCCCCCTGAATTTAGTGATCTATCAGCAGCATCAAGATTAGGTGTGGTCGCTGCTCATCTGCCCACTGGTCATCCTCAACATCATCATACAATTCACTTACCTCATCATCATCACCATCATCATCATCAACAACAACAACAACAACAACAACCCCAATCCCAACAACAACAGCCACAACAACAAGCTAAAATTCAATATGCAATGTATCCGTAAGTTAATTGTGATAAAAGCATGAAAACTTCAATATTGATTATCTCATCAATCAATTAAATTAATCATTAATCATTAATAGTTTTCTTCAATTCAACTTGCCATCAAAACATTTGCATCTCTCTCTCAAACAATCAACAAATTTAATTCTTGTCATTTAATTTATATAAATATTTGAAGATTGAATTAATTCACAGCCAAATTGCATGATCTTTAAATTGTTTATAATCATTTATCACAATTATCTCAATTGATTATTTCCTAAATCATTACAACTTCAGAAACAAATTGTTGCACTTGTTTAAACAATTATCACAATCTTTTGTTTTTCATTTTTTTCTCATTATTTTTAATCAATGCACTATTATTATTATATAAATTATTACAATTACAATTATAAATAATAATTATCATCCTCAGCATGCGTTTACAAAATTGATTGTGTCTTGAAAACCTAATCATTTATAAATTGTTACAATTAAAACCAAACCATTGTAATGAACAAACAAACAAACAAACATTTGCATGGTTAATAAAAGTTAATTTTTTGTTTTGATTAATATTATTACTAAGCTAATTTGATTTCATTTTTTTTCTTTCACCTCACAATTAATCATTTACATAATTTAATAAAAGTTAATTGTTTCCAATCAACAGGGAGAATCAATCAAAACAACCTCAACAATATCAATCATATTTACAACATCAACAACCTCATGGGCAACAATTTGTCACCTTGACCCGTTATGTTGGTAAACAAGGGCAAATAATTACGACCCGTCATCGGCTCAACAATAATGGTACTAATAGTGTCGGTAATAGTAATCAAAGTGACCATTCATCAACTTCACCTTCATCTACAATGTCAAGGTCAGTTGGTTCTGAGTCACCATTGACCGTTGCTTGTTCCGGAATGGACAATGTTGTTTACAAAGTCAATGCTCAAGGCGTTTTAGAGCCAATCGGTCATCATCATTCAACAACTGGATCAACTAATTATCATCAATTTGCAACATTATCAAGAGGTAGACCACAGCAATTAAGGGTTGCATCACCTTCGCCTTCAACTGGATCAGCTTCTTACTCTGATTATACCCGATTAACAGGTAATAATTAACAATGAAACTAATCTAAATATTAGTTTTCTAATTAAATTTGCATTTGCACGATTTCAGTTCAAAATCGGTTACTTAGGCAACAACAACAACAACAACAACAATTAGTTAATCAACAACAAGGACAACAGCAATCAGCTCAACAACAACAACAATCTCAACAGCAATTAATTTATCAAGCAAATAATCAAGGACAACCAATGATTGCGACTCATCAATATTACACGTCGTAAGTATTGATAATAGTTTTAATTATAAATTGATCATCGATAAATCATCTTTATCATTTTAACTAAAACACATTAATTATCAATTAACTATATGAATATTTATCAGATCAATTTCAATATCAGAAATAAATTGTTTTGAATGTAAAATAAAAACTGGACAATGTCCAAGTTTTGTATCTTTGAGGTCATCGAAACCTGAATTCCCTGATTCTTGAACCTTTGCCAATAACAATTTAATTGGATTATAATGATTTATTGATTTTATATAATTTTATGATCAAACTAGTGATTAATTAGTTATACTAATTATTTGTGATTTATTGACAGTGATTTACAAAAACAACAACAATTACATCAGCAACTTCAACAGCAACAACAATTACAACATCAACATGCACTACAACAGCAACAACAACTTCATCAACATCAGTTAATCACAACTAATCAAGGTAATGGTCCATTGGCTAATCAACTAATTGTAACCTCTAATTATGCTCAATCACAACCTAAACAACCAGCTCATCCTCCACCCCCTGGTCCGCCGCCTTCATTACAAAAACATCCGGCTACGTTTCCTAGACGATCAATGGTTGATTGGTAAGTTAATTGTCGTTAACTGTTCAACAATTAACAGTCAAATAGATTCTATTCTAGTTAATTAATTAATCATTTTCTAATTTCTAACAATTAACAGGAGTGAAGAAGACGTTTGTGATTGGATCGCCTCCATTGGGATGATTGACCATCGGTCCAAATTTGAATTCATCAACGGAGTTAAATTGTTACGATTAGATAATAATGATTTAATTGGAATTGGAGTTCGACCAAGTCAACATCGATGTTTCATCTTAGAGAAAATTAAACAACACCTTCACTATCAACAACAACACCCACCGGTCCAGTAATTAACTAATTACAATCAATGAGTCGAGAAACTAAAACCAAATTAATCAACTTTAATTGCTAAACTTAAATTGTTACCATTTCTATTTGGAGCTTTCATTTTAACTCTTTTTTTCTTGTCATTTTAATTGCCAACAATTATCATCATCAAATTAATTAATCAATCAATTAATTGTTGTTGTTGTTTGATTAACTTTCAGAATTTAGTTAATTAATCAATCCAAATGTCTTCTCTTATTATTAGTAATTTAATTTATCTTGTCAATCAATTTAAGGCTCATTTTGTTAATCTCTCACAATCAAGTTTACAAAAACATTATTAATTATTAATCATTTTGATTTAATCAATTTTTCAATTCACTTCCTGTTTAATTAATTTATCAATTGCCATTAATACAGCAACAATTAACTAATGATAATATTGTCAAAGTGTTTTTTTTCAATTACAAATCAAGAACCAAATGATGATCAAGTTGATGATTTAATTGTAATTCACATATTACAATTAAGTGAAGATGTAAGATAATTGTTTGATAAATTGTCATTTTAATTGTCATTATAATTGATCCATTTCGAAAAGAAAATTTTCTTATTCGGCTAATCAAAAATAATTTGAATTCTTTTCCTATTTAAATCAAAATGAACTGTAAAAGTTTTCGAATTAGATTTTCTCTATTGAACAAACTTCGCGAAGTTTTTTTCATGGGCTAAGTTTCACGAGGAAAATTCATTCAAGATTTTTCCAACTCAGGCTCAGAGAAGTTCGTTTTCCGAAGAACTTTCCTATCTCTTTTTAATCTTCGATTTAAATAAAAGGCAAATTCAAGGGAAAATTCGGCTACTTCGTTCGTTTTCTTTTCGCTACCACTGAACCGATAAAGTTCAGAAAAACTATCAACTGAATTGGCTCATTTTCTTTTTTAAATCTCTCGACTTTCCCTCTTCTTTTTGTTTCCATAGAAACGTTCACTTGAACAGATGATCGGGTTTCTTTTTTTAATTGTGTTTACATTTAACTTTCGTTTAATTTAATTGTAATTAAAGTTTAATTCTTTTTACAATCGAGGAAATTTTGTTAATTGTTAACTTTTATCAATATGTGTTTAATGGTATTTTTACTGATTTTCTGTTAGAATTTAATGTCGGTCATTATGTTACTTTTTTTCGGTCTTTGATATGAAACTGTTTTTTCTGTTCGTCTTAATTGTTTAATTTACTTTTTAATTATGAGACTTGTTAGGAAAATATTGTTCAGAGTTAATCATCAATTAACTTTAATTCAATATAAGTATTTATCTACAAGTGTTAGCTTATTAAATGGATCTCGAAATAATGCTGGAAAATCGTCAACTAGTCAAGTAAGAAAATTATAAATTGTCTTGATTTGTTTTATTTTGCTTATTAATAATTGATATAATTTCTTTTATCAGTTTAATGAAGTTTCAATTGATTTGAGAAATTTCCCTCCAGATCGTATTCGTAACTTTGGTGTAATTGCTCATATTGACCATGGGAAAAGTACCTTTTCTGATCGACTTCTGGAAATGTCGGGATTAATTAGTAAAGAAAAGATTAAACCTCAATATTTGGATAAATTAGAAGTGGAGAGAGAAAGAGGAATCACCGTTAAAGCTCAAACTGTATCATTGGTATTCCAACGTAATGGTCAACCTTATCTTCTCAATCTAATTGATACACCGGTAGGAAAATAAGGTTTAAATTTGATCCACTTCGGGTAAATTTCATTAATTGTTTGATTCATTTGATTCCATTCAGGGTCATGTTGACTTTTCCTTTGAAGTTTATCGTTCATTGCCAGTCTGTCAAGGGGCCATTTTGTTGGTAGATGCGACCAAAGGTGTTCAAGCTCAGACCATTGCCCACTTTAATCAAGCGCTATTAGGAGATGTTAATCTAATCCCGGTGATAAACAAGATTGATGTTAAAGAAGCAAATGTTAAATCTGTGGAAGATCAATTGATTAACCTTTTCTCCTTTAGTCCAGAGGAAATTTACAAAATCTCAGCCAAAACGGGTGAAGGATGTGACAAAGTAGTCGAAGCAATAATTGATAAAGTACTTCCACCGGCGGGTAATATCAATAATCCTTTGAAAGGATTTTATTTTGATTCCTGGTCCCATCAAGTCCATGGGATTATCTCATTAGCTACCGTCTTGGAGGGTAAAGTTAATGTCGGTGATAAAATTTACTCGTTAACTGGTAAAAATCTTACACCGTCAGAGAAGTGGGAATCTTTTTCCCCGAGGAAACACCGGTGGAAACACTTTATGCAGGTCAAGTGGGCTATTTATCAGCTTGTATTCGTGATGAGTCTGATGGTAGAATAGGAGATGCTTTTATCGAGGAATCGAATTATAATGAAATAAAGTCGAAAGATCCTTCGATAATTGAAAACATGGTAAATGATTTACCGAAAATTCCCAAACCTCGATCAATGGTTTTCGCAGGAATATTTCCAGCCGAAGTTTCCCAATCAAAAGAATTAAAATCTGCTCTTAATAAATTAATTCTCAACGATTCCTCAGTTGAAATGGAACCTGATTCTAGTCCAGCTTTTGGCTTCGGGTGGAGATTAGGTTTTCTTGGCCTTCTACACATGGATGTGTTCACCCAACGATTAGAAGCTGAATACGATGCACCAACAGTGATCACCGCTCCAAGTGTCTCTTATAAAGGTAATAAAATGATCTAATCTCCCAACGAATTAATATTTTCTACTTTCTAATTATAGTTACAATAAGAGGAAATAAAAATATCAAACAATATGGAAAAGAGATATTGACAATTAAAAACCCGATGCATCTACCACCGGAAAATATTATCGTTAAATTTGACGAGCCTTGGGTCATTGGGTCGATAATTACACCTAATCATCTATTCGGGCCAATTAATTCATTATGTCTTGACCGTCGATGTGAACAAATTGATTCCTCTTATGTTGATCAAGAAAGGATTTTACTTAGATACAAGATGCCCTTAAATGAGATAATCCTTGATTTCTATGATCAATTGAAAGTGATCACTTCTGGTTACGCAAGTTTTGATTACGAGGAATCAGAATACATTGAAAGTCCAATAGTTAAAGTTAACTTTCTTTTAAATGGTAAATTAATTGAAGAATTGACCAGCTTGGTTCACAAGAATAAGAGTTACAATTACGCTAAAGCAGTTTGTAAAAAGCTTAAAGACAATTTACCACCTCAATTGTTCAAAATCGCAATTCAAGGAGCAATTGGGACAAAGATAATTGCTCGAGAAACAATGGACGCATTGAGAAAAGATGTAACCGCTAAACTGTACGGAGGCGATGTGACTAGAGCTCAGAAATTATTAGCTCGTCAGAAGGAGGAAAAGCAAGACTAAGGATGATTGGTGATATTCAAGTGGAAAGAGATACTTTCATTAAAATCCTTAAAACATAATTAGTTAATTAGATTTAGAAATTTTCACTTTGTTAATCTTTGTTCCCATTTGTTATCATTTTTAGATGTAAATAAAGATCCATAATTAATGTAATGTACTTTGATTCTGTTTGATTGTGATTGTTTTTGTTTCTCTTTACGATTATTGAAAATCAAATTCAATATGATGAGCATGTTTAATTGAATTCATCGGTTAATTAATCAAAGGATATTAATTAGAACATTGAATAGTCTAAATAAGAATCTAACTGATCGTATTTTGGAAATGATGAATTACATTGTATGAGCGAATTATTTTTTTTATTTTATTAATATTTTCGTTACAAATGTATCTTGTGTTTAAAGAGAGATTCTCTTGAAACCTTAATTGTTAATCATGTGGATCGATTTCAATCAAAGTGAAATTAATGTTTAATTTAACGTAATCGAACAGAATTTCTGGTTCGATCTCTAAACCAGGAATAATGAGCTGAGTTAATTTCTTCTCAGATCTTGAAAACAATTAAAACATTTAAACTTCCAAACAATCTCGATTTGAACTCTCGTTTTAGTATCTTGATAACATTTATCGCTCTAAATGTACAAAAGTTTTTCTTCATATTTGAAACTGAAAAATTCAAACAAACTAAATCAATTAATAGAAAACGTTTTCAACTTTTTTTTATTTGTTGTATTTATTAATAAACCATCGAGATGATCTACTAGTTAACCCGCCGATTGGTTGAATCTTCAATTGTCGTTGACTTTTTCCTGGTTGGACTTTAATTTTTACAGCACATTAATTGTGATGCTGAGCTTGTATTTACTGATTTGGTATGTGAAGGTAGGCTTTACGATCGAGTCGACAATTCGACTTTTACGAATAAAGATCAAGAATGAGTTAAATCTGTTCGAAATTGTTGCTATTTAGCCGAATACAAACATTTGCTTGAACTTAAAGACTGATACCAAATGTAATGAGCGTATACATGTAAATAGTAATATCGAACGACAATCAGACATCTATTTATTAAAATCATTATGTCAAGAATATTATTTTTATGTAAGTAATTAAGTAGCCGATTAGCAATTCACATTAATTATCGTTCAGTTTTAGCCTTTCGAGTGTCTATTTGTAAACTTCGGACTTGTTTTCGCATTTCTCGTCCTCTTAATCTTAGTCATTTGCCTTGTAATTTACTTGATAACAATTAATTGCAGAAGGATCAATTCTCCCTCAGTCTATTTTCCCTAATTCTGCTCAATCTTGGATACCCACAAACCCTTCGTGATCTAATGTTTCGTTTTATTCGCACTCTGTTGATTTATGTTTTCCTTTGATGTCATTTTTGATCACACGTACCAATTTAATAATTGGCTTCCGTTAGATTGTGATTGATTTTTTCTCCTTACCATTTTCGGAGACTCAATGTGATGAGCATATAACTTAGTTATTCGTTGATTAATAATGAATAATAATCATTTGTTGTCTTCATCTTCCTCATTTGCCTTAAATTGTGAGCATAGTTAATTTTAACAGTAAAACAGTAAGTATCAGTTAGTATCACTTTTAATCAAGTTTCTAAAACAAATGAATCTAAATTATCTCAGTGTTTAATTATTTCATCGTTAATCACCATCTCTTAAGTTAAAACCACAACGAAATTGTTAATCGTGACAACCATTTTCTTTGAAAAGTCACAAAGTGTTTTTCTTCAATTTCATTTCTAAAATGAGTGAATTTAAATTAACTCGATGTTTAATTGTCTCACTGGTGATCAGTTTCTCGCTAATTAAACCAACATCCCAGTTGTTTTCAGCCGAGGGTCTAGCTAATTTCTTGAAATCTATTCCGAAAGCATTAGCTGATGTATTTACGAGTATGGGTGAAGAATCTCCAGAATGTCCAAATATAATCGCAACGGCTCTCACCACTTGCGAAAAGCCACTTTTACGAAAACTTGGTCGCATTGAACATCGAATGGATAAAGGTTCATCTTTTTATTCCGACTGTTGCTACTATGCTCAGTTTCATCATTGTATGTTTTCCAAGGTCAATCATCAGTGTCACCAATATATCGATGGAGTTATTGACCACTCAGAATATACGAATTTGGAAGTAGATTGTTCAGAATATCACCATGAAGTAAGTAACAATACTAATCAATTTGATCTTTTTCTAATTTCTTTTCCTTTTCAATCCATTTCATCAGAATCTAATATGTCGTTTTGTTGACTACCATTACATTATAATTTCGATCGCGGTTATTTTTGTTCTAATTGTATTTTGTTATTGCACATTCGTTTGTCAGCGTAATCGACCAAAATCTCGGATTCGATCTCTTGGATCTCCTCCAAAAGTAAAATCAGGAATACAAAGTCGAGTTAATTTCTTTTCCAATCTCAAAAACCATTCAAACATTTGAAAATCAATCATTTGTATCTCCACAAGGGTGTAATATGGCTAACTTACTTGGAGGAGGCTAATCAGCCCAAATAATTGTCACTTGATTCAATTGTTTCTTAATTAATTAAACATTTACAATGATTAATCCCTGTTTAATGCGCAGGAAAAAAGCTTTACATCCACTAACGCAGTTTTACACATCCTGTAATATAAATCCCTTTTTAGTATCTTCATAACAATTTTTTGTACATTTAACATCAATCAATTTCTAATAAAAGAGATAATCAATGAGATGATTAAGTTAACCCATCGACTGATTGTATCTTTAATTGTCGTTTTGGGCCTAATTGGACTTTCATTTGGACAGGATTCTGATTGTGTAAAAAATATTTCATTGACTATAATTCATTGTGAACGTAGACTTTTTCAGCAAATCGACGTTTCATCATTTAAGAATAAAAGTCAAGAAGAAATTAAATCTTTTCGAAATTGTTGTCATTTTACCCAATTTAAACATTGCTTGGAATCAAAGATCGATGATGAATGTCGTCAAATTATTGACATTTATTTCGAACAGTTGCCAAATTCAAATACCAATATCAATTCACTAAACTCTGCATGTAAAGAATATTATTTTTATGTAAGTAATTAAGTTGCCAATTAGTAATTCACATTAATTATCATTTAATTTTCTGATTTTTCTTTAGTCTTTAGAGTGTTTCTTCGTGAACTTCAGGCTTGCTTTTGAGCTAATCGCCCTCGTCCTCGTAATCTTAATCATTTACCTTGTATTTTACTTGATAACAATTAATTTCGGAGGACCAATTCGCCCTCAGCTTATTGTCCCTAATTCTGCCAAATCTCGAATTTCTACAAACCTTCGTGATCTAATATGAAGATGGTGACTTTCAAATTCAAAGAAACTTCAAAAACGTTGATATTCTAAGATATTTGTGACAATTAAGATTCACAATTTTCAAGTGCTGTACAATAAAGTTTAGTATTTCATCATAATTATTGTTCGCCGTCAAAATAATTATACATAAATTTTCTCACTACAATGTAATGGTCATCCTATCGATGAAACTATTAGACCAGAAAGTAAAATTATGCCATTCAATTCACAATTCAATAGAATATGATTATCGTAAGTTATCAATTAAGTACAGTAATCAGAATCAAACCAGAATCTGGTCCAGAAAATGAGACTGTAAATAAGCTATTCTTACGAAATGTCCATTGCCGAGAAGACTTTGTCGTAATTGTGATGACAACGGAAAAGAAAGAGAAAAAGAAAGACTGTATTGTCAGTGATGCACCACAAAGACGTAGCTTTGTTACTGGGCAGCTCAAAAACCAACCTCAGACTTTACAGTCTTATAACTTGATTCGAAACCTTCGTGGAAGAGTCGGGATTGATGTTCTCCCGCGACATCCCGCGAGATATCGTGATCCAGAAGCCATGACGCTAACCACTAGTCTAAGACAAAAGTTATAATTGGAGAACGTTGAAAAAAATTCTCTCCTTATCTGTTTGTTTACTGTAACTTCTGAAACTCCAGCTTGTATTCACCAACTGACTTGTGAGATCGAGCCTGATTCTCGGATCAAATCTTTAGCCTCTCAACTTAATTATTGTTTTTGTATTAAAATGGTCAGAAATTTTTGCACGAAAAATCAATTCAACCATAAGCAAAGTAATTAAACTTGAAATATTTATTCCAGAGAATTAATTTTTTCTAAATATTAAAATTCATTATTTCCAGGTTAGAAATAATTAAGTTGATCGAAAATTAAAAGTTTCCTTCCGACCAAAAATCCTTCCGATCATCTTTGATCATCACACGTATCAATTTAATAATTGGCTTCCGTTTGATTGTGATTGATTTTGTTTCTCCTTACCATTTTTGGAGATTCAATGTGGTGAGCATATAACTTAGTTATTTGTTCGTGTTTCAGTCTCAGGTAAATTTAAGTCCGATTCTATTAATCTGTTCACGTTGCAACGTTTACAATGAGCTAACCTTTAAATCATTACAAAATGATCTTTATCATCGTTGCCATTATCACAATTAAAACCAACAATAAGTAATCAACTGCTCACAGTGATTAGTTTAATTGTTTATTTTTTTTATCATTTCTGATGATCACATTTATTAATGTACTTTGTTTCCGTTTGGTTGTAATTGATTGATTTTCTTCTCTCCTCCGTTATTGGAAATTAAATTCATATGTGATCAACTTAATTCATTGGTTAATTTATTATGAATCGCATAATCGTTTGTTGTCATCTTGCTTCTTTGCCTTAAATTGTGAGTATAGTTTATTTTAAAAGTAAATAAGACTTATTAAAACTTTTAATTAAGTTTCTAAAACAAATGAATCTAAATTATCTCAGTGTTTAATTATTTCATCGTTAATCACCATCTCTTAAGTTAAAACCACAACGAAATTGTTAATCGTGACAACCATTTTTCTTTGAAAAGTCACAAAGTGTTTGTCTTCAATTTCATTTCTAAAATGAGTGAATTTAAATTAACTCGATGTTTAATTGTCTCACTAGTGATCAGTTTATCACTAATTAAACCAACATCCCAGTTGTTTTCAGCCGCGGGTCTAGCTAATTTCTTGAAATCTATTCCGAGAGCATTAGCTAATGTATTTATGGATATCGGTGAAAAATCTCCAGAATGTCCAAATATAATCGCAACGGCTCTCACCACTTGTGAAAAGCCACTTTTGCGGAAACTTGGTGAAATTAAACACCTAATGGAAAAAGGTTCAAATTCTTATTCCGACTGTTGCTACTATGCTCAGTTTCATCATTGTGTGATTTTCAAGGTAAAGCATCAGTGTCAACAATATATCGTTGAAGTTATTGTTCTAACAGAATATTCGAATTTGGTAGTAGATTGTTCAGAATATCATCATGGAGTAAGTAACCATATTAATCAATTTGATCTTTTCTAATTTCTTTTCCTTTTCAATCCATCTCACCAGAATCTAATATGTCGCATCATTGATCACCAGAAAACAATCATTTCGATCGCTGTTATTTTGGTTCTTTTAATAATTGGATTAGGTTGTTACATACATTTTCGAAAAATCTAGGATTAAATCTCATCAATCTCCTCCAAAAGTAAAACCAGGAATACAAAATCAAGTTAATTTCTTTTCCAATCTCGAAAACAATGCAAATGTTAAAGTCACAAAACAATCACTTGATCCACAATTCACTCCCTCACTTATTACCATTAATTTAAATACTTCCTAAGTTCCAATGATTTAAACAAATGAAAAAACTTTTTCACTTACAATCAATCATTTGAATCTCCACAAGAGTGTAAAATGGATAACTTACTTGGAGGAGACTAATCAGCTCAAATAAACTGTGTTTCGAAAAAGACTTGAACACTTTTCGAAGCTATTGCAAGATCGGTTTAAGTTTCTCCGATTTTCTTACTGCCAAATACTCTGAAAGGTTACAAATTAATACATAACAAATTCAGAAAAGAAAATTCCGAACCAATTTTATTTTCTTAACAACGTTATTTGTATCAAATTTGATTTTCACAATTAAAATATTATCTCTTTAATATCCGTAATTAAAAACTCACGCAAAATATGAGAAAACATCAAAGTGTTCAATAGTCTCAAATAATTTCCAATAATCTAAATTCACGATTTAATCACCGCTTATTCGAGTATGGAATTTTGAACGGACTTTTGGCCTGCCAAAGTTCGATTTCGAACTTGGTGTCAAAAAAGTTCTCACAGCCCAAGGAGTCTAACAATGTGATCTGTTTGTGCCTGCGACTCTCCGTTCGCGAGCTATTCCAAAAACAAATCTATTTTCTTAGCAGTAACGTCCTTTATATTAATATAATTAGAATATAATTAAGTCGAGACAAAATCAGCTCAAACTGAAAATTCTGAGCTGATGGACCTTTCATGAGACTTGTCGATCTAAGGATAAATACAATAACGATATTAACGATACTTTTGACTGTAACAATAGTTGATTTAATACTGGCCTGGGTTTCTAAATTGTAGTGAGATTGTTGATTAGCTTTATGACTTGAAATAGATCATGATTTTTTAACAATTAACCAATATGAAGAAGATGAAAAACGATTTACACTCTTTCTTTCTCTCTGATTCTTACATTTAAATCAAATAACTAGCTTGATAAAATTATCATGAGATTAACACACAAGCTGAATGTTGATGATGAGTGATGATAATAATTATGGTGATAAATGATGATAGATGAACAAGTTAAACTAAACAAGGAAAAGGTTCAATCCATTGCATTGGTTAGTAATTTGCTATCTGTTGTTTTGATTTAGTTTCCTTGAAAAGATGATTAGAGTAAAAGACCAGCTTCATCGTCGACCGCTGGTTGGTCTTCTGTTGGCGAAGTACTTTTCCCCTCTGACCTTTCAAGAATACCCTCGTGTTTTTGTTGCAACGATCGGGCTAGTTTTGCATATTCGATGTCGAGACTTTTGATGAACGGATGTTTAAGAGCGCTGATAATCTGTCTGGAATCCATTTGATCGAATCCATAAAGAAGTTGATTAAGAGTATTCTTTTCTTCTTGTTCGACATAACTGTAAATAGTAATAAGGGAAATATCAGTAGAGTGAAAATGGTTTTTGCTGCACAAACTTACACAATGTAGTCGCCGAAAACTTTGGAAGCTGCAACCACATCGTCTCTTGAGAGTTGAACAAGTACTAAGTGCACCACCAAACGTCCACAGGCTCTTTCATCTGGAGCCTCTTGAAGAAGTGCCATTTGTTTTTCGAGCATTTTCAGAGCTTCGCTGTAATTTTTAAGCTTAAGGTAGACACGAGCCGATTTTGAGGCATACTCTGCGGCTTGGAGACTTTTTGATTCGATTGAGCTCACCTCAGCCGCTTGGCCGTAAAGTTGTGCCGCTTTCAAAGGATCCACCTTTTCAATCAATCTAAAGGAAAAGATGAACAAGAAATTAAAATCTCATTGTGATAAAATCTTAACAAACAGAAGGGACCAAAACCAATCGACTTACTTAGCACCTCTTTCGTAGACTAGAGCACAGGTATCGGGGACACCATGTTCTTGGAATAATGTACAAGCCTTTTCGAGTAGGTCAATAGCCTGAGGCCAATTTTCCATATCCTTACCAGCGACATAAGCTGCTTGTTCATAAGCTCTGACGAGAGAAAATAATCAAATATTGATATTTACCAACCAGTGATTATCATACATACGATGACAATCAGTAAATTACTCACTTTGCTGCTGAAAAATATTGATGTGCCTGTTGGTAGTAATCACCTGATTTAATGCCACAATCAACGGCTGTTAGAAAATTTTACAACCTTTGTAAGCAGTGGCTGAGAAGATAGAGAAAAGAAGGGAAAAACAAGTAGATATCAAAAAAAGAGGAGAATTCAATTGTAGTAGGAAAAAGAGGTAATCAGGAGAAAAGAAATTCTAAAAATGGAAATAATTAAAGGATGTCACAGGATAGAAAAGAATAAAAAATTGAGCAAATGACAATAATAATACCTGCTTTTTGATACTCAACAGCAGCCATTTCAAAATCGGGTTTCCACCTGAACAATGTTGTTTTCAAGCTACCGAAAGAAAAATCAATCCCATCGGTAGAATGTAGATGACCAATAGAAGCAATTATTCCATGGAAATGAAGAGAAGAAAAATCAATTAATCCAATGGAATAAAAGAAAAAATCAAATCGATTTAAGAAAAAAAGAATAGAACAAAAATTTACCTTTTCTCAGCTCGATCAACACATTCTTGAGCTTCTTGGATTTTAGATGAAGACATAATTATCTCAACTGTTTCAATATGATAAATTATATTCTTTCAATTGATTAAATTAATTGGAAAAGGAAAGAAAATATTACCACAGTTAACATGGAGAAAACAAAAAAAGTGATTAACGGAAAGGTGAAAATCAAATGTAAACAAAAGTGAGAATAGAAAACCAAACTGAATGGAAGATAAAAGTGAGCGAGTGAGTGAGGGAGAGAAATAGAAACATCGACAAGATTAAATCATAACCGTTACTCATTTGGAATTAATTAAAAGGTCTTTTAATTATCTTTTTCGATTAACCTTCTCATCAAATTAAGTCCACAATTTAATCCAATTTTCTTCTCAATGGTGATGTTTAATTCAATGGATTTAGTGACTAATTTATTTTGTTTTGGTTCCATTTTTGTCATGTAAACAATTGGATCTATATGATAACATTTCCAATGGAAATGAACCTGCTAATCAATTCACCATTTAATTGTTCAATTTTTTCTTCTCTTCTAATCAATTGGTGTGATTAATTGTCTTCATAATCAGGTAAGTTAGTGTTCTCATTAATTGTGCACATTTAATCAATTACTCACCATAGGTAATGAAGAGATATTGATATGTTTACCTTTTCTTTTGTGATGGATCAATTGTCAATCTCATTTTTTTTTATTTAGATTAATTAACATTAGAATCTTTATTTTTTTCCCTTCATTATGTCAACTTGATTTTCAATTGTCAATTTAAACTAACAAAACCTACACAGTTTTTATTAACATTTGATTTGGTACTAATTAACTAACTAAATCTAATCAACCGGTTAAAGTTGATGATTATCATCTTTACAAGAAAATGTTTAATTCATGTTAGAATTTATTATATTAATTCTATCGGGATATTTATATATAATTGTCAGAATGGTTGGTTGATTGATTTGATTAGATTTAGAATTTAAATTGAGAGAGAAAGAGAAAGAAAGAAAATATTATTTTTAAAACTCGCTCAATGTTATTCTGTTGCTTTAGATACTCAAGATCAGATGTTAACTGTTGACTTGGAGAAAAAGAAGAAAAAAATCTTGTAATTGTTTCTAATTGTTCCCAATGAATCTACTCAGTTTATTTAATTTTCTCTTCTTATTTACATGTAAATATCTTGAAAAATAATTCCAATTGTTCCAATAATCTACAATCAAAATTGATTGTTCTAAATATTGTGTTGTGTATATTAATTTTTTCCTTCTTTGCCCTTCCTTTTTTTCCCAATCTCTTTCTTTTCTCCCTTTCTTTTTTTTTCTTTTTTAGTTCTATTCTAAATCAAATGTTGTCTGTTTGTCAAATTTAACATCATCATCATCGTCATCATTTAAAAAGGATCAACTGTTTACCTCTAAATCTAAAATCAAATCAATGGGATTAGTTTTAAATACGTAAATCAACATTGGCCTAATCTGTTATTCCAAATGTAGTGGATTAAAAAGTATCACCATAACCATTTATTTCATCATCTTTAATGGTTACAGTTTCTAATACCCTTTTTCTCATCATTACCAGCAAATGGTCAACACATCAGCTGATGATTTACCCATTTAACTGTAAACTCCAAAATTGATTCACAATTAACTTGTATCTTCTATATATATATATTATTTATATTAACTTACCCCCATTTGTTTTACAAAAGGAGATTAAGTTTGCTATTCTTAACCAAGAGATATGGATGATCCGAATTATAAAATGAAAAATATCTACAGTTCTGTTAGTCCATCAGAGATCGCTTTAAGATGTACCATTCTTGACCTTTGCCAAAGATTGAAACGAACGGAGGTTTTATGTGATTACTATGAACAATGTAGAAACGAATTGGTTTCTGATTGTATTCGATTAAGACAAGAAAGAGATTATTACCTGATGGCTCATAGGAATAATTTACAGGTAAATATTCATTTTCTATTTTCTAAATTAATATCTAAAGGCCTTGGATTATATTGTGTTTATATTTTATTTAATGGTGGACTTTAATTAGTCACTTCCTTGTTCAATATTATGCATTGTTGAGTTTTCTCAATTTTTGTTTTCTGGTCTCTTTCTTTTGGTGATTTTACTTATTTATCTCTTTCCATCTCTCATTTTTTTTTTCCTTTCTTTCTCTATATTTATATATAAATTTCTCTCATCCTTCAGCAGAGGTCGGAGGCTTGTAAACCAAAAAGTAATCCAGCAAATAACAGTAATAGTAATCCAAACACTGGGCCTCCGGTGGACACTAATCAATTACGCCAATCCAATAAGATACAGCCAAGCTTTTCATTTGAGAAAGAAATTGATTTTACAAAAACAACGGAACCTGATGATAATTATGAAGAGATTGCTAAACGATTGATAGCACAATTTAGGGAGGAAATGGAGGAGATCAGAAGAGCTTCATTGAATGGTCCACAACAATCAACATCAAGCAATCAAAATGAAATAGTGGCCACAGGTTCCCAGGTTTTAAAAGGTCGTCCAACACAATCAACCAATTATCCGGTTGATTCTTCAACCATGCCAACCATGTTAGCATCACCGATAACACCGGCAAGGCAATCAAGTCAACAAACAGTAGCTTCTAATTGTGATGATGTCAGTAATTCAACTAAATTATTATTATCTGATGTACCAGGTTGTACATCAGGTAAACCACCACCACCACCACCACCATCAACAACAACAACAACACCAGTCACAAATCCTGTTTATTTGAGTAAAAAAATGACACCAACATCAACAACAACCAATGATCCAACAATTAATAGCGAATATGATGAAAAAATTGTAATATATGACGTTTTGGAAGATGTTCAAAGAGCAGGAGGAGGTGGAAATAGTGGAGTAATTGGAGGATCAAGATATTATCAATCTAATCAAGGAATAACCAAAAGAGACTCAACATCCGAAGCCATTGATAAATTACCATCTCCATATGATGTTTCATCATCATCTAGTGCCTACAATAGAAACCAACAACTACAGGGTCATCATTATCACCACCAGAATCATCATCATCAACAACAACAACACCATCATAATCTTCATCATCCTCACCATCAGAATCGCCAACGTCATGTTAATAGTAGTAACAATGAATTCCAGAAGGAGATTGAAAATGCAAATGATTTCCGAGATGTTCCAACGGTAATTGAGGTGAACAGTAATCGAGATAATTTTATTAATCCAATGGGTGGTGGATATGAAAGACCCGGAGGGGATAATATTCAACCCCAAGAGTCGACTTCCCATTTAGCCGCCGAATATTTTGATTTGGTCAACAAAGTATTGAAAAATAGTATCAATGATTTTGATACACTCACTCGGATACTGATGAATCAAAATGAGAAGCTTCGTAAACTTAAAGGCAAACAATTAAGAAACTATTTTAAAAGACAATTAGACCAAAATAATGAAACAAGTAACATACCTAAAAGACCTTGAATTAGATTTAATTGTTCAAGGTTCTTTCTTTTCTACTCAATTTCTACATTTCCATTCACATAACAACGTTATGGTTAATCCTGTTAATTACCTTCCAATCTGGTAAATTGGTCAATCATTTATCATCAATCAAGGAAGATTTTAATTGCATCACATCTCAAAATATTACAATTATTTTTTTCTCTCCATTAAATTGGATCACATTCTGAAAGCCATGCAAACTTATAAACACACACACACACACACACACATAAACAATCAAATATAAACACAATGTAAAGTGAAAACAATTATTACCACAATTAGTGTTTCAATTAGTGTAAATTTTTAAAATCCCAAATGCAAAATCATCAATTCTAATTGTAATGATACACACATTTAATTATCTCAGTGTCTTGATTAACCTTCTCATTAAACCGAATGAGAATATTAATCAGTGAAATCTACAATTGTTAACTAAGTGTATTATTATTTGTCCAATTCTCTGTTATTATAATTAACTATTAATATTTTGTAGAAGAAAAAAAAATCTATCATCTTGTTAACCAATTAATGAGAAAGTTTAATTACTCAATCAATTTTTTTTAATAGAAAACCAAAATTTGTAATATTTGTGGAAATTGAAACATAAATTTACTCACTTGAAAACGAAACCTTTTAATTGTTGTAGTTTAATTTTTTGTCCTTCTAATTGTCCAATTGATTTCAACGTTGATAAAAAGTACGATTAACTAACATTAATCCAGATAGAATTAAAATTAAACCAATTATGATGAAATAATGAAAGTAAAGGGTAAGTTGACACGTTGGACTCTACAATTAAGGGAAATTGATGATATAACTAATGAATAACAATTAATCAACTAATCACAATTTACTTACGTAGTAACTGTAATCATCTTGACAAAAATTTGCCAGTTTTTTAACACCAAAAATTGCCTGAGTTTTAATTGTTAAATTTAATTCGTAATCACATTTACCGTGAATGTCACTGTCCATACAAAGTTTAAATTGAGCATAATTGCAACAATTAAAGAGAGAGAAATCAACTTTCTCAATTGATTGTCCATCTTGGTCAATTAAATTAGTACTTTCCGTTAATTTTGGTTGGCAATAATCAAGAGCATCTTTCATTATTGATTTACACTGATGAGGAGCAATGAAATCGTCATTAATATCTCGTTGGATTGTTACAACAATCAAAGAAAAAGTGACAATTAAGGACGACAGATGATTTAATAGATGCTCCATTTTAGAGTAATACAAAAGAAAATTGATCAAATTGACTTAAATGTTTTGAGTGTAAAAAATTTTTCATTTAGTTTAATTGTTAATTAAGATACGAAAAAAGAGTTTCTTTTAGAAATTCAAATGATTGATTGTTACATCATTGGAAGTATTTAAATTAATGATTATATTAATAAGTGAAGGAGTGAAATGGTTAATTAGTGAGTTTAAATGTTTGAATTGTTTTTGATATTGGAAAAGAAATTAACTCGACTTTGTATTCCTGATTTTACTTTTGGAGGAGATCGAACCAAAAATTGAGGTCGATAACGTTGATAAACGAATATGTAATAACCTAATCCAATTAGAAGCAAAATAACAGCGATCGAAATGATTATATTCTGGTGATCAACGATGAAACACTTTAAGGTCTAATGAGATGGATTGAAACGGAAAAGGAATTAGAAAACTTTTAAATTGATTAATATGGTTACTTACTTCATGATGATATTCTGAACAATCTACTTTCAAATTGGTATAATCTGATCCGTCAATAACTTTATCGATGTGTTGGTGACACTTATCCTTGACCTTGGAAACCATACAATGATGAAACTGAGCATAGTAGCAACAGTCGGAATAAGAATTAGAACCTTTTTCCATTTGATGTTCAATACGACCAAGTTTTCGTAAAAGTGGCTTTTCACAAGTGGTGAAAGCCGTTGCGATTATATTTGGACATTCTGGAGATTCTTTACCCATACTCGTAAATACATCAACTAATGCTTTCGGAATAGATTTCAAGAAATTAGCTAGACCCGCGGCTGATAACTGGGACGTTGGTTTAATTAGCGAGAAACTGATCACCAGTGAGACAATTAAATATCGAGTTAATTTAAGTTCACTCATTTTAGAAAGGAAATTGAAGTCAAAAACTATGTGACTTTGGAAAGAAAAATGATTGTAACAATTAACATCTAGTTGACAATTAAAACTCAGAAGGAGAAAGATGGAAATGACAAGTGCTTTTTATGCCTTTAAGGTCATAAAGGTTAAAGGGTAAATTTTGGTTCCAATTTTGAATTAAAAGATTCATTGGAAATCAATTCACTGATTCAGTTAAATGATTAACTATAGTTGATCATAATTATCATTACAAGAAAATTATTCTTTACTCATTTGAAAAGGTGAATCAAATAATTACAATTTTTTATATTCAATGAAAAATTTGGAATCAATAAAATTCTGTTGATAACAATTCAAGTTCAAAATTAGTTAATTGTTTATAATAAAGGTTTCTGATTCGAGTAATTAAAGTTTACATTGGATTGATTGTATTAGGTATCCTCAAAAGTTTCTGCACTCTTTTCATTGATGATTTTTTTAGTCTTAGATATTAGAAGATAATCATTTTCCTATTATTAAATTGATACCATTTTAAAGCTTAGAACTTGCTCTTTCGAATGATACTAATTTTATTAATTTCGGACAATTCAATTAATTACAATTAAATTTATAGTAATGGTGTTTTTTACCGAGTTTTGATGACTCATCATTGAGGTCACTTTTTCCGTCGGTAAAGTGACCTGAAATTTTTTTTGATATGATTAACATGTGGTCCTAATATTGAAATTATTTAGGAAAAAATTTGATCTATTTTGCTTATTTGATTATAAAGAAACTAAAACTTAATTAACTAATCATTTAACACTAAATCCCCATAGAGAACCAATTTTCACCTTTTATGAAAAAAAAGGTAAAATTTTCAATGGTGAGGTATTGATAGAAATCGGGTCTAATCCATCAGAATAGGTAACTAATCTATTCAATTTAATAAGCAAAATAGATCAAATTTTTTCCTAAATAATTTCAATATTAGGACCACATGTTAATCATATCAAAAAAAATTTCAGGTCACTTTACCGACGGAAAAAGTGACCTCAATGATGAGTCATCAAAACTCGGTAAAAAACACCATTACTATAAATTTAATTGTAATTAATTGAATTGTCCGAAATTAATAAAATTAGTATCATTCGAAAGAGAAAATTCTAAGCTTTAAAATAGTATCAATTTAATAATAAGAAATTCTTTATCTTCTAATATCTAGTACTAAAAAAATCATCAATGAAAAAAGTGCAAAAACTTTTGAGGATACCTAATATTTTTATGTTAACTGGCCGATATATTTGATGTCTAGTTTGATTTGGCCAGGTAATTGTGTCTCTTGATTAGTACAATTAGATTTTGATTGGTTAATTGTTCCAAATTGATCTTATTTATGGTTGTAATCGATACATGAACCAACCATTTTCAGCTATCGAATGAGGTGTTGAAGGATCGGGAAGATTTCTAGAGAAAATGATTCTATCATGAAGACGACTGCTTTGTCCCTGCCAGAATTCAAATGATTTAGGAATCAATTTAAAGCCTCCCCAGCAATCAGGTTTAATCAGATGAACATCATCAGCATGTTTAACCTCAAGCTCATTGTACTTGTCAATCAAATCTCCTCGACTGGCAATTGGTTCACTTTGATCACTAATTGCTGCAGCAATTTGGCTTCTTTTGGGTCTCCTTTCAAAGTAATTTTTTGATTCAGTTTCAGGTAATTGTTCAGCGTTTCCTTCAATTCTGACCTGACGGTTAAATGGATCCCAATAAAATAGCATCGCTGCTTTTGGATTCTCACGCTGATCATTAAAACAACATGATGGTCGATATTAAGGTGTAAATGTGAGAGAAAACAAATGATTAGAAAAAGAGTTAAATAGAGTTAGAATATAATTTTACCAATTCTTTTCCTTTTCGACTATTACAATTAGTGAAGAACTTGAATCCATCGGTACCAAAGCCTTTTAACAAAACCATTCTAGATGAAGGGAATCCATCACTGAGAAAATAAGGAAGAAACAGAAAATTAATCATCTTGAGATTATCTGATTTTCAACTGAACAATTGAGTTAAGAAAATTCTTCATATGATTCAGTTGTATTGGAACATAACAAAGTCTCAATTACTTTCAAAATGTAAACACAATACTCGGAATTTATCCAATGGAATAGATTCTAAATGAATCAGCTAATTTTTTAACCTTAATTGTCCAAAATACTTAAAATTGTCACAATTTCATACTTTGTACATGTTGACACACAAACGGCATTCGGCTCAGAAATTTTGTCACATTGTTTGGCCTCTTGGAACCAAATCTCAAACAATTTAATCGGATCTCTAGTAGGTAAATCCTTCTCAAGAAGAGCATCCTCATCCTCTTTATATGGTTGTCTCATAGCTGAATGAATAAAAACAAAAAGACAATTAGTTAACCAGTAGAAAGTATTTAATCCAATAGATTAACCAAAATCACTTACCTGATAAATCAACAGAATAATTTGACAAAGACATTTTCAGGGTTAGTTGATTGAACAGAGAAAATTTTCTAATTCCAATTGTTGTTGACAATCTGATTGATGGAAAAAACATTAATTCTAATTACAAACGAGACAATTAAACTAAAAGTAAACAACAATAAAGATTTGTTTCCATGTTTAACTGAACCAATTAAAAGACAACAAATGAAACTTTATCGTAGTCAAAGCAACGAATCAAATATTGAGCCAATTTTGAAATTCGTCGAGAAAGTTAAACAATTGAATCTGATTGATTGAAAGTTTCTCATTTTCCAACAATTAACACCAATAATGAAATTCAGGAAAATGGAACTAAATTAAAAGAGAGAAGAGGAAAAATTGAACTTGTAATTAGAATCCAATCGAAAAGGTAACAATTAAGGTGAAATTGTTTCTCTCTCTTTAATCGTGTTTTCCAAACTCATGATTACCATTAATGAGTTACAATTAAAATCTATTCTGACAAAGGATCAGTTGTTTAAAGAGAAATGAACAACAGGTTAATGAAAGAGAAGATAAGATGATAAAAGAAAGAGAAGAGAAATGATGATAAAGGTGAAGAAAGAAAAAGAAACAGGAAACATTTTCTGTTGAAGAAAAAGTCTTCATGTGTTAAGTTGATTTTTTCTTCTTCTTTTCTATTTTATCCCTTGTGTTGTTTCATTTAATTTCTTTTATTTGATCTTCTATTTTTCTAAATTATTTAGATTTACTTGTGTTCTAAACAATACAATTAATTCTGTTTTAATTCTAATCAATTAAGGTAAGTAAATTAATCTTCTCATTTTATATTGTTTCTCCATCTCTTGTGTGTCCGTTTGACTTGATTACCAAACCTTTTGGTGTAACCTTTTTATTTGAGAGAACAATTTTTTTTTCTTATTCTCTTCTTATTATCTTTCTTTCATTTTTACTTTTCATTAATTGTTGATTAACTTGAGGTGATTGATTAGTTTTACTCAATACTAATCGGTGGTTAGTTGATTAGTTGAATTACTTTTGTTTTAGTTACAATCAGTTTCTTTTCAAGGTAAGACATATGCTTTTCTCCTATGTAAGAGCGGTTGTTTTTTTTATTCTTTTCTTTTTTTATTCTATTCTCTTTCTTCCTGTGTACCTACCTTTTTATTGTGAATTAGATTAAAATCTGATGATGATTATTGTGATTAACATTTTTAGGTTGGTCAACCAGTCTCTCTCTCTCTCTCTTTTCCCTATTATCCAATCTAAATATGGAAATACGTGTGTTCCTTCAAAATGGAGTAAAATTATCCGTGTTTGCTGTTGCCTTCAATAGAAGATGAAATTTTTCCTCATTCTCAACGGTCAACAACATAAATACTCTTTTTTTGTGTTTTTATCCTTAATTTAATTACTTCAACTCCTGTGACTGATTGTTGGTAATCTATTTTAACAATAGAAATGGAAAATAATAAGTTTGGTATGGATTGACGTTTCCTCTTCTTTTTTTTCTCTCTCTCTTTTTAACTTCTCTGTCTGTGATAATTTTCCTTTTCAACACTAACACAATTAAGTAGCCATTAAATGATTTAACTAATCAACTAACTGTACAAATATTTAATCTTACCTTTCTTATTCTTTCATGAAAACAGGAACAAATCAATTATATGGACCTCAAACCTTTCTTGGAAATACTTCGTCACGATCTAATCACAATACAAATCTCCATCAACAGCAACAACAACAGTTACTAAATCAACATTTATACCAACACCAGTATCTTTACCAGAATCAGAGCCAATTACAGAAACTAAACCAACAACAACCCCAACCACAATCACAACCATTTCAACAGCAACAGCAACAAACTAATCAGCATCAATTGAATAATGGGAATAAAAACCGTTCAAGTCCTAATATTCCAAAAGATGTTTTGATTCCAAAATGGCTTCCAAAATGTGGTTACTGTGATAAATTAATCCTCGAAGAACAATGTACTGAAGCTGAAGAGAAAGTTTGGCATTTGAAGTGCTTCAAATGTTTCGAATGTAAAAAGACACTCGGAGGTCAACAATATGTTATGGCTCGACCAACCGTGTTAAGATCAAATGAGACAACTTTTAATCCGGAAAGTGAATATCCTTATTGTTTAGCTTGTTTCGATGCCTTTTTTGCTGAACTTTGTGAAGAGTGTGGAGATATTATCGGTTGCGAAATTGGCTCCATTAAACATGAAGGAAGACATTGGCACGCAAATGAAGCCTGTTTCAAGTGTAACTTTTGTAAATCTGCTCTTCTCGGTAAATTGTTTCTTCCCGCTAACGATGGTAAAATTTATTGTTCGGCTCAATGTTACCAATACATTTTAAAAATGTACCGTCCATCCACAACTCGTGAAAAAACTCAATCACAACCTCCACCACCTCTTCCACCTCCACTTCCACCTTCTTTATCTACTCGACTCAATCCAACAACGATTCCATCATCATCATCATCATCATCACCTTCCTCTGTCCAGTTACCCGCTCAAGTTTCTCTTTCTTCTACCAATCAACAACCTTCTCCACCTACTCATCCTCATCCTCATCATCATCTACAACAACAACTACCACATCAACATCAAACTTTGCCTAAACTCCAACCAACTCAATTGGTTCCGATATCAACAACACCGGTTCCTCAAGAAAGGACAACCATTAGCCGTGAACAATCAACTGATCATTCATCAGTTTTGAAACCTCATTCATCATCTCCATCTTCATCTTCCGAAAGTACACCTCTTCTCACTCGCACTTCCACCCTAATCAATGATAAACCCGACGTAATACAAAACTATCTGATTTCACCAGAAGAAGAGGAAAAAAAGAAAGATGAGAAAGAAAAGGTTACCAAAGAAAGTTCACCATCAACTCCTCCAATTACAACAACAATCATAGATTCAGCTATTACCCAAGAGAAGGAAATTTTATCATCATCTTCATCACTCCCAATTAAAGTTTCCACAAATGATCCTAACTTAACCTCTACAATACAAAAGATATGCCCAAAGAGTGTCACCTTTGACCCAAGTGTAAAGGAAAACGAATCCAATAGAAAATGTCGTTCAGTTAAAAAGGTTATTAAAGATGATGATTGTTGTTCGACTTGTTCATCTCATTCATCATCTTCCTCAGATGATGAATTTGATTATGATCTCATGGATGCTCGTCGACGCCAATGGATCGCTGGTACTCGCATTCATTATGTAGCTGCAACTGCTCAGCCAACATCATCTTCATCTTCATCAACACTTCCCAAGACAAAGAATCGCTCAAAATCCAATGATTCTAATCACTCAAAGACAAAAACACTCCATCGGCCAATTAAACGATTCCAAGATTGTTCACTTAATTGGGCTGAAATTTTACGAAGTAAATTGAAAGGTCGCTGAGTTTATTTTTATACTCAAACTTTTGCCAATTTTTTTTCTTACATGATTATTTGCACAACTGATTTACAACAATTCTCAACAGGAAAAAAGTTGTTCCATTTCATCATTTAATTTCAACAATCAATTAATACTTTTGTACTAAAAGATAAAACTGAATTTTATTTATTTATTTTCTGTAAAAACTGATGAAAATACAGGAGATTACGTTAAATTAACAGATTTGTTTTTGGAATTACTTGGAAGCTGAGAGTCGTTGACAAGATCAGACCGCAGATATGGACTTGAGAGACCATGTGAATTTGTTTGACATCAAGTTCGAAACTGACCTTTCGGTAGGTCAAAAGTCCGTGAATCGCTCGGCCAAAATTATCTAGTAAAATTTGGTGAAATATTTTGCTCTTTTTAAAGCCAGAAAAAAATGATTTTCGTCCACAAAGCGAAATTCGAATTTATAAAATGCATTTGGACGATAGACCAATTTATTGCTCCACGAGTTAGGTTAGGTTAGGTCATCATTAGGGCGATAATATCAATATGGGACTGAGTGAAGGTCAACATGTCTAATTTATTTTTTAAATCGTTGTAAACAATATAAACGAAGGGGGTAAGAGGAGACTTTACGCTTGGATCGAAATTAAAAGTAGGACTGTTACGTTTGGGGGTAGATTTAATCATTTTTATACTATTTGAAATAAAGATCAGAGACTAGACTTTTGAAAACAAATTTTCACTGCGCATTTGACACATCTCTTGCCGCATCTTGCATTGAAACAGTAGCCAAAGCTTTATCGATTTAATCCAATTAAATATGACATTTGAGGAGATATATTATTGTTAGGTTCAGATTTGATCTTAATAGGAAGATAAGAGATTGTTACTACTTAGCTCTAAATTCAAGGTGAGTACCAACACCGAGATTGACCCTATTCTCGAGGCGAAGTCATCGTCACCACCTAATAATTTGACCGTATTTAATAAATATTATATATTATAATATTCTAAAGTTATTGTCAAATTAATGCCACTCGAAGAGATAAAATTCTATGACCTTGAGAACTACATGACCTTGTAAATGACCTTAAATAGAAATTTAAAAAGCATTAGGATGAATATTGATAGAATCTACTAGATAGATTATCCTTCCTTATTAATTTTTTAACTTCACGACCAGGCTTGAAAAATTTCTAGTTTTCAAAAATGTCTTCAAATGACATTCAAGTGACGTTCTTTCATGAATAACCTTTATGACCTTGACCTTGAAATATGACAATTGAGTATCGGTTAAACTTTCATAGACGAAATATGGACCCTGTGGTCAAGTTGTTTTTGAGTAATCGTGAAAAGAAAACCAACAAAATAGCTGAATTTCCCTGAATAATCTTTGAATAAATCTTCACTTTATACTGTAAAATATCTTGTCCGATATTCAGCAACGACCGCCATTTTCTCTCTCATGGTAGCAGAGCGCTGGTTCGCTGCTACTGAAATCATCATTTACAACATAAATGTATTTTTTATTTTATTGTAAATTGTCAACTCTGGTCAATTAATTGCTGGTTGGTAAATTTCACCCATGGTTTATTTTTGTCAACAATTAGCGTCATATGGTTGGCGTTGTAGTTTAACTATGAGAAAACAGGTATTTATGCTCACACAATTAGGATAATGAGCTCTGGTAACTTTGAACAAAGAGGATAAAGAAAATAAGTTCAACAATTAAATCAGCAGAGAAAAAGATTCTAAAGATAATTAAAGATTATGTTCCAATTATTATGATGTAATTACAATTAATCACGAGCCCAGAAAGGTAATTCAGTTTGAAAATGGAAATCAATACCCTGAGAGAAGGAAAAATAACAAAGAAAATCAATCAAATTATAAAATAGTTAAATTACTAATTGAAGAAATATGTTAATTATCTTTCAGATGATTAATAAATTGTCATTCTTACCTTATAAGAAACACAGTGAAGGTAAATTAACAATTCGCTTGGCAATGGATTAATTTCTTGCGATTTACAATCAGAACAATTTTCATCGATTGAAAGTTTACTCGAATCTTTCGATTTACTATTAATATTTAATGAAAAGGTAATTAAAAAAATTAGATTTTCTTTCCCATTGAAATTAGTAAACAATTGATAATAACATCAATTAAATCACTTTACCTTTTCATGTGTTCCCTCCACTCGTCACTAATTGTTTTATTAACTAAATCACTGAGTTGATTAATTTCTTCGTGACGTTTATCAAGCTCTTCCTGAGTAAGAGTTTCCATTTGTTGGTAATCATCTGATTCAAAGACATGAAGATGTCTGTGTTTATCGATAACCCTTTGTGCTAACTATTAAAGTAAATTTGATTACAATTAGAATCCCAATTTAGTGATTAACCAACTCACATCTTGTAATGTTCCTTCACCATAGTCTCCTCCTTTACCGATATTTGGACCAAAGGAATCACAGTTATACAGGGGATCGTTTGCAATCGGATAACCCAAGTACTGGAGGTGGACACGAATTTGATGAGTTCGACCGGTTAATGGTTCACATTGGACTAAACTTGTTTTACCATCGGTACTAATTCGTTTGAAAACGGTCTTTGATTCTTTACCATTCTTTTCATCGACTATTTGAAGGCCAGTTTTATGGTCCAAAGTACCTAATGGCTTTGAACAGGTAATTTCATCTCTAAATCAAATTCAACAATATTTCAGTTTTAAATTGTCTTCTAATTGGTTATTGTTTCCTTCTTTATGAAAGATGAAAGTTAATTATGTCAACATACTCGGGAAATTGTCCGGTAACTTTGGCAATATACTCTTTCTTAACTAATCGTTGAGTTATTTGATCAATCACTTTACGAGCCCAAAAGCGATTTTTAGAAGTGATGACAAGGCCAGAGGTTAAACGATCTAATCGATGGCAAACTAATGGGGGGAAAAATAGTGAAGATAATTAAATTATTGGAATCTATTTCTTTGTGAATAGATTGTGGACTTAACTGTGTAATTGTTCAATTCCATGTTCTTTTTTAAGAATTGAAGAAACACTATTGAGATGAAAACGACCACAAGAATGAACCTGATTAGTTAAATAGAAAATAAAATTAGAAATGATTTACAGTTTTCTCCTATTCTATTTTTATTCACCGGTATAGATGGAGGTTTATCCAAAACTAGAATGTTTTCATCTTCGTGAACAATTTTCAATGGTAATCCGATAACAGGCATTTCATGACGATGCACTAATCCAGTAATTAAATCATTGTCTTTGAGAATATAATCAGGAGAAACTGGTTCATCATCAACTCTAATCAAACCTTTGGAGAATCGTTCAAGCTAAAGAGAGAAAGATATGAAAGAGTGTGAGTTGAAAAATGACACAAAAGAGAAAATTATTCACAGAATAACAGAATTTAGACTTATGACAAATCAAGATGAATTAAATATTAGTAATAATTTAAGTTTGTCGTAATTACCAAAGAGCCATTATTAATTGATCTAAATTCCTTCTGGTAAACATCAACTATTTTAGATCCAATCCAACGTCCCTTGCAAAACGAATAAAATGTATATAAATATGGATACACTTTCCTCAGACCATGTTCAAAATAGTAATCAGAATCTCCCCTAATTAGAAAATATAAATAGAAACAATTAATAAAAGAAATCAAAGAAAATAATTGTAAATATGTTACCTGTCAATTTCCAAAATATTTTTTCGCTTCTTTGTTTTACTAATTGTCGCTGGAGGTTCAATAACATCAAATTTTCTTTTAACTCCACTAAAAGATGACATTCTTCTAATCAGTCCAATTTGAGTAATTAATTCAATTCTCATTGACAATTAGATAAAAAAACAAAACAATTAAACAAAACAAATTCAAAACAAATCAATAATAAGAAACATGTGTTAGTCATGAGGCCGAATACCCAAGAATAGTGGTGCCATCTAGTGTTGGAAAAAGAAACTTTGAAGACTTAATTGTTAACAATTAAGTTTCGATTTTTATTTTAATTGATATTTGGTATTCGATTGGTATTTAATGTAATTATAATTTACTTGAATTAAAGTAAATATACTGAGGAGAAAATTCTGTGATGGAATTGAATTCAGATGTGAACTTTAAATTCTGAATGGGAAATTATCATAATCTTTATGAATGTTGATCCATTTAAATTGTAACTTTATTAACAAATTTAATTGTTAAGACCATATTGAGATAATTGTAGGAGTTGAAACGAAATTAATATTTATACGTCTAGACAATGATAAAGAAGACAATTAATAAATTAATCTAATCTTTACGTTTTTTTTTCTATCCATCAATAGTTAACATGAAACCGAGACTCTCAAGTAATCAATGGTTGAAGATTTTAAGTGATTAATCAACAATTTAACTCGTTAATTGTAAATATACTTGATTATAATCAATCTCTCAAGTTAAGTATAATCTATTCATCGAGATGATTTGTTTTCCTTTCTCGATGTGATCAAAGTTAATTAACTTTGGAACAAAAAAATTAGTTTAATCAACTGTTGTGATCTTTGCATGTGCTTCATGTGTGTTTGTTATTTTATTGATTGTTGCGGTTTTTTAACCAACTGAATTAAACAAATTGTTATGATTAAAATCTCAACGATTAACTGAAAATTTCCTTATCCTTACAACGGGAATAATTTAGATAGTAAACCAAAGGTAAGTAATTAAATATTCACAATAATGAAAAAAGAAATGAAGTAAATCAAATTTTCTCTGACGTCCCAAAGAAAGTTAAATTGTTTCCACATTGATTAACAATTAACTTCCTAGAAAAGAAAATGATTTACCGATTGATTTTCCTTTTAAAATATTTCGCGATGATTAATTAACTTTTAATTTGCTTTTCTTCGCAATCACATTAATTAAGTTCAACGAAAATGTTTGAAAAATTTTTTTCCCTCTTTGTTTATGTTTACATTTTTTTCATCTCATTTAACTAACCAACATTTTCCTATATGTTACCAAATGAATGTTAATTACAAGTTTAATTTTGTAGAATCAATTAATTAGTATCTCAAGGTAATCAAGTGGAAATTAATTTTTCAAATATTCACCATTAATCACTAATTATCTTCACTTTGTCTTCTTCTCTATTACTTTTTAATTTTCTATCAACAATCAATTGATTTATTTTCCTCTAGGTTAACAAATGGGTTCACACTTATAAGAGACAATTGTCATCGTTGATTGTACACAATTAGAAGAGGACAATTAAAGTGCTATCACGATAGAATCACGTTCAAGATGATCAAGACAATTTCTAAATTGTTAAAAAGCTGATTAAATGGAAAAGCAAATCAATTAATTGATTTGAATGTTCACAAAACACTGACCATTGTTTTCTTACAACAACAACAACAACAACATGGGATGAAAATAAGGTAACCAGTTAAAGTGAATTTTAATTATTTACTGGATCGTGATAATTGAATTAAATTCATCATCTTGTTTAGTTTTAATTACGATAATGATTCGAGTTTAATATACAAGGTAAGTTAAACAATCGATATAAAATTGATGAGATACTTTTAATGGATTACATGATTTCTTGTTTTTTTCCTCCTCTCTGTGTACAGGTAAACATTTACCTCTTGAACATTGGAAAAGGATAATTAAGTGGGTGATGATTTATACTAATTAATTAAACTCGTAAAAGACAAAGATCATCCTGTTCATCATCATCATCATCATCAATTTCATCAATATCAAGATCAAAGAGGGAGAGAGAGAGAGAGAGAGAGAGAAAACTAAACCTTTCCTCTTTTCTTCGTATAGTTTTAGCCTCTTTTTCATTTTCTCTCTCTATTTTTGTCTCTCTCGTTCTCCTTTTTCTCTTCTTCTTCTCCTTCTTGTTCTTCTCTCTTTTTTATCATCTTCATCTTCCTTTTGCTGTTCTTCCTCATCATCAATTTAGTAACCACCTTTTACTCACTCATTCTCCTCAAATTCTTCCTTCTCTCTGAGTGCTAGATGATCAAATACATGAGTGAAACATTCAACTAATATCAGTGTTTCATTTGTTTTCATTTAATTTGCTTCTCAAAATAACATTTCAATTCAATACAATTAGATAAATCATCATCATCAGAATTTGTTTTGTTATCTCTCCCCTTTTCTCTGTCTCTCTCTCAACTTAAAACAAATATAAGTGTGTGACTGTGAGATATTGTTACTATTGAACCATTAGCTTTATCTGCAAACGGATTAAATCAACTCATCTTAATTTAAATTGAAACCGATGTCTTCACAATCAACTAACTGTGTTACCAATGGTGGACCCAAGGCTAATGGACCATCATCATCATTGCCATCAGCACTTTCATCAACGACAACTAATGGTCATTTAACCTCCAATTATCATCATGATTCTGAGCGTACAAGTGATGTGGGTATCATAGCAATGGAAATGTATTTTCCATCAGTTTTTGTTGATCAAACGGAATTGGAAAAATATGACGGAGTCTCCGAGGGTAAATACACCATTGGCCTGGGTCAAACTCGAATGGGATTTTGTTCAGATCGAGAGGATATTCAATCTCTTTGCCTAACAGTGACCCATCGATTGTTTGAGAAAACCGGTATCTCACCTCGAGATGTTGGATTCCTCATGGTTGGAACTGAAACACTGGTTGACAAATCGAAATCTGTTAAAACGGTTCTGATGAAACTTTTCGAAGAATCTGGAAACGGTGATGTTGAAGGTGTTGACACAACTAACGCTTGTTATGGTGGGACTGCTGCTCTTTTCGCTGCCGTTAATTGGATTGAATCAAGTTCATGGGATGGTCGATATGCTCTTGTTGTTGCCGGTGATATTGCCATTTATGCTTCTGGAAGTGCTCGACCAACCGGTGGTGCTGGTGCCGTGGCCATGTTAGTTGGACCCAATGCCCCACTTGCCTTTGTCCGTGGAGCACGAGCAAGTCATATGGCTCATACTTACGATTTTTATAAGCCCAACATGGACTCCGAGTATCCGGTAGTTGAAGGTAAACAGTCAATCATTTGCTACACGCAAGCAGTTGACCGATGCTACCAATTATTTTCATCTAAATATGAAAATGTCCTCAGGAAGGAGGCGTTGACCATTAATGGTCAGATTAAAAGTGTCAACGGTAGTAGTGGCCTTAATGGTGATTCTAAAATTGCCAAATTGATTGACAGTCCATTAAATGGTAAAATGAGACTTAATGATTTTGATGGGCTACTTTTCCATTCACCTTATTGTAAATTGGTCCAAAAATCGGTTGCTCGTCTTTCGTTGAACGAATTTCTTTGCGATGACGATCCTGATTATGAGAATTATTATAAAGGTTGTGAAAAATATCGATCAATTAATTTGGAGGAAACTTATTTCGACAGAGATTTGGAGAAACAATTTATCTCTCAATCATCGCAACTTTACAAACAGAAAACTCAATCATCATTGTTATTGGCGACTCAAGTTGGTAACATGTACACCGCTTCACTTTATTCTTGCCTTGTTTCTTATTTCCTCAGGTAATCATGAGACTTTATTATCTCTCCTTTACATCATCATCATCATCCCTCATTCTCATTATATGATGATTTAAATCAGGCCCCTTTTTCTGTCTCTTATTCAATATCTTTTTATATCTTGTCCGCATCATCTTGATGACCTTGCTCACCATCATCATCATTCTTGCTCACGGCTGACCCATGAACCGTCTTCCTCTTTCATCTCTCTCTCTCTCTCTCTCTCTCTCTCTCTCTCTCTCTCTCTCTCTTTCTCTTTCATCTTGTTACAAAACACACTCGACAAGATGAAGAAGATGAAAAAATGGGTGAAATGCCAAAAGAAACTTATTAACATCCATTTTAAAAAGAATCTCTTGCTTCCTTATTTTCCAATGCCTTTCGGCTCATATTGTTTATCTATCATCTTAATCTTGACCATCATTTAATTTAGGTAATCAACTAATTGTAGCATCATTTTTTCATTTTTCTTTTTTTTCTCTTTTCTTTTAAATAATATCAACAGTAAACCTTTGGAAGAAATTGCTGGTAAAAGAATATTATTATTCTCTTATGGTTCAGGAATGGCTGCTTCCATGTTCTGTTTACAAATATCACCTGATTCCACACCCAATTCACCTTTGGACAAATTGTACAATGGAATTCGCGAGGTACCTGTTCTCCTTAAACAACGAACCAAAATATCACCACAAGAGTTTGTTGAGACTCTTAAATTGCGAGAGGAGACTCACCATTTGTGCCCTTATACACCCAAAGGTCCAATTGATAATCTTTTCCCTGGAACTTATTATCTTGACAATATCGACAATTTATTTCGACGAGAATACAAACGAGTACCAGTCTCACCTCTAACCACCAATAACGAAAAGTCCGATGTTTACTCTTCGTCAACAAACCTAATTAAGAACAACAATCTAACATCGACAATAACACAATCATCACCACTTGCAGTACCATCAACACAACAATCAACACCATCCTTGTCATAGTTTTTCAACAATTCAACAATTAATATAACAATCAACAAACAAACAAACAAAACACGCGAAAATCAACTTTTTTTTTGCCAAAATCATGTTAATCAAAATTTTCACTTTTTCATTTTACTACAATTGAAAAATTGAGTTTCCATTTAGTTTCCCAAGCAACAAATCAATCACAATCCAATAGAAAAAATCAATTCCTCTTGAATAATCAGCAATCAACTGATTTTGCTGGTCAATCAATTTAAACTCAATTTTCCTTTAATTGTAAATGAAAAACAAAACGAAAAACAAAAATTATCTATTGGTTACATTTTCTAATTACTTTTTTGTGTGAATGTATGAGTTATATTAACGTGGCCTTCCAGAGATACAGGACAAAGACGACAATTTATATTAGATAATCAATAAATCACAATCATCGTAATTAACTAATTACAATGAGAATTTATTGTGGGGGATAAACAAAAGAAACAATTATTTTGTTATTGGTTTAGTGTTTTCTTTTTTCATTTGTTAAAAGTGTTTCCTTTTTGTTTCCTCTTCCTCTTTAGATGCTAATTATTAATCATTTACATACCGAATTTAATAGTTTACTAAATCAATTATTAACCATAATTATTGTTAATACCATTAAAAAAAGTTTCAAAGAACAAGCAAAAAAAAAAGTTACTACAATTGTTTCCAATTGAGAAAACAATTAAGATTCAAATGAGAATCTTTACTTTTTAGTTTTCGAAATTAAATTTTTCTATCAATTCGTACAATCAACGAATCACTTTAAATGGAATAAATTATCTATATTCTAACAATCGAATCATTTAATTGTTAAAATGGAAATAAAATCAACTAATCATATTTATTGTTAACAAAAATCTCATGTCAATTATATTTGTATGGGTTAATACTATCTGATTTCATTCAATCTCAGAATTTTTTTTGTTTCAGATTTAAAATGTTAATTGTTATTAATTTTATGGCTAAAGGGCTTTAAGAGTTCAGTTTAATTGTAATTAATCTGCTCTTTACCCTGATGACCTAAATACAACATTTCAAGTGGACAAGATTCAAGGGAAGAGGATCAAGATGATGATACTTTTTTGATGATGTTGTTTCATGATCACTAATAACTGTTGCCCTGGCCCTAATTCAAGGTTAATTTAGTTATGTTTTCTTGAGTGAATTTTTTTATACAAAACTGGATTAACTTGATTGTTGTTGTGTTGAGGTTGTTGCTTGTGTGTCTCTCTTCATTTTAGTGAATTTATCATTTGAAACCGTAATTTTTGTATACATTAAAATGGAGCGAAAGGTAACCAGTTTTTTGTTGCTTCTTTTTCGCTTATATTATGATTCATCGTCACCATTATTATCATCATAAGCGATTATCCTCTTTTATTTGGGAATAAACTTTTTCATTAAATCAGAACAAGAAAAAAAGAGTAACTCTATTTGAAATCATGGTTGATGGTTGGTTCACTTGGTTGTTGTTGTGTTGTTAATCATCATCAAATTAATATGCTAATTGACTTGAGAGACTAAAATATCCGTGTAGGTCTTTAGTTTGCTTCTCAATGACATATCGATATAATGTTCACCACCAAAATCAATAACTACTCCTCCGAGGATTGTGGGGTCAATCTTAGAGTTGATGGTAAGTTTCTTGGAGGTGAATTTCTTAAGAATAGCTTCCAATTCTTGTTTCATCTTAGGATCGGTTATTGGCTTAGCAGAAATTATGGTACAATCCAATTCTCCTCGGGAAAAGGCCATAATTTTAGCATAATTACGAGCCACTGCAGGTAAATACTTAAGCCTATTGGTTTCAGCCATTACAGCGATCATATTATTGGTTAAATCACAGGTTTTAAATTTCTCTGGTAACAATTTAGCCAAAATTTCCTTCTTTTGTGATCCTTTGATCAACGGGTTGGTCATAAAGTCACGAAATTTAATATCCTTATTACAAGCAGCAGCCAAATTGATTAAATCTTGTTCCACTTTATCAACCTTTTGTGTTTTAGATGCAGCTGAGTAAAGGGCATTTGTATATTTACCATCAACACCATAAAAACCAATCGGAGGTCGAACCATAGTTGTTGAAGCAGCAGAAGCAAAACAAGCAACGGCCGATCCAGAGACACGAACGTAAATCTTTTGACCAAGAAGCATTTTTACTATTAAATTAAAAGGTCAAAAAACACAAAAGAGACAAAAGAAAACAATTAGAAAGCAAAGACAATTAACTAGGAACAACTTCAAGGGCAAAAGATTCAACTCAACATTTAACCCAAAAGCTTTTCTATAGAGATTCAGTAAAGAGATTCAGTAACTAGGAAACAACAATTCTCACAGTTTCGATGTATCGATACATCGAAAGTTTAGAAATACAGATTAGTCGATGAGTCGGTTTTCTTTTTTCAGCTGATTGATTTTCGTCAACCGGCTTAGTGGCTGTTTGTTCACTTTGATTATTAGAATTAGAATTTGTTTTTTATTCTTTATTAAAGATTCATTAAAGATTTACGACGATGGTCGCGTGGCTTTACGATAAAAGTGATCTTAGGAAGACTCCGTCCATTATCGATGGAATACCTTATGAGATGGAACAAAGGTATCGTCGTGAAGGTGCTCGGTTCATAATCAAAGTTGGAACTAAGATGAATCTCCGGTACGATACAATGGCGACTGGTGTTGTTTATTATCATCGTTTCTATATGTGCCATTCATTCAAGTTATTTCCACGTTACCCGACTGCCTGTTGTTGCTTGTTCCTTGCGGGTAAAGTTGAAGAAACACCTAAAAAGTGCAAAGATATAATTAGAACTGCTAGAGAATTTTTAACCACTAATCAGTTAACAACCTTTGGTGATGATCCCAAAGAGGAAGTTCTTACTTTGGAGAGAATATTATTACAGACAATTAATTTTGACCTACAAGTTGACCATCCATATACCTATTTAATTAAATATGCCAAATGTTTGAAAGGTGATAAAGAGAAACTTCAAAAAGTGGTTCAAATGGCCTGGACGTTTATTAATGACAGGTGAGAGAATTGTAATAATTGTAAAAGGAGAAGAAAAAAACAATCGATTCTTTTGCCAAGAATAGGCAACAATTAATTTAACCTCATTTCGCTTACAATTTGTGTGAATTTTTAGTGATTTGATCGGTTGGTCATCTGTGAGAACCATTGACAACTTTTATCAGCTGATTTGCTTTCAAACAATTGAAGTTACAATTAGAATGCTTTTTGATTGTTGACCAAGTTCGTTACTTGGTCTTTTTCTTTTATGGTTTAATGATTAACATTATTTTCTTTTTCTAGTTTATGTACTACCATTTCTTTACAATGGGAACCCGAAGTGATCGCAGTTGCTTTGTGCTATTTGGCTGGTAAATTATCCAAATTTGATATCGTTGATTGGGAAGGACGTCAACCGCACCATAAACGATGGTGGGAAACATTCGTTGAAGATTTAACCACCGACATGGTCGAAGATATTTGCCACCAAGTTTTAGATCTTTATCAAATTCCTATACCAGATACACCTCAAGATTCCCCACCGACTAGTCCAGCTCAGTCTAATTCCATAGCAACAAACAATAATGTTCCCAATTTGGTAAGAATTTCCCTTCTCTAGTTTTTAACATTTTTCATCGGTCATTGACTCTTGTTTTTTTTAATCCTTCATCATCTCATATTAAAGATGCAACAAAAAACCTCACCATTAGTTACAGCTCAATCAGCATATCATGAATGTAAGTACAAATTCAAATACTACAATTACCTTCCAATCAAAGAAACTTGAGTTGAATTCTCTGCTTTCATTTTCGTTGCACTCTAACTGAATATTTTTCTTTATTTTTCTGTTTTTCTCCATTTTCTTTCCAGTATCTATGACAGGGCCTCCACCGCCTCCTCCACCACCACCACCTCCGCCTCCACCATTGACTCTTTCATCCCAGGTATTGGGTGGACTCGTTGAAACGGCTCCCAACATGTTAAGTGTCGGCATGAAAGGCAATATGAGCACTCAACAAGCTTTAATCGGGTCTACGGGTAATATGCGTCTTCCAAATATTCCATCCAATGTTTCAATTCTACAAGCAGCCAATGTTATCGCTCCAAATTCAGCTTCTATGATGATCAGTGGTCAACCTTTTGCGAATCTCTCTAATTACGGTTTCCCAGCTCAATATACACTCGCTCCAGCTCCCCAATTAGGGACCATTCCAATGGCCCCTGGTCCAAATGTTCAACATCAGCTTTCAGTGCCTGGTACAACTTGGGAATTCGCACCACACCAAAGTTATGTAAATATGCGCTTCTCTGCTCCCGATCATAATAAACCCATGGACCATAAGTGATACAAGACAAAAAACAAAAGTGTTTCCTTCATAAAAAAAATATATATTTCGTTTTTACTCCTTAGCCTCTTTTATTGAAAGCTAATTAATTTCTTTAATAAAATAAGTGCACAAGATCAATCAAAGTCTTTGTCTTCATCGGGAGTTCATTTTTCCGAGCCCATTTGCAAAAATGTCTTTAAAATTGATAAAATTTTAATAGAATCAAAATTTTCTATTAATCTTATCAATCCCATCAAAGGGTTGAGGAAACAGAAAGAGGAGATGATCAAATTAACGAAGCACTGATTTTGAGCATGAGAATTAAATGTTTAAAATGGCTGATAGACAATTAATTGTTGGCTGAAAAGAAGGAACAATTTCAATAATCCAGTAATCAAGACAATTGTGGTTATTAATGATAATAGAAAAGTCTAATTGTAGTATAAACCCAAAAAGATTCACAGAACGGTAAAAGTTGTATTCCAATAATAACATAATTTTGATTTATTGTTGTGAAGAGTAAATCCCTCCAATCGAATTGGTTAAATTGGTGAAATAATGAAAGATATTTTTCTTTACTTTTTGTTTTCTTTGTGTAACATAAGTTGTTTTTCGTTTGAACAATTTTCTCTTTTCCTTTTGATACCTTGGTGGAATTTAGAACATTGTATCCGAATTGGATGATCTTGGACAGATAAGTTTCTCCCAATTCTTGGTCATCAAATGGTAAAGACTATTATAATGATTACGTAGTTCTTTAACAACTAATTTCAAGTGAAGCCATTGTTTCTCGTCAAGTTCAGCAAGACACTCACGGTAATCGTCCTGAAAGATAATTGAAATAAAAAGAGAAAAGATATTGTTGGATTATCTTTACAAATCAATTGCGTAGAGTTAGAATATAATCTTACGATAAATGGATATTTGGCAATTTTAGAGATGATTTTTGCTCGTGAATGATGATATTTGGAAGTTTCGTCGTAATATATAGCAGCCTCTCCTTCAGCTGATCGAACTTCTTCCAAAATGTCCTCTTGAATCGAAACACCGAAATTATTTCCATCCTCAATTCTTGGTATCAACAACATAACCCATAATTTGATCTAAAATAAAAGATGTGAAAAAAAAGAAATTGTTAACTTATTTCAATAGTATTCAAGTGAATCCCACTTACTAAATTAAGATCTTCAATAAGCCCCGAAGTTTTCGGCTTTAACATAGCGATTATAGATTTGATTTTACTATTTCCTGGTACCATAACTGATGCCTGTTTATGATTAGTTTCATCTTGGCTTTCAACAGTGTCAATTGAAGCTTTTCGCTTCTTCCCTCTGGAAGTTGCAGTTACAGGCGTAGGCACTTCTTTTGGAGTTTCATGATTCATGGTGAGATCATTAGGAAGTCCAATTCGAGATTGTGGAATGGTAACATCTTGACGAACCACTTTAATATACTTTTCGTCAAATAGTTCACTCTAAAGAAAGAAAAGAAGCAAATTGAATTAATAGAAAATAAGTCGCAGAAAATTGACCGAACCTAAAGTAACCACATGGAATAGAACATGTGGTGTATAGCTAATACAGAGAAAATACGTAAATAGAGAAAACATCTTGTTCTTTTCTCTTTACTCACCTCAAGCATCGTGTTTAATTCCAATACTTTCTGAGGAAAAGCTTCTTTAATCAGCTTTTGAGCCTTTTCACTAATTGAATCATTCCAATCTGTTAACTATAGAAAAAAAATAAAAAACAATAAGAACAATTAACTAATCAAGAATAAAGCAAAATCCAAGAATAGGCAACATGCTTTAGCTTAGACCATGTGGAAACAAAGAGTTGAAACTAATCAGCTAATTACTCACCTTAGGACAAGGTGGAACATCTCGTTTAAGAATATTTCTTGATGACATGTTAATTAAGATAACTAAATAGTTCAAAATCAATAAGAACAATTGAAAATTAAGAAAATTATAATTAGCCAACAACGGACCAAAAAACCGGCAATTGGAATTGAAACAAAAAATTTGCAGCTTAACCAAGTTGAGGGAATGTTTAATAATAACAATTGGATTTTCGTTCTTTTTTCAAATTTAATTTGGTTAACAATTTAATTTTATTAATTAAAATTTTCTTCTTTCACTATTATGATTAACAAGTTATACATTCACTTCTATGGAATCTGGGGTTTAATTTATCGTAATTAATTGGAATGTAATTTATAATTAGCATCAACCATATGATCTTTAATTATGATTCGTTTAATTGTATTAATTTAATGAGAAAAGTTAATTCATTCAATCTTGTGATTAACATGAAAATGATTAACTAACTGTTAGAATTTCCTTTCAAGATATAATATCTAATTGTATGTGATTAATTCAAGTTTAATCACATACAATGATTAGGTAATTACTGAGCTTAATTTTTCAATCACCTTGGGAGGTTATGATTAATTGTAACTATCAAGCAATTAGTTAATTACATAATTTGATTCAAAAAAAAGCTTCTGATTGTTACACTTGAATAATAAAAATCACTTGCGATTGTAATTTTTAATCAACTGGTTAATCAAATCTGATTATTTTCAATGTTGATTAAGATTAAAATTTAAATCATTTCATCATTGATTTAAAATCAAATTGACCACTAATTGTTGTTTAAGAAATAATAATTATATGTTAATTTAATTCTGATAGAAAATAGTGAGCTTCAATTTAAATCAAATTAATTACAATGTAATTGCTTTTCAAAATAAATGTACAATCAAATTAAACCTTTCAAATCAATCGTAACAATTAATTTTAAAATCTAAAATCAAGAAAAAAATCTAAAGGTAAATTGTGATTATAATTAATTAGATTAGTCAGCCAAGAGTCATGACGAAATTAATTATATTTCAAGTTACATATTTTGTTAATTGTTATCGAGAAAAAAATCAAATAACTAAATGAAATAGTAAACAATTAAGGATCAAATCAATTAACACTGTTAACTGGAAAACAAAATTAACCAATAAACACAAATAATAATAATCTACTTCAACTGTAATTACAGTTGATTGGTAACAATTAGTGATAGAAATAAAGAAAACAACAAATCAATTAATTGTATCAACTGTTCAATGATCACATGATAATCAACAGTCATTAACGAAAATGATGGTAAATTAAATAATAACAATTAAAAACTAATAAAGAATCACAATTAACCAAACAGTTCCAATCGGAAGTAAAATCTTCACAATTAAACCTCCAGCAGGAGGATGAAAACTTTTCCAACCCTTTTAATTGATAACAATTAAGTACCAACGATAGCAATTAAATTAGTCGAATACAGTCCTTGGTTTAATCATCGATGGAATTTAATTGTTAGACAATTTCTTAATCATTTGAAGGGAGATGAAAAGTTTTCCATCCACTTGAGATGGCTAAAGATTAGCAATTTAATCTTAATCATCAGCCTAATTGTTTTCTAATTAGCTGTCCAGCTCTTACAATTAAGTCAAATAATTAAATGGCTTTTTTATCAACCATTAAGCTGATTAGATTATCAATCAAGCTGATCAATTGGTAAGCTAATAAAGTCTCTCAATACTTTATCATTAACTAATTGTGATTAACATTTTCTCTCTTAGTGAGTGTTGATTTACTGTTTTTCTTTATTTAATTTATCATCAAGTTAATTGTTGGGTGATAACTTTTTTAAGAAGGCGGAATTTGATTAAATTGTCAACAAAAAGAGTTGAGGATTCCAATATTAACTTCAGTTCACCACAAGTCGTCCAACAATTAAGATCATTTCACCTTAACAATTAACTAAATTTACATCGAAATTATTTCATCTTTTACCTTAATCATTTTCTTAATTAAATCTTCAACCTTTTTTTGTGGTTAATTAACTAATTCCAATCAAAATGATAACTTCATTTTTCGTATTGTCTCTTGTGATTCCAGTTTATTGGACTATCTTTAAATACATTGAAGCTCGACTATCTAAAAGGTAAGAATTACAATTAACTATCAACAATTAAAATTAATTTTCTATTTACAATTTAATTTCTAAATCTAATCAATTGTTTTCTCTTTTTACTTTTAGTAAATTCGTTTGAATCTTTGATACGACTGATTGAAAACTCACTGACCATTGGTTGTGAGTTGATCTTAATTTTGTTTGGATTAATTAACCAAGGAATCAACAATTGACCCTCTAACTATTAATCAAACATGTTAGGACAATTTAATTACCACACAATCATCATGATCAACTTAATCATATCACATCAACATCAACAACAACAGTAATCCAAAGGCTCTTGACCATCGACAATTTGGTTACTTGACCATTTTCAAGGAATCGCAATTGTGTTGATGGATTTAATTTTAAATTGTAATTGGATTCTAACCGATTGCTTATTATTAGAATGGATAATTAGATTGTTTTATCCGGTGTAGATTTTAATTGGAAAGAAAAAAGTTAATTGTCTCTAATTCTTTCAACTTTAGACTTGAAAGATCAATGAGATTTAATTATTTCCTAAACCTTTATAATTGTTGCTTAATCAATGATCTGACTTGATCTCACCCTTGGCAATCAATTCTGATAACAATTAACTAATTACTGATGTTGTGTTGATGATGAATCTTTCCTTTAATTACTTTCCCTTTATTATTTATTGTTAATCTTATTCTTCCCTTTGAATTGTAATCAACTTTTTTTTAGAAAATTTATCATTAATCTCTGTTGGATAATTAACCAAATCACTGTGATTAAGATAATTAATTTACTCAATAATCAATGTGTTCATCGATCAATAGTCCTGTTCATTTAATCCAAACAAAATTAACTAATAAAATGACGAATTGATTGAAACTATTATAAACAAATCTGACAATTAAGTTAATTATTTCAATTCGATGAACAATCTAGAAAAATCTAGCAAATTGTTGACCAACAATTAGTAGAGATAAATGTTAATCACGGTTATAGAAAATTAGATGGTCCAGATAATTTAAAATCAATTGATTTCTTTTAATTGTGTAACATGGGAACTGGAGGAAAACATTAGATTGGTGAAAATAGGAACAATTAACTTGGTTAATTGATTAAATTAAGCAACGGTAACGGGGAAAGTGAAACAAGCCAAAGCTTGATTGTTGGATTGCAATTGGTAAGTTAATGATTTAGCTGAGACACTTGATCGTCCAACAGTGAATGAACCTTTGTAGGTGTAATATTCACCAGCGGCGAGTGGACAATTAAGACCAGAATTACAAGCTTGGACAGTTGATGATTCGGTTCCGACGGTGCTAATTGCTGCAACTGAATTAGCGGCAATTGGTGAAACGAATTCAACTTGAACGTTAACCTTTGAACCAACTTCGAAATCACATTGGAAACCTTCACATCCCTCGATGCTTACAACTTGAGGTGGATTAAGATTACCCTCTGTTTAGAAATGAAACAATTAACAATTAGTTGACAATCAACGAGAAAAAAGTATAATTCACATTAGAGAAAATGAAACAATTAAACTTACCACAGGTTCGGAAATCAACGATTCCAGCAAATGAGGAGCCAACAAGAGCTAAAACTAAGATGATTGATTTGAACATTTTTCAATTAGTTTGGTTGATTGTTACTCGTCTGATGAACAGTTAACAATTGAATCAATTTTGTGACAATTAATCTACTTTTAATTAGCCCTTTTTATACTCCTCTCATCTAATTGTCCCGTTTAATGACGTTGGTTAGATTCATATACCTTTGGATTGATTGAAAGTCTAAATTAAGACAGAGTTAATTGATTAACCATCATGATCGTGATTATTTATATGATAATTCATTGTTTTCATGCAGATTAATTGATTATCAACAATGGAATTAATTGATCAATGATTAACTGGTTAAATATATTGTCATCTATGTTCAAAGTCTTTACTTTTGATTGTTAATCATTTCAAGGTTAAGGTTAGTGATCGATAGTCACAATTAAAGTCCGATTATTATTAGTACGAAAAAAATATTGATAGTAATTAGGGTTAATTCTGAGTTCTTATTGTTTTTGTTAATCTTGATTAAAGAATCAAAATGAATCAATCACAAGTTTAATTATTATTAGGAAATAAATCGCATGATTGTTGGGATTGACTTAATGTGATGATAATTAAATGTCAACAACTGATCACTGATTAATTTTTAGTCATACAAAGATATTTAATCGAGATTCAATTGTGAAAATATAATCAAATCAAAGAAATTGTTTAATTGTTTCAGATGGAAAATTGTAAGAAAAAAAAGGAAACATTTTCAGTGATTTTCAATTGATTACAGTTGGAAAAAAAAACTCGAACAGAAGTGATTAAATTAGACAACGTTAACAGGGTAAAGTAAAACAAACCATAGCTTGATTGTTGGCTCGTTGATTAGGTAATTTTTTGTTGGTTATTTTTGTCTAATGAGAAAGTGTTCCGCCGGAAAATTCAATTCTTGGTTGAGGTTCCACGAAATCAAGCCAATCAGATGGATGAATAGGAAGTAATCCCATTGATTGACATTTGTAAAGAGCCAACGCAAGACATAAAATGTTTCCCAATAAATAGATGAATTTTTGTAAAATTGACTGATTTCCCTCGATGAGTTTGAATGCTGAAAGAATGTGAAATGAGAAATGAAAAATAAGGATTACAATTGAGATATTTTACTAATCACAATCAAAAAGATTCCAACTCACTTGTATTAATTTGTAAAAGCGCTTTGACTGGCTTAAGGAAAAGCATACCGACCATCATAATAGGAAAAATTGAGATTGAATTACCGGCCATGTACATGATGAAAAGATTCATGGGAAGTTGTCTAACAGGACCTAAAGCAATATCCCATGATTTCTATAAAAAAAACAATAAAAGAAAGATGAACATTAATAAAGACAATCATTCAAAACCAATGGGAATAACAAATTACCTTGACAATGAGAGCGCCATCACTTTGTTCAACAACTGGAACATTAAATAAGACATTAGAAACAAAACCAGGAGGTGATCCTAATTCATTTTTTTCATTTTTAACCCTAAATCCAAACAAAAGTAAAAAATAGTTAAAAAACGTCAAACAATCAAAATGAAATCAAGTTTGAAAGGAAAAAAATCACTTACCTGGAATTAAAATTAAGAGCAAATTTGTGTCTCTTTACACTAGTTTGACCATTAGTACCGTGTCGAACTTGTGGATTACTACTAACTGATGACATGATTAGAAAAAAAGAACAATTAAACAATAGATAATTGCGAAAATTAATCAAAAACAGTAGCAGAATTTGAGAATCAAAATGTAAACACGAAAATGAAAAAAGTCTATTTTCAAAGCAAAACTGTGAGAATAAGAGGTTAGTCTATTTTCACAGAAATTCTTTGAATAGAATTTCAAAAGAAGCGGTTGACTTGCCCAAAGATCTTCAGGGAGAGTTTCCTATCTTCTTATGCCAAGAGATGGCACTTTTATTTATTCCTCTTTCTCTTCAGATTTCTCTCTCTTTTTTTCTTTCTTTTCTCTTTCTTTTTAAAGAAAATTTGTTCAACTTTTCACAATTTTTCTCATATTTTTTCACAGTTTTATTTTAATTATTTATTACCATAAATCACTTTAAACTGTAATAGAAAATATTATACCAATACTTACAAATAATGTTCTGCTTAAATATAAAAGGTCCACCTTTATTCATCATTTTATAAATTGTGCTACGAACAAAATTCAATTAGAAACACTCGAAGCTGATTAATACTCTGGATCAAATCAAAATGCAAACAACATAAATAAATGATAATACGGATGGTGAATAACAATAACCATCTATACCAAATTGCATCTTATTAGCAGATACCTGGAAACTCAACTAAATCATAGTTGGTAAGACTCAAGATATGTCCGTCAGCTCGATATCTTCACTTTTCAGCTGATTTTTTTTCTCGGCTTAAAGTTCGGTTTGATTGTCTCAGGCCCTCCGGGCCTTTCTTTGGTCATAGTGACCCTTATTAGCGAAGACCTAACCTAACCTAATTTAAACAAACACAATTAACTGAACAATTAAGTCCATTTTCATATGTAGCTTGAACTTTAAGCCGAAAAAAATCAGCTGAAAAGTGAAGATATCGAGCTGACGGACATATCTTGAGTCTTACCTCATAGTTAATAACGAAAATCATAAAGAAAAAAATTAAAATCGTTAAATTGAAACAAAGGACAAAACAAACGTTGAGAAAAAAGAACATTTTAAAACTTGAATTCTATGGATGGATTTCACTAATAATCAAGTCGGAAACTTTCAAGATAATAACAAAAACAGTTAAAAGAAAATTAAATCATTAATTAGATGGAAAACTGCGAACTTGTTGTTAACTAAATTGGTCAAAAGATGTCACTATTTGCTACTGAAAGAAATAGTTAATTTGTTTTTTTTTTGTGTTCTCTCTAATTAATTAAAATTATCTAATTAATAATATTTCCTCTTTATTAATTTGTATCCTAACTTATTAAGTAAGAAACGGTGATCAAACCGATATATTACTTACCTCCAAAATGTGCCAAAGTGATCCACCAATTGAACATCAATCGGATGACTCTAACAACCACGTGGAATTGGTAGACTCCAGTCTCATCGCCTCGCTGAAGGAATTGATTTTCGCGAATCTATCGATCACAGCAAAGAAAAAGGTCGGTAACAAGATTGAAGAGAAGCTTAAACAACTGAGTGACATCATTGAGAAGAAGCAAAATAATGAAGTTGATCTCAACGATAAGATGAATATCATATTGGGAAAGATTGACAGCATCAAGTCAACACCATCGACATTTGCTGAGAAGGCCAAGAGTAAACCAAAAGATAATCAAGTAATCATAAAGGTAAAAGAGAATGAAGATAAAGAAGGAACATGTCAGATTCTGATTAAGGAGCTGAAAAAAGACCTGAACATCCAGCTCAAAGAAATTAAACAAATCAGACATGGTATGATAATTACTTCGGATATGATGAACCTCAAAGAAAAAGTTTCAACTATGGCCAAAAATCTTCAAATCGATCAAGTGGTAACCATCAACAATGTTAATAAACTACTACCGCAGATTCAAATAGTTGTACCAAAAGAGGAGTTCGAGAATGCCGAAACCTTTAAAAAGAGAAATAACCTGGCAGAGGAAAGTGAAGTTTCATTTGTGTCGAGTTATGATTTTAAAACAAAAAGAGGAATGCATCTCACCAAAGTAATTGTACGAATGGATAAGAATAGTCGAACCAGAATCGAGGAGAGAGGAAAAGTCTTCATGGGCTGTACTGGTACCAACTTTAAAGATAATTACTATGTAAAATACTGTTCAGGTTGTTTCAAAATTGGCAACCACACAAGACGATACTGTGAAGAGACCCCAATATGTACCAAATGTCATGAAAGACATGATGGAGATAAATGTGTTAACCAAGATCGAGTTGAGAAATGTTGTTTACTTTGCAAGGAAAATGGATTCGACCAAACCTCGCATCGACCCAAATCTGAAGAGTGTGCATCTTATAAACAAGCAATCAAAAAGATTCAATCAATCACTGATTGGAACAAGAATGAAGCTACTTTTTAAAAGTCACAATTGTAGAAAAGAAATTACAAAAACAATGGAATTGATCAATGAACTGAATAACTTAGATGCGATATTCATTCAAGAAAGTAATATGAACACCCTATTAGCAGCTGAACTGGACGGTAAAGCGACGATGGTTACAAATCAACACACAGCAATCATAGTACGAAAACACAAAGTGATAAAGTCGTGGAATATCGGTGAATCTTCAATAGTGACTGAGATTAGGGTAAATGAAAGAATAATAGTTTTGGTAAATCTATACATAAATCCGAGTACAGGTGAAGAGAAAGTGAAGAAAGAATGTGATGAGATAGAGAGACGACTTGGTGGCTTCCGAAACAATCCGATAGTTATTGCTGGTGACATTAATTCGACACATCCAGACTGGTCGAAAAACGTCAATCCCAGGAATGAGAGGAAAGGATTAATGTTAGCTAGTGTTTTTCTTAAATTTAACATAGCGATGAACACACCTAATGATGAAAATTTCACTTATATTCACATGGATAAATCAAAGCACTGGATAGATATTATTGGTGACAACTTTCAGAACTTCTACAAAGAAACAGAAAGAAAGTTTGAATTAGATGAAGCGATAGCTGATCATCGAGGAATCAAATTGGAAGTTAATGTAATTGGTTACTCACCGAACACAATCAACCCACAGACTATAACTTACCTTGATAAGAAACGTCATTATGATAACATCGCTAATTCGTGGAGGAAATGGTGTGACAAATGTGAACCAAAAGATGAAGGGGAGTTAAATAATAGCATCATCAAATTTACCGTGGAAAACATCAAATCCATAAACAAATCGATTGTAACCAAGAAGAAAAAATTAGGCTACAAATCACTAATTCCTCATGAACTACGAGTTAATCTCAAAGAAGTGCAACAGAGGGTGAGAAATAATTTCTCACAAGCAAATAAAGAAGAGCTGAATGAGTGTAAAAAGAGAGTCTTCCTGGCAACCAAACGGGCGATTGAGAAGAAATTCAGTCCTCAGCAAGAACCGAAACTTCTCTGGAACGAAATTAAGAAGATAATGGGAAATCCAAGGACTGAGGAGACCAATGAGTTCATCATAAACAAGGTGAACGAAATGAAAGAATTCGAGTGTACAGACATGGAGAGTCTGGAGGTAGAGGAGGTGAACCATAAACAACTTGACAAGAATATAATATTATCAACTGAAGAGATAAAGACCATCATCAAAAAGATTAAGAATAAATCTCCTGGAATTGATTACATGGATAAAAGAATGCTGATCAAACTAATGGATGAATTTCCGGATTCGACCACCAGAATGATCAACATGATGGTGAACAATGGTAGCTTCCCATTAAGCCTGAAGATATCGAGAGTGGCAATGATTCCAAAATCGGACGGCAAGAGGGTTAGATCAATAAATATACAATCCACCCTTGGTAAACTGCTGGAAATGGTAATATTAGAAGGGCTGAAAAAGGAGGTGGATACGGATTCAGATGATGGTCAATACGCTTACAAGAAAAATAGCTCAACAATTCATCTTGTTGAAGACTTATTAACATCATCATGCTACAAATGCTCAAAGAGGTTCATTATCCAAACTGATCTGATTGGAGCGTTTGATCAAATCCATCATGCACCGATTATCCAGCAACTGATAAAAGACAAGGTTTCCAATCGAGTAGCCAAAGGAATAATCAGCTTTCTCAAGGATCGTCGTGCGGCCGTGACTGATAAAGAAAAAATCTACCACAAAAAAGTACTACTAGGAGTTCCTCAAGGCAGTGTACTTGGACCAATATTATTCAACATTGGAACAAAAAATACACTGAGACAGATTGAGCTCGAAGTCAACCAAATGATCAACAAGGAGATGAAAGTAATGGCCAAAGCGGAGGTGAGAGCGTATGCTGATGATCTGTTCATCTCAATCAAATGTCAAGAAAGTGACCCAGCGATATACGAAAAAATTTATACTAATACCTTAAGGATAGTAACAAGAGAGACCAACAAAATTAATCTTACAATTTCGCTTAATAAAACTGAGGTGTTATCAAATATGGAGGCAAGGTTAAACATCCCGAATTGCAAATCTCGGACGACAATTCTTGGAGTTCCAGTGGATATAATGAGAATTAAGCTCATCGATCAAGAAGAGGTAATAAGAGGGATAATCGAGAATTCCAGAAAATACAACATCAACAAACAGCTATTATCAGGACTACCGAGAACGATTGTAAATATGATCAACCAATCATTCATCATATCCTCAGCCAATTATTTGGCTCCTCTGTTGTTCGCCTCAATGATAAATAACTCGGATCTTGTAAAAACAATTGACCGACATGGCAATGAATTAATGAGAAAGCACCTGAGAATGTCATACAAAGATAGTAGATTAGCGACTTATGCAATAATGAATATAAACCCAACCTACAACAACATCGCTAAAATCGCTTTGAAATATCTTTATAAAAGAGGTTTCAATAGAAGGTCGTACATCTTTAATATCGCTGAAAACAAGTTAAATTTATATCCAATGGTAACCGACAATAGGATCTGGAACGGAGTTAATATTCATGCTAATCAAATAGCTGACCAATTTACTCAGTTCGAATGGTCTAAAAAGATAAAGACAAACAACAACCTCAAGCTAATCTTAGGTACCCACTGGAAAAAGAAAAACACCAAATGGACGAAAATGAACTCACAGACAAAGATGATAATAGGCTCATATGACTACCTGATAGAGAATCAAAAATGCTTATGTGGACACCAGAAAGTTGACTCTTTTCATATCATCTTCAATTGTGAAAAACTAGATGTACAAAGGGACAACTTGATGGTTATGAATCCAAAAGAAAACTTCAAGGATATTCTAATAAAGAGACACAAAGGCGCAGATGAACTTCTCTTAGAAGCGAAACAAATTCTCCTAAAAATCTCTGACAAAAGAAAAATATAATTATATGCAAGGTTTTTTACTTGAATTTATAAAGAATCAGTAGAAAATAAGAACGTTTTTCTAAGAAAGTTGATGAATTTTCTCGGAAAGTAAGTGAATTTCCATGAAAGTCAATGGATTTTCACCATAGATTCAATAATAAGATGAATTTTATATGGACTTTCTAAGAAAGTGAAAGAAAATAATACACCCAAATCATAAGTTCTAACCCACAAAACCCAAAATCACACCCATCCCAATAACTAGACCCAAAGAAATTCATAAAACTGAATCCCATTAACATGTAAAAATCAAAAAAAACGTAGCGCGATTAGGCTACGCTCTGTAGGGAAGAGAAAACATTAATAAAAGAATAATGAGTAAGATTGTTCAACATTCTAAATGGTTTCATTTTGTATTCTCTCCACTTCGGAGTCACAATGATGTTAAAAGGCTTTCGGCCAATTGTTGAATTTTTCTTTAATTGTTAACCTGTTGATTTAATTATTTCCATTTAATTGTTCAATCAAATAGTTTCTTTTTCATTTAAGAATAATAATCAATTTTTCTTTATTCTTTTACTCTTTTGTTGATAATCAATTTTTTCGTTTTTTCTCTTCTCTTCTATTCACTTTTTTTCTTTTTTATTTATTTTGTTCTTTTCTCTTTTTCTGCCTTATGTGCTTTAGTAATTCCATCCTTTCCACTCTGGATTTTATTCACTGTGTTGGTTCGTTTTCTTATTTTCATCCTGATCCCTATTTCATTTGGAAGTTTGATCAGTTATGGATGATCGTAATTTCTTCTTGTTAAATGATGATTATGAGATTAAACCAACAACTACCCTGAGGAAGAAGAAAATCACAAGCAACAAGTGTTATTATTATAATTTGTACTTTTCTTCGTGTAAAACTGTTATTGAAGAACAACTGGAACAACAAGAGAAACAACAGCCACTAAAAGACCAAGAGAAACAGTATTGCTTTCAAAAAGAACAAATAAATTCTCTTCTATTATTTCAAAGAGAGAAACAAGTAAAAGGAAAATATTTATTTCCATTACATAAACAACCACTAAAACTACAACCTTTTACTCTTCATCTTTTAATACTAGAGAGAAAATATCAACAATTACAATTACTGCAAGTTTATCTTCATCATCATCAACAACAACATCAATTTTCAACATCATATTTCAACTATAACAACAACTTATCATTTCCCTCCATCATCAGTGTTATCCTAAATTTTGTTTACTCTCTTTTCACAATCAACTTATACCTGACTACCATTATTACCAATACCTGTATCACCAATTCACAGAAAACAATTGCTTTCTCTTAACCAGAAGATAGAATAACAACAATAAGTAGTATATCGTTTAGGTGAGAGAGAGAATAAGTGAGTGAGAGAGAAGAAAAAAAAAGAATAGAAATTACGTGTTTCTAATCTTTCTCTCTTTTTCTATCCTTCTCATTTTTCTCTATCAATTTCACTTGATCATTTTTTCTTCTTCTCTCAATCCCTTGCCTATTTTTACCTCATTTTCTTTCTCACTTTTCCTTTCTCTCCCTCCTTCATCTTCTGTCACCATTACACACCACTATTACCACCATTACAAATATCACCTTTCATAATCAATTCTTCATAATCAACTAACCTTAATTCTCGCTTAAGGTTATCTAATTAACTTTCTACCATCCAAATATAGATATATAAATATATCTAATAACTATATTAATATTTACCATTTTTTTGTGATCAATTGGGTTTAACTAAAGCAGATTGAATGGTAAAAAAGGCCAGATTAGAGACGGATGAGAGTCAACTTTTACTAGGTTTGGTTGAAGAGGCTGATTCAATTGAGCATCTTCGCCATTCTCATCACCATCATCAACAATCAACTCACCTTCATAATCACCATCATTCTCATCATTTGGACGAGGAAGAAGATCTTGACGAAAGAAGGCAAAGTAGAAGTATGAGTAGCATGACCGGCACCAGTAACTCAAGTCCTGCTAACTCATTGAGATCATCATCACCGTCTCCGGTGGCCTGCGGGTTAACTTCAAACGGGTCCAACTCAACGGGGAACATGAATGACACCATCAACACCAATAACAGTAATAACAGTAGTAACCACCTATCTGAATCACCTCCTCCATGTGTTACCCCGAATAGTAATCACCGTGAACCGGATCCCAATGCCATTAAAATGTTTGTCGGACAAATACCACGTGATTGGTCTGAACTTGAGTGTCGAACTTTGTTTGAAGAATTTGGTGAAATTTATTCACTAAATGTACTCAAAGATAAATCTTCTGGACATAGTCGAGGTTGTTGTTTTGTTACCTTTTATTCCCGTAAATCGGCCTTAGATGCTCAAAATGCTCTTCATAATATTAAAACTTTACCTGGAATGCATCATCCCATTCAAATGAAACCAGCTGATAGTGAGAATCGTAATGAAAGGAAACTTTTCATTGGTATGTTATCCAAAAAATATTCCGAAACCGAAGTCAAGCTTATGTTTGCACCTTACGGTATAATCGAGGAATGTACAGTACTTCGAGATGCTAATGGACTTAGTAAAGGTTCGTCTCTTGTTTATTTCCCTTTATTCCAATCGATTCTAATATTTGAACAGTTTAAGTCAACACTTTCTATTTGATCCTCATCCTCATCATTTATTACTCGGATTAAGAACATGAAACTAAAGTTAATGATAATGTAATTCAATCATTTGGATTTTTCTCTCTCTCTCTCTTTCACTTACAGGTTGTGCTTTCGTAACCTTTACCTCTCGACAATGTGCAGTTAACGCAATCAGAGCAATGAATCACAGTCAAACTATGGAAGGTTGTTCATCATCGTTGGTTGTTAAATTTGCTGATACTCAAAAGGATAAAGATGCTAGAAAGCAACAAGTATGTTTCGTTTAATTTCTTGAGAATATTTGAAGGGAATAAGAAAACGTGTTGATACCTTTACAATTTTCAGCTCTTTTATCATCTTTTCTGCTTATCCTTAGTTTTCACGACATTTTTCACTCTTCGAGACATTACCAATTTTCTTAATTTTGTTAACAACCAAAACGAACTCAGCTGATTAACCAAGTAATTTAAACAACGCGTCTAGAATAGTGATTACTTTATTTTCAAATGAGAGAAAAAGTTGTATTAGTTTATGTGTGTGTTAAGTAAACTGAGAAGGAGCTTTTACCAAATGGTGAAGAAAAGCTGATGATACTGATGATTGTGATGACGAAGATAATAATGTTGGTGATGATGAAGATAATGATGACAAGATGAGAGGCAAAAAAGATTAGAAATGAAGAGAAAAAAACTAAATATGAAAAAAATTCTTTAAGACTTGAAGTGTAGGAATTGATATATATTTTTATATGATGTGTGTGCTTTCAGAGAGTGATGAAAAGTTATCCTGATGATGATGAAAAAGATGATAAGTCATAAACATTCACGTCGCTTTATATATACCTTTTATTATTATTGTGCTGTAGGTATGTGGTGGAGGTGATAAATATGATGGATGGTAAGAAAGGGATAGAGATGGTAGATAAAAGATAGTGATGGTAATTTGGTTGAGGATGAGAGAGAGAGAGAGAGAGAGAGAGAGAGAGAGAGAGAGAGAGAGAGTATATACTCTCTCATCTCCTTATTCATCCTTCTCCATTTTAGCATAATATTGTGTTTATTCAGACAATGATCAGGAAAAACTTGAGATCAGAAATGATTATGATGCTTGTTGCTTCATTCATCGTCCTTGATAAATAATTTATGTATATTGGATTATGTATACAAACATTTTATCGACATGTATTTTGTCATAGATATTTTTCAATTGAAAATTCTTTTTCTTCATCTCTTCATCATTTCATATTTTCACACATAGTTTAAGGTGACTCTCATTTGCATAGTGAGAGTTTTTCCTCCTTTTACGATTATCACCATTCCAGATCATTGTAATAATCTTCATTTTCCTCGTTATTAACTTTTCCATTTTTTTCTCTTTTTTTCTCTAGCAAATTTTAATGCAACATCTCGCAGCAGCAGCAGTGGTCCATCAAACATCCACCCCAGCACCCGTAACTCTGACAGCTCCAACAACCGATCCATATTTAGCTTTAGCTGCTGCCGCAGCCTCAGCTCAACAACACCAAACAAATACACCGACCCCTGTAACCCTTACAACACCAGCCACCGATCCTTACCTGGCCTTAGCAGCAGCAGCAGCAGCTTCAGCCACAGCTCAGCAACAACACCAACCCAATCCACCACCACCAGTTGCTCTTACCCCATCAACAGCAAACCAATATCTAGCCTTAGCAGCAGCAGCAGCAACGGCTCAACAACATCATCACCAACAACAAGTCCAACAACAACACATAGCAGCAGCGACACTAGCAATGCAACAACAGTAAGTTGAAAATACTTGATACCTAAATTACTACCACCCACCAACAATGAGCAACAATAATAAGCATAATATTTTTTATTCCTGTAAAAAAACAAGAAGCAGAACAGAAACACCGGAAGATGTAACAAAAACTTAATAACGCCAACTAACGTTAATGTTTTTTAAATGCTTCCATAATTAACAATCCTCGTAATATAATAATTCACGCCTTGAAAAACATAATGAAAAATTATCTCTGCTCACCATGATTATTATAATAGATATTTAGTTGAGTGAAGATAAGATGGGTTCGAGTTTAGTCAAATGTATTATCGATTGAATCCTAAACTCTTCTGGAATGCTTTTCATACTGTGTATAAACTATTGTATAAGTAAATTCATTTTCTTTTACTCCCTGCAATCCTCTATATCTCTTTAGTTAGTTGCCTGTTGATTTCTTTAACTTTCTCTTCTTCTCCCTTATCTTCATCATCATGATCATCTTTCCTGGAAAGAAAGGCATCTCTGGAATCAATTTATTGAAACCCATTTCCTTTTTCTTCCAAATAACACTCATCATTCAGTTTCCTTCTCATTTTTCTCACTCATTTATACAACACCTAAACTTAACTTTCTCTCTCTCTCTCTCTCTCTCTTCCTACTTTTTCTTCATCTGCTCATCTTACTAGTAGAACAATTTTATCCGACAAGCACATTTTATCTTATGAGATGTATTTATATGTATTCTCAATTCCAGTGGATATTTATTTCATGATTAACTTCAATTCGAAGCAATTTGAGTTAAACTAAATTACACGTGAACATGAAAGAAGAATCATCACCATGATGATAACTTAACTCTCTCTCTCTCTCTTTACATAAGTATCTTCCATTCTCTCTCTCTCTCTCCCTCTAATGAAATAGATATTTGTTTCATTAATTTCTCACTTATTTGTGAATAATTATCATCTTTTGTTTTGTTAATCAACTGAAAGCGAAAATATGACTTGACACCAATTAGATGATTAATTAATTGTGTTACAAGCTCTCAAAAACACAACTAAACTTGAGATTGGCATGTTGAGCATTTTTTTCACATCATCATTATTTTAGCTTCAATTAAATGATAATGAAGCTTGAACAGAAACAGATTGTGACCTTGATCAATGAAGTTTGGTTCATCGTCATCCTCATCATCATCATCATCATCATCATTTCCATGATAATGATTACAATCTTTCTTCTTTTAAATCAGTTGATTTAAAATTTCTTGAAATTCAACTAGATTTTCAAAGCTTTTGAGAATCTGTTTATTTCATCAACATTTAAGATTACACGCAGTCTCTTTTTTCAATAGTATTGAGTAAGAATAAAAACAGATAAGTTGATTAAGATTAAAATGATTCCAATGATGATAATTTTCATCATGATGATATTGATGCGTGTTAGTAAGAGTAAGATGTCATCATAATGTAATAATTGAGTAATATCATTGTGATCGCTTGAATGGCAATGATATGATTGGTATATAACGATCATCTTTTATTATGATTATAATTATCATCACTCAGTACTTATCATTACGATACTCGTTTCTTTATTTCTACTGGTTTCAAGCATAACCGCTAATTTGTTCCTGATACTTGTCTCATGAACTTAGCTCACAATCTCTCTCGCTCTCTCTCTCTCTCAAACCTCTTTAACTTATTATTAAAGCTCAAGAAGGACCCAAAACCTCCACATTCATCCCTTACAGACACATCTTCTCCCTCTCCCTCTTCGTTTTCGTCTCTCTCATCATCTTCACCTTCATCTTTCCTCTTTCCTCTTTCCCCTTTCTCTCCTCCTTCTTTATTTCTCATCGCTAAATATAGAGCCTCCAATTATTGAACAAATTCAATAAATAACTGCATTTCAACCATCATCATCTTCATCATCATCATCATTATGCTCTCCCTGTGACTTTACCCCCTTTCAACGAATATCATCATTTTCTTATTCAATAAGATTTTTAGCTTCTTTCCATATGTTACGTTAGCTGATAAAACTCTACATCTACTTAATACTTGTTAACTTTTTCTCTTTCTCTTTCTCTTTTTGGAATTATTTTCTATTCACATGATATCGTTACCTGAACATTTAAATATCATTTTCCATTTTTCTCCCTCTCTTTCTCTCTTATAATGATTATCTCCCATCTCATTCATCTTTTATCAAGGTATTTTGTCATCGACTTAAAAATTGTCTCTCACTCTATGTGATTGGCAATAATTTGATTTCCAATCCGGATTTACATTGAAACTTAGATGTTTCTCTCTCTCTCTCCCTTATCGTCTTACTTTTTTTACCTTTCATTGGTTTTTTGAATACTATTACTGGTTACAACGTTTAAACCGGTTGGCCCGGAAAGATGATAAAACTAACTGACTATGAAAAAGGAGAAAGGAGAGAGAGAGATGATGATGATGATGATGATGTTAAAAGAGAAGTTTTATTTCAAATGAGATATATTTTCTTACTTAAATTTTGCTTGAAGCGCGATTTTTACAGGCAGAGAGTGATGATGATGATGATGATGATGAGGATGATCAAGATGATATTCAAAAAGGAAAGAGAAAAAGAAAGAGCAAAAATGCGGAAACAAAAGTTACTTCATCTTTATCGTTGTTTCAGATTAACCCTGAAAATATTGACTCCAAATATTTGCGATAACATTTAAAAAAACCGAGCCACTTGTTGATCATATTACATTTATCACATTATTAAATGGTAACAATTAGCATTCTCGTCACCGCTCACAAATTAGCCTAAGAGATAATTGATGATCAATAATTATTGACCATCTAATTGATTTTCTTTGCTTTCTGTTTCCTCTCATTTCAAAATAATAAATTGTGAGTGTAAAAGCAAACAATTAATCTCCTGTGAATGCTACAATTAAGATCAAATTAACGATTATCAGATTCCAGACTAACCAATGATATATAAATGTAGTTAAATCAATAACATAAATTTCCAGTATGTTTTATATTTCCCTAATCTCTAAGCCTCGAAAGGTAAACTGATATTTGATTATGAGGTTTAACTAATCCTAACCAAATAGTTACATTAAATTGTAACTTTGTAATGATAATCATCATCGTAACAATTTAGCTTTATTGATCGAGCATCAATTTAGCAGTTAAAAGGGGAAGCTTTAAATTAACTTTGATCATTTATAACAACAAATGTTTAAATTAATACTTTCCTCGTCATTAATGATTTCACGATTAAGAATTACCTAATCAATGGATTAACTCATTTATTAATATTAATTACGTTAATAAATCTTAACCTGATAAGAAAAGTAAAAGTTTTTCTTTCCAGTCTTTAGAAATGAATTATATTTCTATCATTATCACTAATTGAAAATATTGTTGCCTAATTGTTGTTAGAACCAAATTAAATCATATAGAATTTAATCAATTTTTTTCTCTCATTTTTTTTACCAGTTATTCTGGTTTCAAGTATAAAAGATGTTCAATATTGACCAGTAATGGTCAACCAGGAAATCACAGTTATCCAACAGCCACTCAGACTCAAGCTTCCATTTCCAATGCCGCCCATGCAGCGGCCGCCGCGGCCGCTTTCAACACCACCTCGGGTCTCCTTCACGCACATCGAGCCAGTTTATCGGTAACTGGTAAGCCCATGGAGGGTCCAGAGGGAGCCAATCTTTTCATCTACCATTTACCGGCTGAGTTTCGAGATGATGATTTGGCTCAAATTTTTGCCAACTTTGGTCGTGTTTTATCAAGCAAAGTATTTATTGACAAACTCACCCATTTGTCAAAATGTTTCGGTTTTGTTTCATACGATAATGTTATCTCAGCCCAGGCTGCCATCCACGCCATGAACGGCTTCCAGATTGGAGCGAAACGGCTTAAAGTTCAATTGAAAAAGTGCAAAGATAAACCATATTGACCAGTATATAAATATATGAATATACAACCTTCTTGACCACCTATTTCTTCATCACTATCAACATTTCAACTAATTGGTATAATAATAACATAAATATAACTACTCTCTCCATCTCCCATGTTGACCAATAATGCATAAAATTAATTATATTGATTATTATTATTAATATTATTATCATTGAAATATATATATAAATAATTGAAAACACGTACATATGAGTACAAGAAAATAAAACTTAAATATTGGAATTGAAATAAAATTAAGAAAATTTCAATTGCAACTAAATTGACTTACCTGTTTAACGGTTAATACAATTTAACTTTTGTGTATTTAAATCTCGGCTTATCAATGATCACCTCTTTTTCAATCTTCCCTCTTGATATTAGAATAAGTTTCCAGGCCATTTGAATAAAAATAAAATCCAAATGAACCAAAATAGAATTGATTTAAAGTAAATCACAATTTAGTTACAATAATTCACCCAATTCACAATTGTAACTCTTAATCCGATCCATTGTTTGATCCTCTCACCAACTCTAACCCTTTATATGGATTATTGAATAAGTGACAACATTTTGGAAACCAAAGCAACGATTTAACGGTTGAAGAGAAACAATTTAACTACCTGGTAATTAGAATGAAAGATTTTAGGGAAAAGAATAGTCAATGATCAGAACAATTAGATTTACTTTACAATTGTTACAATTAAAAAAGATACATTAAGTTAATCCAACAAAGTATTGGATTGGTCAAGGGAGAAGAACACAAATGAAAGGAGATTATCATTGATTAACAATTAATCTCCTTCCTTTTAATGGGAGAAAACAAATTGTTTAGCTTACCCGATTCATGATTAAATTGATTAGAAATCGTTGATTAATTGGTAACAATTATCTCAATTTTTGATTCTTCATATTATCTTAAATATTTGTATCGATACTTTTTCGAGACTCGAGTAAAGTGTAAATTCAATTTTACCGTTGATTCTTTAGAATAATTAACTTCAACTCGACTAAAAAGAATTAAATTAATGTGTCTAATTAGCGAATTGCTAATTAAAATTGGATAATTAGGTAATAAATTGTTTCCTTGAAAAAAAGTTGAAACTTTTTCCACGACAGTGGCGATATCTATTGACTTTCAATTTACATATTCTAAGGAAATTTTTTTCATTTTCTCAACAATTAACATCTTTTACTGCAATTAACTGATTTATTAATTATCCTTTCCTAATTTATCTCATTTCCTCACCTATCAATGTAATAATTTTACTGATGAATGGATAGAAAATAAAAAACATCAGTTGAAAATGATGGAAATTGATGATTATTGTCTTTGAATTTGATTGGAAGCCAATTGGTAGTTGATTAAGTTATTGGAAATTAATTTTATGGGAAATTAAGGATAAATGAAATGTTGACATTTTCCAATTCATCCTAATCATTTGCTTACCTTCATTGGTCCAGTCTAGACTTAGGTAAATTGTAACAATTACAATTGTTTGGCTGTTGATTGATTTTCTCCAATTATTTAAATGATTCAATAAAACGTCCGATGCCAATTAAATTTTGGACAATGTTTAGGTTTCCGTAAATAAGCAACAATCAACAGACCGTTGAAACGGAAAAGGAATTAACCAATTTGGTTCCGTTTAACCAATTAGATATCGAAATCTTCTTAATCATTTCCTAAATTTCCTTAAGAAATGTCGTCTCTTTTTTTACTGAATGAATGAAGAGATGATGAAAAAGAAAAGGTTAAAGGCGAGAGATAGAAGAGAAAGTGAATTGATTAGGTGATGAATTTAATTGTTCTCATATAATAATGATAATAGAGAAGAAGAAGATTCAAAAAAAAAGGTAAACAATCAAAAGAAAATTGTGACAAAAAATTGAGTGAGAACTTTGTTACTTTATATAAGAGTAGATGATTCGAGTTAACTTAATCAGTGAACGTTAATCATCACCAACAATCTAATAGATTTACTTGAGTTTTAATCAATTGATTGACTTTAACAGTTTACGCTTGTTAATCATCGTTCTCACATCTTAATTAAATTCTGTTCAATATGATGTTATCAAACTTTCTCATCGGATTTGTTTTCTCAATCATTGTTATCAGTGTTTCGAATGGTCAACAATTAGATGAATCATTTGAAACTAATCCATGGCAATCAGATGAAACTTCATCTTATCTATTTGATAGGCAATACAATCCTACTGGTGGAAGTGCAAGATTAACGTTACCACCATCGGCTTCATCGGCGGGAGTAAATTATCATGGGGCTGAAACGTTTTCAAGACCAGTGATTATTGTCAGCGGTCGAGGATTGAAAGATCAAGCTGAGATTCGTCAGGTCAGAGGGTCATCTGCAACTCGAAGTAATAAAGTTAAGTACGAAGTCGAGGAAGATGACGAAAGTGAGGATAGTCCAACAGTCGTTGTTGAGACCAAAAAGAAGAAGAAAAAAGTTGACCAGCCGATTTCAGCTTATGTTCCAACTGCTTATGTTATCGGTAATCAAGGAGCTGGTCAACCAGTGAGTCGAGTTAAACAAGAATCAGATAAAGGTAAGAAAAAGGATTTAACTGATTAACTTAATTAACGGCATCAAATATCATTTGGCCTCATCTTCGGGATCACATTATCAACCCTTTTGCCAAAATTTTTCAACTTCACATGAAAAAGTTTATACAACAATTTAGTAAATCATTGAAACAAAACAGCCCAATTATTTGACTGCCAAATGATTTGCTGTTTTCAACAATTAATTATTATTGTTTTTCCTAATTATATTCATCAGCTGATTCAGATTATGGTATCATGGTTGTGGCTCCAAAACAGCCTGAAAATTATGCAATAATTAACGGTAATTATCAAGGAGTAAATGAAGAGATGCTCGATAGGAATACAATTCAATTGTACCAAGAACCACAACTTGTTGAAGCTCTGCAAGTGGATGGACAGAATCAAATTAAAGGTAATTAACTAATTGTTTAGAAAAAAAAATCGATCAATATTCATTCTCATTGATTGTTGAATTTATTTACAATGTTGATTTACTTTTACCTATACGATTGACTAAAACTTCAATTGAATTTGATTGAAATATAAAGAGACAATCAATTGATCAATGAAAAAAAAAATGATGAAGATATTGATTGCTAACAAGATGATCAAATTGATTGACTATTAAATCATGAAAGAAGATGGGTTAGTTTTATGGGTTAAGATAGTTTTTCAATGATTGTGATCAAGTTGAGTGATTACAATTAAGAAGTGGAAAAAAATTTACGAAAAAATTTGGCAACTATCACATAACAATTTGATTAATTTGCCTTCTTAATTGTGAGTAAATTGTTATGAGATGATGTTGATGTTGATCATTATCATTGAATCGCTTGTAAATGTTCAAGAAATTAGCTTTGATTGTTTATTTACAAATGATTAGTGATTTATTATTAATCTTTTTCTGGTTCTTCTCAAAATTTTCATTCATTCTAATTATAAATACTAATCATAACAATTAAATTGTTCACTTACAGAGGTTTCTGCTGATGATAAGGACGAATCTCTTGATGCTCAGAAATCAAAGTTAACTTTACTTTTCCTTGGGTATGAGAAATTTTAATCACTGGATTAATTAGTTAATCATTTCGTTGTTCATGTTGATCAATACAAAATGGAAACTTAATTGTGATCTCTTTCAATGTGATTTAACCAACGAAAAACAAAATCAATCACCATTCAAATCACATCAACAGATTGAATCGAAATTCAAAAAAATATTTTTTTCTTCTCATCAAATTGATTGTTACAATTTAATTAATTCTCATCTTCTTTTCTTCTTCATCATCGTAATCACCATCAACTTTTAATTGTTGATCAATAAATGACAAATCCTTAGTTCACAATAATGTTAACGAGACAAAAAAAAAATTAGACAAATCAAATAAACAAATCAATCAACTTAAACAGTTGATTATGAAAAAAAAATGATCAACCAAATTGAGCCAAAAAAATCACAATCAAATCAAGCAAAAAATGAAATCGGAAGGAAAAATCAACAATCAATTTAAATCATTTTGATTGTTTTTATTTACACAAGAAAAAAAATCCTAAATCAAAATTGTTATTATTTTCCCGGTGCTTTGTTAATTTAATTATCACTCATAGTCAAACAAATTTTTACATAATTTGATTGAATAATACAACAATCAATCAACATTTTGTACAATTAAAAATCAATTTTTACCCTAACAAATAAATTTCAATTGAAATTGTATTAGTTTAAATCTTAATTGTGAATGAATAATTGATTTTTTTTCTCAATGAAAGTTTGGTTGTAAGTTGTTGTTGTTGTTAAATTGATTAGCTCTTGGAGTTATGTTTAATCAAATTGTATCACTTCAATTGACCATCAAAACAAGTCCTGTTGCCACTTAATCAAATTGATTAACATTAATTAGTGTGTTGGATGAATTAAGGAGTAGTTGTAGATGAGGTTATCAGCTTGTGAGGTGATTCAGGAAATGATATCAAGGTTGATGAATTGACTTAACCATGTTCACTATTTAATTTGGGATTTAAAATGCTCTTTGCCAATCAATTTGCTGAGGAAATTATTAAAATTATCATCACAAGGATCAGCGCTTCGGGCATCATTTTTATCCTTTCATCATCTCCATCATACTCGTGTCATTTTCCCTTCAATTCCGCCATCATCAGCGTCTAATGTTGTTTCATTTTAATCACTTAAGTTGATAATTCTGGAGGATATCGGTCGCTCAGCAAGTCTTTTCGGCTCCCTTTTGTCAAGACATCCGGTCAAGGCGTTGGCCCCATTATTATGTATATATGGATAAGAAGAGCGAGAACATTGATAGAAAACTGATTTATTAATGTCTCTTTTTTATTCTTTCTTCCGGTTTCCTTTTCCTTGCCTTTGAGCTTCTTTAAAACACAACTTGAGTCTTCTCATTTCTCCTCCTTTTTCTTTGCTAATTTATCCATTGGTGTGGTTTTTAGTTGCTTTGACACATTTGTCTTTTCCATAGAAACACACCCCAAATATACAAAATATCGAGAAGAGGAAACCGTTAGACATTAAATCCTAATTTACCAGATCAGAGAGAAAAAAAATTCTACCAAAATTCAACATCACATTTCCAATCAAAGTATTAACCTTGGGCTGACTTGTTGACACCAGGAGTATATGAATCGGTTATATCGAAATCAGAGACGAGATAATAAATTGAATCTACAAAAGCTTCATAAATGTCGGGAATGAATCTTAGAAAAAAATTGGGAATATTGAGCACAGAAATGGTAACTGCAATGATCAGGATTGCACCATAAGTCCGATCTGGATTAAAGTGTGAATGAGAATTGGGAGCTATACTCTTGAGATGGCTGAATTGAAATGGTCTCCAGAAACAATTAACTCGACTGGTGTTGATTGAACGATGTTGAACCAAAGATAAGTGATTGGAACCCAATCGAAGCTGATTAACCTTCAAAGATGAAAATATTAATCTACCAATACGATTACTATGTAAACAAATCATTCCATTTACACAAAAGGTAAGATTATCTCAAACCTAGAATTAGATGATCACTTTTTTGACAGGATGTGAACTAATTTTATAGCAGATTTGGATTAAATTATCACAGCAATCAAGTTAATTTACTTTTAATTCAATTGAAATTTTTCTTTCTAAATTATTGCTCTTAAGATCAGCTGAGAAAAATTCCTCTCATGTGTCGCCATCTGACGGATTAGAAAAGAACATCAATGTAAACACATTTTTCTCAAATACAATTAAGTTAATCATCTTTGATTTAGTTTATCTTGAATTCTGATTTTTCTGTGTTTATTTGCTTCTAGAATTTTAGGGTTAATTGATGGAATCGGCTCTCGGCGATGAGAATCATGGTGATTTTGGATAATGGTTTTTGGTGTTGAAGAAGATTGAATTTTCTTGTCTTGAACTTGAATTGATTGTTTTTATTTGATTGTGGAATTGAATGTAACTTAATTAACTGTTTGTTACAGATAAATTAGTTCGTGTTTATTTGTTTTCTTTGTGAATTCCCATTGGTTTTAGATTTAGTACAATTTTTGTTTTCATCTAATCAATTGTGAAATTGTTGTTGTGTTTCTTGTTGCTCTTTTATTTCAATGGTGTTACAGGTTTGCCATCGGCTTTTTGGACTACATTCGAGAGCTTTTTATTCATCTCGACCTTTTTATGATGTTATCGTGGTTGGTGGTGGACATGCAGGAGCAGAAGCAGCTTGGGCTGCTTCAAATATGTCCGCTAACACGTTACTTTTGACGCAAAAACTGTCCACCATTGGAGAGATGTCCTGTAACCCCGCGTTCGGTGGGATAGGTAAAGGTCATCTTCTTCGTGAGATTGACGCTCTTGACGGTATCTGTCCAAGAATCTGTGACATCTCTGGGATGCACTATAAGTTACTTAATCGACGTAAAGGTCCAGCAGTTTGGGGTCCAAGAGCTCAAATAGATAGAGAGCTTTACAAGAAGAATCTTCAACGTGCCATCTTTAATAAACCTCATCTATCGGTGAAAGCGGCTTCAATTGAAGATTTAATTGTTGAACCTCAAGGCGATGGTTACACTTGTAAAGGAGTTATAACATCTACTGGAGAGCGAATTGAAAGCTCATCGGTTATCATTACAACGGGTACTTTTCTTCGAGGAATGATCTTGTTGGGCTTGGAACGATTTCCTGCTGGACGAATGGGCGACAAGCCATCAATTGGTTTATCTAAAACATTAGAACGAATGAATATCAAATTGGGTCGATTGAAAACTGGAACTCCACCAAGAATAGATGGTCGAACAATTGATTATTCTTCTTTAGAATGTTCTAAAGGTGACGATCCTCCGAATCCATTTTCTTTCCTCAACAAGAGCGTTTGGTTACCAGCCGCTGATCAGAAACCGACCTTTTTAACTTATACCAGTCCGGAAACAGCGAAAATAGTTCAAGATAATATTCACCTTTCAAGGCATATCCATGAAGAAATTGTCGGTGTCCGTTATTGTGCATCGATCGAGGCCAAAGTTTTAAAATATCCGAAAAACAATCATCAAGTTTGGTTGGAACCAGAAGGTTTTAACTGTGATACCGTCTATCCAAATGGCCTGGCCAATGGATTACCATTCGAAGTTCAAGTTAAAGTGATCAACTCAATTCCCGGTCTAGAAAAAGCTAAAGTTACCCGACCTGGTTATTCAATACAATACGATCACATTGATCCACGACAATTAAAACCTTCCCTTGAATTGAAAAAAGTCTCCGGTCTTTTCCTTGCTGGACAAATTAACGGTACAACGGGCTACGAAGAAGCGGCCTCACAAGGAATCATCGCCGGTATCAATGCAGCTTCAAAATCTCAATCAAAAGAGGCATTAATTGTTCCCCGTTCAATTAGTTATATCGGCGTTTTGATCGATGACCTGACAACCGTCGGAGTAATTGAACCTTACCGTATGTTCACAGCTCGGGCACAATTTAGACTCTACATGAGACCAGATAATGCTGATTTACGTTTAACTCAATTAGGTAATTGTTACAACCAAATTAACCATTGAATGTTATCATAATTTGCTGTTAGTTCAATGCAACATGATCACATTTATCTTCGTCATCTTTGTTTTTCTTTTCCCTCTTTCTCCAGGTTATCAACAAGGTTGCGTTTCCCAAAAACGTTACGATGTTTATTGTCAAACTAAATCAGATCTCGATTATTATAAAGGAGAATTAGCTAATTATAAAAAAGATACAAGTGAATGGACTGAATTGTTAAAAGACAATTTAACTACAGCAATAAGAGGGAACAAGAGAAGGTAATTACCATTGATTATGCTGATCAATTAATCAGAATGTTAATTATTATGACATTTTCTATTTTCTATTTTCCATTTTTCAGTGCTCGTGATTTAATGAGAATCGCTGAAATTCAAGATAATCTTATTGGTCTATTGAGGAAAGAACAAGTTAATCTACCAGATGATAGAATATTATTGGAACGAATCAGAATCGAAGGTAAATTAGATAGGAAAAGTTAATTTTCTAAAAAGTGTAACGGTTAACTTTACATAAGCAATTGATCTTCATGACCATATTGTCTTAATTTCATCAAAATCAATTTTTTTTCTTAATTTTAATCTAATCTTCAGATGAGATAATCTTTTTGAAACCTATTTTGTCTAGGGTTCACCGTTACTCTCTTATTATCTTTTTCTAATCGTTTATCCATTTGCTAAATTAATTCTAAATTGTTGTTCCCACAGCTCAATATGAGAAATTGGTTGAGAGGGAGAAAATACAAATCTATGATTTACAGAAAGAAGAGCAATTAATTATCCCAGAAGATTTTAATTACTTTGACAATCGACTTCCATTACCTAATGAGTCTCGTGAATTATTATCTAAACAAAGACCAACATCGGTAAGCTAATTTTAACAATTAAAACTGTTCAATATTCAGTAAATTATTTTCCTTTCATTTCCAATTAGATTTCAAGTGCCTCAAGGATACCAGGAGTAAGATTTTCAGCAATCACAGCGTTAATTTATATGATTAAGAGACAAGAATTGGAAAATTTGACTCAATCCCGTTAAACGATAATTTTATCAACTTAGATTGATAATTAGATTGTGATATTTTGTAATAACTATAACAAGTAAATCAAATCATCGATCATTATTTAATTCCTATGGTTCTCAAGCTGTTTTTCCTAAATTTAAATCTATTAATCCACCTACACAATCTAACCAACGATCATTGTTAACACCTGTAAAATCACAATTAACTCAACAATCAAATCAACAGCAATCAACAACAACAACAACATCATCATCATCATTTCATAGTAATTTGTGGTAAACGAAATTCAAATCAGAAATCGATAATTAATCACATGTTAAATCACAATGGCCTTAAACGATCCCGTAAATATCCCTCCCAATGCTTGACCCGATCTTCGTCCTCCTCATCGATATCATCGTCCTCGAATATAACCCGAAAGGACCGAAGGAAACAAAGTAAACCCAAACGGGCTTCAATTGACCCCAACGAAGTTGAACTTTGTGTTTCCTAAACAATTAAATTTGAAAGAGAAACAAATTCTAAATTAACTCACTCATCATGATCATCATAATTAATTAACTAATATCCTTAATTGCCAAATTGTTTCTAATCTATTAGCTCTAATCAACACTCATATTTATATGTAATAATTAAAACCAAGTGTAATTAAGTGTGGGTGTTAATGTTAAATATTATATTATATTGATTAAATAAAATAGTACCGTTGGAAAATCAATTTAATTGTCATTCATGATTTAATATTAATCGATCAACAACAGCAGGTCGAAAACGAGTAATTAATTTAATTACTCAAAAGAAATAAATTAAATTGATTGAATTGATAAAAAGCAAAGTGCAAATATGGGAAACAAATAAAAAAGATAAAAACAAGATCGAAAAGATAAAACAATTTACTTACAGTTGAAGACGATCCATAACAAGGATGAGTAGGAGGCAACGTAATTAAAGAAAAAATTACAACCAAATAATTAATGGTTACAATTAATGATATTAAATTACGATGAAAAAATGAGATTAAATGAATCTGTCGTTTTAATTTCTTTCTCGCGGGTTAACTCATCAGGAGGCGTGTTCTTCGTTGGCTGCGCCATCTGATGGTCGTTTGTTTTTTCTTCATCAATTTTGTTTTTCCATTTTTTATTTCAATTCCAATTCTGATTAATATTCAATTGTTTTGATTAGTAATTATATTTTATTATATTCGAAATGAATTTACCTTTTATTAAACTTGTGTTTTAGTTTTGTCTCTTTTTCTTCACACTGTTTGGATTGTGGTTTTGGTATTTTCGGTGAGTGTTTGGTTAATCGGTTTTTGTGTTGATGTTTTTGTCTCACCAACAATGGAACAGCTTAAATGACCAGAATTCAATCAATCTTTTAAGAAAATTGGCTCTTTTTTCTCATATGGTAATAGTTTTGTGGATTTTGATTCAAGTTACCTGCAACTGAATTAGCATTGGATTCAATACATTTTGACTTTATCCCATTTCTGGCCACTTAGGCTTAACCATCAACAATGAACATGATAACCACCTCATCCTTTGAGATTGTTAAATGTCTTAAAGATTGGCATCACATTTGGAAGTATCAACTTTATCTCAATCGTGAGGTTGAACTTTTTGATAAAATTGGTGGATTTATTAATGACTTATTGGAATGGCGTCGTCAGCTCGTTGAAGCAACTTTAACCAAAGATCAGGTTAAAGAGTTGACCCTTAAGGTTACCCGTCATATTGATACTGGTAATCGGATTCTTGGTTTAGATTTGGTTCCAAGGATTGATGGACAACTTGTTGATCCTGAGTTAATTAGTCCTATTGAGCTTTATCAAATTCACTATGAGTCAAGCAATGGAATGGCTCCCAGTCAAAGAGCCAGCAATACCTCTACTCATTCGTCTACATTTACCTTTATATCCAATTTTTTATACCTTGATGTTCGTGATATTCTTTTACCTTTGGTTAATTACGATGACAATTTTGAATTATCTTTTTATCTTTATGATTATTCAACAACTACCTGTTTGAGTGAAAAGTTTGTCGTACGTACTTCGGGTGCCAGTGTCAATGTTGCCAATGGAGGTAATCACATTGACCATCCATCAGCAAAAGGAAATACTTACAGTACCATTTTTACAGATCTAAGCAATATCAATACTTCCGGTGATGTTTATCTTCTAGTTCAAGTTATGCGAATTGGTAAAATGTTGAGTGTTGAAGGTAAATCTTCCAAATCTGCTTTTTCTTCATCAACTCTTCCCTCTTCTCATCATCACCATTCAACATCTTCATCAAATTCAGCTGCTGGTTCTTGGTCAAATTTACGTTTTAAACGACCCTTTGGAAGTGCAATTCAAGGTCTCTCAGATTTTCTCAAGTCAGAATCAAATGAGAAAGAGTTTACCTTGAAACTTGCATGTACATCAAATGAGAGTGATTTCTTTCAAGTTCATGATATGCTTTATAAAAAACACACCAACAAATTAACCCAAATGGCCAACACCTCAATAACAGTGACGGTTAAATTTTTAACTGGTCCTGATTCAAGTAAAATAATCAATGAAAATGCATTTATATTTCAAAATGTTTCATGTACTACTGGTAAAATGGGATTTCCTGATGTAATTATGCCCGGTGATGTAAGAAACGATTTATATTTAACCTTGGAATCAGGTGAATTTGAGAAAGGTGGTAAATCGATTCCGAAAAATGTTGAGGCCCATATTACGCTTTACGGTGCTGATGCGGCTCCAATAATTAACAGCATCTCTTCCGGATGTGGAATCGATTCGGTTTCAACCTACACCTCTCAGGTTCTCTATCATAATAATAATCCCCGTTGGATGGAAAGTATCAAAGTTTTAATTCCACTTGAAGTTTGTGACCTGAAGGCTCATATTCGCATTGAATTTCGTCATTGTTCAACTAAAGAAAATCAAAGTCAAAGAGAGAAGGATAAAAATTTTCTAGGATTTTGCTTCTTTCCATTATCCGATGATAAAGGAACCATTATCAAAGATGGTTGTCACGAGTTGTACCTTTACAAGTCCACTGGTCAAACAGAAATTCGTGCTCGCCTCAATGATCCCAGTTCTTACCTTTCTTTACCCTATGGTCCTAAAGATGATCGAGAAATGAATCATGAAGGGATGAATCAACTAAGTCGAAGTAGCAAAGAATCGGTTCATGTTCGAACTCAACTTTGTTCAACCAAATTAACCCAAAACACGGATCTATTGACATTATTGAAATGGAGATCAAACCCAGAGACCGTTCAAGATGCGCTGATGAAAGTACATCGTTTAAATGGCGAAGAAGTGGTCAAATTCCTACAAGATATTCTTGACGCTCTTTTCTCCATGTTTTCCACCCATGATGGTAATCAAACTCACCATTCGGGACTTGTATTTAAAGTGTTACTTCACATTCTGTCTCTTCTCGATGACCCCAAATATGAACATTTCAAGCCAGTTCTTGATACCTACATTAATGGTCACTTTGCCGCTGCTCTAGTTTATAAAGGTTTATTGCATTCGGTTAATCAATGTACCGATTTAATCAAAGACATCGATTCCCAGGAAAGTATTCAAATGTGTTTTCGATCACTCGAATGGATTTTCAAGTTTATTGTCCAATCGCGAATCCTTTATGCCCGAGCAACCGGAGATCATTGTAACGAAGATGTTTTCAAACAAGATCTATTTACGCTGTTCGGGTCATTTAAGCGTATGCTCTCATTCAATTATGAGCCCACTTTGGTCGCTTCTCAGGTCGCTTTTATTGAAAATTTTACCTCAACCTACAATCAACTGCTTCGAGTATTAGTACCCGATGAACTGACCAACATAATCAAAATGATCATTGATTGTTTACCATGTCTTGAACCATGTCCACAAATCATAAGAGCCAAATTAAAATGTATTCATGAAACAATTAGCAATGAATTGCTTCTGAGAGACTTTGAGGCTCGCCGGGAATTAATTGATCTTTTCACTGGTCATCTTAAGGAGCACATTAACCGACAACAAGAACTTAAAGCTTGTGCTCTAATTATTTCAGATATTTTGAAATTTTTACACAACGAAAAGATTAATATCGCTTCATGTTCAGGAGCAGCCATTTCAAGTGGGACAATTACCGATATTTCAAAAGAAATCGATATTCTAGTAAATACCATGTTGGAACCAATTGTTCGAGTGATCGTTGAACTATCAACAACAACCTCTGGACTGGTCAACATGATCTCAATCAATCTACTTCATTCATATGTTTCCTCTTTCATGACTCTTCTTCGTTTAATGGATGAAGCTCACTGTCGACGTTTGTTGGACAAGAAAAATCGTAAAGAGAAAAAGGAACTTCTTTTACAAATATTCTACGTTTTCAAGCAAATTTTCCAACCCGAAATGTACAATAACGATTGGACTGTGATGAAAATGGTCGCTAATCATATTATTTTATGTTCGTTACAAGAATTTTCCCTTGCTCTGACAGAAGGTTTTCTAGGCTATGATAAAGGTCCAACAGGTTCTTTTGATGTTCAACTTTGGAATTCGTTTTTCAATCTTTCCGTTTCCTTTCTAACCCAATCAGCACTTCAACTTGAAAATTTTTCTCCATCTAAACGAGAAGCCATTTTAAACAAGTACCAAGACATGAGGGTTTTAATGGGTTTCTTAATATTATCAATGTGGGAAAAACTAGGTGACCAGAAAGCTCATTTCATACCTTCAATGGTCGCCCCTTTTCTGGAAGTCACCCTTGTACCGGAAAAGGAACTAAGAAAAGCCACTTTACCTATTTTTTATGATATGATTGATGCTGAATTTATGTCCAACGGATCCTTCAAACAAGTAGAATCAAAATTAATTGACAAATTGGATATTCTAGTCTCTGATTATAAAGGTGACGATGGATTTAAACAACTATTTAATGCAATGTAAGTCTTAATTATTTACTTAATCGTCTCTTGAGTCTTGATAATTAACTGACGAAATTAATTTACTAATTGTGTAAAATCAAAATGTGTCTTATTTCATCTAATTTTCAAACTAACTACTTGACTAACTAATTTGATCATCTTTTCTTTTTCTAAATTTGCCCACAATTAAGGGAACATTTGAAAGTAGTGTGAGTTAATCTTTTTGGTACAATTAACTGTTATTTATTTTCCATATTATCGACTTTTGTTTTTTGTTAATTTTCGTTTAAAAATTATTTTCATTTCTTATTTTTTTTTTGTTAGTTTTTTACTTAATTATTTTCCCACTTATTTTGTTAATCAATCATTTAACTCTTTTTGTTTCTATCTCTCTTTTAATTTAGACTTTTAGAAAAGGTTAATGAACAAAATCCAGTCTGGAAGGAATTAGGAATACAAATGATCCATTCAATTACCAAACTTCTTGAGCTTTTATTAGATTATCGAAGTGTCATGAATGGTGAAGAAAATCGTGACAAACGAATGTCATGTACAGTTAATCTGCTTAATTTTTACAAGAACGAAATCAATCGCAAAGAAATGTACGTTCGATACATTTATAAATTGTGTGACCTTCATATTCCCGCTGAAAATTATACCGAAGCTGCATTTACTTTGAAACTTCACGCTGACCTACTTAATTGGAGTTGGAATTCAATGCCAAGAGATGCCCTTTATTCCGTTGAGCCCTTAGAATGGCAAAGGAAGGAATCTCTTTACTTGGCGATAATTGATTATTTTGACAGAGGAAAATGTTGGGAAGAGGGAATCCCGTTGATCAAGGAATTGGCAGAATTTTACGAGAAGAAATTATTTGATTACCAAAAACTTTCCAATCTACTTAAGCAAGAAGCTCGTTTCTTTGATAACATTTTAACCCAATTACGACCTGAACCAGAATATTTTCGAGTTTGTTTCTTTGGTAAAGGTTTTCCCATTTTCCTCCGAAACAAAGTGTTTATTTACCGTGGCCTAGAGTATGAAAAGATTGGTGCTTTTACGGCTCGATTACAGACCGAATTTCCTCAAAGTCAATTGCTCACTAAAAATAGTGCACCAGATGAAAAAGTTAAGGAGTCTGAAGATCAATTTATCCAAATTTGTAACGTTAAACCGGTCGCTGAACCAAGAGAAGAGTTCGAGGGTAAAGAGTTACCTGAGAAAATTTTATCTTATTATTTAGTTAACGATGTTAAAACTTTCACCTTTGACCGACCAATTCATAAGGGTCCGATTGATAAGGACAATGAATTTAAGTCTCTTTGGATTGAGAGAACTGTTCTCAAGATTGATTGCAAATTACCTGGAATCTTGAGATGGTTTGAGGTTAAATGTAAACCTCAGGTCACCGAGTTGTCACCCGTTCAACATGCACGGGAAACAATTGAAAATATGAACAAAGAACTGCAAAAGTTAATTGCTTCTTATACTTGTGAACCAACTAAGGCTTTAAGTCCATTGACCATGCGACTTCAAGGGGTCATTGAAGCCGCTGTTAATGGAGGAATCAATAAGTATCATGATGCATTTTTCGACCCAGAATATATCGCTGCTCATCAAGCTCATCTAAAGGATATTAAGCGTCTAAAACAAGCGATTCTTCAACAAGTTCGTATTCTTGAAGGTGGCCTTTCACTTCATGGTCGCTTAGTTCCGGCAAATGTTAAACCATTACACAAACGTCTGGTCGAAAGGTTCACCATTATGAGACAATCCATCCTTGAGAAAGGGTCTTTTGACCTCGACTATCAGGGTATAGATGAAATGAGCCGAAAATCAGCTTCCATTATCAACACCCCATTACCACCTATTCCAACGGAAACAAAGCCATCACATTACACCTCTAGTCATGCAACCTCTTCAACAGTATCTTCCAATTCATCATCTGCTTCGGGTACCATCGGTGGATTTGGTGGACGGTCAACTGATCAAGAAGATCAAATTTATTGTGTTCCCCATGAGTACTATGGACCCACTCCACCAATTCCTCCAAGTCGTAACACTCCTAAACCACCACAACCACCACCCATACCTCATAATCGCCCGCGTTCCGCTGGATTTCCCGCTAATGGTTTAGTTTCTGACTCACCGTTGCCATCATGCATTTCTACACCACCACCACCACCACCACTGCTATCATCAGGCGGCGGTGGTGCACCCGTTCCCGCCTCTTCACAGCTTCTTACACATTCTCACCCAATTGTCAATGTTACCACTTCACGTCAAGTACCAGTCTCATTGCCCGTCAATTCATCTGCTGCTGTTCAACGAAGCCGATCAATTCCTCGTACTCATCATCTCTACTCTACAGGTTTTATTGGACAACAACAGCCACCACAACGACAATCAGCGACACAATACTCACCTCATTCCCCTGTTACCACTTTATCTAACAATAATCGTACTCAAGATGACAGTGAAGTACCTCCGTTGCCTCCTCGAAACAGCAACACACTCGATAAAAATAGATCAGTGACCATAATTCCCGTTGATTGTCGTCGAGGACCATTGAACATTTTGTGAAATATTTTCGCCAAATCATTAACCCGCCATGTAAACTTTTTTTTTGTGTACCTAGAAAATAATATAATATTAGCTGAGCCTTTTTACAATACAATTCATGTACATTCAAGGCTTTCGTAATTTTTTTCACTCCATTTATGAATAAATTAAAAGTCTCTATTGACTCCAATTTGACCAGAATAACTAAATCTCTAATTAAATGATTAACATCTCAGTTTACCAAAAATTAACCGACCCAATTGTTTATTTCCGATTCTCGGGTATCAAAATTAAATTAAAATCTTTTTTCGTCAGCGAGAATTTTATTTCTAAAATATTTTCAATTAGAATAGATTTTCTTTTGAATTAATTGCCCGAGGGGTAAATTTCGTTTATTCTGATGGATTGATGTGATCCAAGTGAGTTAATTGTTGTTAATTAACAGTAATCACAATGAAATATTTTCTACAACAGAGTTAATTTAGTTTGATTTCGTTTTCAAGAGAAAAGCAAATGATCAGAGATTATGATCAAATTATGATTGAAAATAATTATCACAAGATTGTTGTTTAGTAATGATAATCATAAACTCTTATTATATAGTTAATTGTTGATGGTAACAATTATTAGATTGATGGTTAATAATATAGAGATAGAGAAATAAATATTTATTTCTTAATCCAATTGGAATTGAGGTTAAATTGTCCTTGAAAGGCTTTCCAATCATCTCGAGTTGATTATAATTTAAAATTAAGTTAATTAGTGTGATGAATAGTGATTAATTTTATCGTTGATTTGATTCTTTGTTGTTATCTTTTCTTTGATTGGCCTTTTTATGATTTAAATTGTGTCCTTAACTTGCATCTTTGGGCTTGACAATTTGGATAAGACATTAATTACCCAAGGACATAATTATGATTACATTAATTATGATAGTATTTAACACTCGTAATTTTTTCAATTTAACACATAATCTGCTCACACTACTTATTACATAACAATTTGCATGGTAATCAGAGATAAATCATATGTAATTTAAATGATTATCAAGAGAGGAAAGTTAAAGTTTAGTTAAATTAGTTAAAGAGGGAAAAATTTTAAAAATCAATTAACAAAAAACGATGAAATAATTGTGAACATAAATAAAAATACAGAAAAGAAAATCAAAACTAATCAATTATCATTCTAATAGTTGTTGATTGTAACAGTTGAATAATCCAACATTTTAACCATAGTTAGTTTAAGATCAAATGTTAATAATGATTATCATCCATAGTTGATGAAATTATTATTAGTTAATTTGATTAACAAGATCTGATGTTGACGAGTAGTGACAATAATAATATTGGTGAAAAATGAACTATTTCTTTCATCAACTAAACACAATTTAGTTTTAAAACTCTGAATGAGAAATTAAGGAATGACAGAAAAAAGAAAAGTATAAACATCATGTAGAGGAAAGGAAATAGTAATTATGGTTCTGAGGAAAATGAGAGAGTAAAACCATAAATAGAATATCCAAACAATCAATGGTTAGGATAAAATTCTTCGTGTGTTTCTTTATAATTAGATTGTGGAGTTGACAATTAATGTGTTCTGTTTATGTGCTTTCCTCAGTTTGGTCAATTTCCAATCAATTTCTTGTCCTTCCGTTTCCTGAGACAATTTCTTTCATGATGGTGACAATCCTTTTTACTCAGCAAATGATTGGAATTGATGAGTTTGTATGAATTTATATCGTTGATATCACACAGTATTTTTTTTTTTTCATATTTTCAGGAGGTATATTGTTTTAAATTATATATTTATATCATGATTGATTTAATAAACGTTTTCTTTAATTGTTGCTTGGATCATTTATAACTGGGCCAAATCTTTTTCGAGATCGTCATCCAGTCCACCGTTATCATCTTTTCCAACAACCTCAAATTCTTGCAGATCTTTGTTGATTTCATCTTCCCAGTGTTTGTCTATTTGTGATTGAGAAATGTAAATATTAGTATCTTTCTTTGTTATCAATTATTAAACAAATGATTTGGGAGAAAAGAAAATCAAATTGACTATTCTAATCAATGGGGAAGTTTCTTGTCAGATTAAAACAAAAGTAAAAACAATGGGTAAATATAAAGAGACACATTTACAGAAATTGTTGCCATCAAGATCTCAATTGTCTTCAATACATAGAGAAGTACGAGAATAAGGGGAATTATTTTTTTTTTTCGTACAGTTGATTATTGACATTGGATCGAGACGATGGATATGTAATATTATAAGAGAATAGAAAAGGAAATGGACAGGGAGTTGAGGAGAACAAAGAAAAGAACAATAGTCAGACTAAGTGTTAATTTTAAATTCCTAAGTGTTAGTTTAATAGAATTGTAAATATTAGATGAGAGATTGTCATCTTACCATCTTGGGCTGATGTTGAATCGGTTCTGTCTTTGCTAACAGAGCCTCGACCAACTCCTAATTGTCGCATTCCACTTTTAAGATCTTCTTCGCTGACTGAACCTTGAATAGAGTCACTGATAAACTCGGGCTCCGGGTTCGTTGGACTTGGTTCATCTGGACCTTCAGCTGATGAGCTTGAACTGGAAGCCCATCCCTTGCATCCTTTATTCATATTGGAAAGTGAGGTTGACTGTTTGATCAAAGAGACTCTGTAAAAATAGTTTCTCCAGAAAGTTTCTTCGTTGACTCTGAAAAGAAAAATAATCCAAATAAAATACATTAGTGTTCATCCATAATAACAGTTACATGTTGTTAATATCGTTCAAGATAAATATGCTTACAATTTAGGTACCAAATCAAATCGCATCTTCTCAAGGTTAGGATCATGTTTGAGAATTGCTAAAGTAACAGGTAACATTTGTTGCATATCGAAATCAAATTGAACACCACTAGGAGGACTTCGGACAAAATTACGTTTGTCCTGGGAGAGAGAAATGATTTGAGTTTTCACCTCCTCTTCCTGTTCACATCCAATCCAAGGAGGTTCACCAACTTCAATGTTTCCACCATGTTCCTTAATAAATTCCTGCTGTTCCTTTGTGAAATCAGCTAGTAAACTCTAAATTAGTAGAAGAAGAAATTAACTCATTAATTAAGAAAATTGGACAAAAAAAAATGGTAAATAATTAGAGAGCTAAAATAGTTACATTGTGCTCAACTGTTTGCTTGAGTTTAGTCGCTGTTGCGGTAACTGTTTGTCCTGCTTTGTTGGCTACGTTGAAAAGGAAATCTATGATAAAAGAACAATGGAAATGAGGAGAAAAATAATGATATTATCATGTTGTCGCTTTTTTAAAGAACAAAAAAGCAAGAGAAAGAAAAGAAGAAGAAAAAAAAGGAAAGAATGACATGAATAAGATAGATCATGAAGATAAAGGATTGAAAGATTATGATTGGTGAGAAAATGACAGAAAATTAGACAAGGGAAAGAAGAGGAGAAAAAAACAACAGATGAGTAAAAGAATGAAGGTAAATAGAGAGTAAGAAATGATGAGCATGTCATTACTTCCAATGCTTTTTGCAGAATCCATGGCTTTGCTTGAAACTTGCTCCGATAGAGTTAACTTGTCTCCTGTAGCATCATCACCTCCAGGAGATGATGCAGAAGCAGAATCATCTGTAGAAGAGAGACAAAGAAAGAGAAGAAAAAAAAAGTAAGAAATGGAATAGAAATGTAAAAGAATAGGGAGCCAAGAAAAAAAAAGAAAAGAGCAAATGAGAAAAACAAAATGGAACAAAAATTATCACCCAAATAGCCCAGGTAAGGTGAGAGAGATAATCGATCGATTAACATATAAACATAATAGAATAGAATAAAGCAAACCTAAGACAATGAATATTCTAACTCAATTGTGGACAAACATCAAGTAAAGATAAAGATGTAATTATTATTATGTTTCTCTAAACATCTCGTTTAACAATTGGTTACAATTAATGTGAACAATAAAGAGAAAAAGGTTTGATTACAAACGAACAGAAAAAAAAACAAATAGACTTACCTTGTTTCTTTTCTGGTTCACTTTGATTTTCTTCTTCAGGAGGTTTTTCCCGATCCTCAGATGATTCTGATTTAAATGGAGTTTTCTTCAAGATATTTGACACAAAATCCATGATAGATTAAATTGTCAATTCTTTAATTAACAACAACAATAAGTTGAAATAATGAAACAGACAATTGTTTTCTTCTAATGACAAATAACAACAATATTGAATCAATAACTGTGAGAGTTTATGTAACTCTTACCAGTCGATGAGTTGCTCAGTAGAAGCGACAAATTTTCTGAGAAAAATTTTCACAAATTATTTTCTTTTCGAGTTTTTTTTTTCTTCTTCAGTTTTAAGTTAAATTTCGAGACCTTTAATTGTGTAATTGCGAAACAATTAAATCAAACAAAGTGAAAATAAACAAGTTATAATATGAAATCATATTGGTAAGACGATACAAGAGTTTGTCAGCTCAGCATTTTCACTTAAAGCTGATTTTTTTGTTCGGCTTAAGGTTAAAGCTATGATATGAAGATGCTTAATGACTTAATTGTTCAATTAATTGTGTTTGTTTGAATTAGTTTAGGTTAGGTTTTCATGATTAAGGGTCATTATGGTCATTATGGAAGGCCCAGAGGGACAATTAAACTGAATCTCAAGCCGAAAAAAACTAATTAGCTGAAAATCGAAAATGTTGAGCTTTCAAACACTTTTATCGTCTTAGCGAAATTAAATCATGTGTAATTTTAAATTATTCGTCATAATGGTTTCAATGATTATAAAGTTAATTTAGTTAATTTTGACAGTTCAATGTAATTGTTTCGACTATTTTGCCAATAGTCCAGAAAATTTCGATTAATCGAAATATTAATCTAATTACGCCTTGTTATTGTCCAAAAAGTTTTTTTTATTAATTAATACATTAGTTGATTAAATTAATTTGATTCTAATTTAAAAACCTTCTAATCTTGAGTTGACAAAAGAAAGCATTTTAATGTTGATATTTTGAACTGACGGAAACTCGTACTGAATAAATCGATATTTCTCATTTCGTTTTCTTTCTTTTTGGTTTCTTTTTCACTTTAAACCTTGTTCATACTGACATTGAGTTGGAAAAAAAACCTTTCTCTGTTTTGAAGAGACTGTTTCGTTTGTTTTTATTTTAAATTCGCAATTTCCGATCACATAAAATAACAATTTGTACCTTCGATTTTTCAACTTTTCTTTTAAATCGATATATAATCGATATTTCGTTGATCGATATGACGATCAATCGAACATCACTTTTAAAAGGATAATATGAATTGTTTTTTCTCAACGGTCCCTTTCGATTGACCCAAATTGATGATTTTATGTTTATGGTTCGAAATTAATTAATTTTGGTGTTTATTTGTGATTAATAATTTTGATTCTGGTGTTAAAAGATAGCTGAGTTTCTGGTGATCAGTATGGTATATGATTTGAGTACGAAAGAATTGGAATACATGAATTATCAAGGAATAATAAAAATGGGTAAGTGAGATAGACTCAAATAATCAGAAGATAACCGTTAAAATGGTCTTCTTTGATGTTATCCGCAACGGATACATGAAATTAACGGAAATCTCCATAGAGATTTTAAATAAAATGAACAGTATAAAACTGTTGAAATGAAATTTAAATAAATCATTTACAATCAAGAATTAGAACATAACGTATTTCTTACATTCAATTTTTTTTTTATTTGTTTCTTTCCTTATTATTATTAGTGAAAATTACAGTAATGGAAAACTGTGTGAATTTATTATTGAATATTGACTCAAGTGAACTGAGCAAATATTTAAATAATACAACTAAAGAAGAAGCCATGGAAATTCAAAGAGTCTATCGTCTATTGACTGAGGACCCAAACTTTAAAAAGAAAAATAATATTACAGTTAGAAAAGCCAAACATCTACAAACATTAAGTGAATTAATGAACAATTTTGATCCTGAAGAATATACTGAACCTCAACCAACAGTACAAATTGATAAAGCTTTGGAGAAGACGAATTCGGATGATGAAATCAATGATGACCAAGAGGATGAAGAAATTGAATCAATAATAATACCATCGACTTCATCAGAAGCGGGCCAAATATTATTCAACCATGAAAAAGAAAAGTTCAAGATGCTCTTCAAGAAATGAAAAGAAGAAGATTATTCAAAGAAATACCAAAAACTGGATCAAATGGTCACCGATAAAAGCTTCACCTTTGGCTCTAATTTCTCATAAAGAATTAAACTCAACCCAGCTATTTGAAAAAATTTGTGAAGCTTTGGATAATAATATCATTCCGGCATATAAAGAAATCTCCTTTTTCAAAAATGAAGGAAATGTTAAAATCAAATCGTCATCAGCGGAAAAGCTTCTTGAAATCACCATGAGAGTTGAACATCTAATAGAAGGCCTAGAAGTCAAAAGATTTCAACCGAAAGTCCCTCGTATTCGCCTTGTTGGTACGAAATTTATGTTTGAATCTCCTGAAGTTTTATTATTGAAAATTTTCAAATTCAACAACTTCATGAATGAGAGAAACACTAATTTGGTTCAAAATAAACAAAGAGACAACATAAAACGAGATATATTATTATCAATTACACCAGCCGTGAGATCAAAACTTCAGGATGAAAATGGAATCATCACCATTGGCGTCAGAATAATAAAACAGTTGATCATTTGACATCTTATACTGTAGTCGGTGTCACAGCTTGGAACATTGGAAAAATCGTAATTCACAAGATGTTTGAAGTATTGTGCTGAGAATCACACTGAGAAATTCTGAAAACAGAAACTTCAAAATGTGCCTCATGTGGTGAAGAAGGTCACACCCCTGGAACTATTGATTGTCCTTAAGAAAAAAATGGAAATTGAAAGGTAAATCTTATGATTACCAATATTGATGCAGTAAATGCTTTAATATTGTTATTATTTGCTTTAATACAAATAATATTAATGAATCTCTGAATACAATGAGAACAAAATTAATAACAGTGATTAGCTGAAATCTGTTTTCTTTTTCTTTTTCTTATTTCAATTTTCTCAAATTCAATTTCTTTCACCAATTTCAATTCCGATTCTTTTAAAATTCAATTTCTTTTCAAATTTCAATCTCTCTAATTTTTCAAATTTAACTTTCAATATTTTCAAATTGTCTCTAATAATAATAATGAGATCAAGATAATTGTAATCAATAATAATAAACTCTCAAAGAAATTCTAATTAAATAGAATAACAAAATAATAAATGTTTCCTTATTGATTAGCTTGGAAATAACCACGATTGGGATGAGCTCCAAGAAGTGACAATCGGAGATCATTCCTAGGATCGGAAAACTGCTCATTCCTTGTAACAAGATTTAAATCCCCATTTCTGGGACAATCCTGAATAAAATCAATTAATTTTTCGAATTGATGAATGGACATATGACTGACGAAAAGCAAATCAATTTTAGTATGATCCAAATTAAAGTCATCAGCTATTTTTTTAAGAGCGTCAACGCTGCCAATATTTTCAGGAAGCTCGATTGAATGAAATCCATTAATAGACGGAAGTTAATAACAATATTATTATTGTCAGATTGACCAACAACAGGTACTCTCAATTGATTGACAGATGTAACTTGTAATTTTAGTCTCTGTAGAGATTGAGAAACCCAAGGTTGAGTTGAGACAGCACCAGAACCACTGTTATTATTGTTGGGAGCATTTCCAGAGGATTCACCACGTAGACAACGGACAATATGATCAAGATAATTGTCGATTGAGAATCTCCTGCACAATGTTGACAAATAATAATAACTTTATTAAATTCCATTCTCTCGAAACCAGACAGTTTTCTGAAATAAGGATGATTGAAGTCCACAGTACAATTAGGATAGAATGGACAATTTGTCTCTTTAATACCTCGGCGATTAACTCTTTTATGAAATGGACTATTGATTCTCACAGGTAAACAGGTACTACAAAAATCGCTGACAAAAATTCTGATTGTAACCACCGTCGTGAACCTGTGGTTTAACGGCTAAATTTTTACAAATTCCGCACAATAATAAATCCAAATGATCACTTCCAACAACTTGATCCTTTTTTATTATTGAAACCATTTTTTTTATCAATATTAACAATACAACAATCGAAAGAAACAATTAACAAATTAACAAACTAATCAAAAGAAATAGCTTTTTAAATAACTTAAAAAAAAGCGCAAAACAAAGTTCGTTTAAAATAACAAAAATAGATGGCGCTGATCACTATTAAAACATAAACAAAACAATGCTGCTAATTAATTTGAATCAACTAAATGTTAACAAATCTTTTGAATTAACCAAATTAATTATTGAAAAAACAATCAACTCTAATTCTATGATCTCAGTTATAAATGAGCCAAACAAAAGATTTCTAAGTGATAATATTCATCAAAGAAATGTTATTATTAATAATCGTACAGTTATAAGTTGTTCTGAAGACTTTACTTTAGAAAAAATTAACAAGGAAATAGATGATACCATCATGATAATTATGTGTAAAAATAATATGAAATTCAAGGTGATTGGAACCTACATACCAAATTCTAAATATCTACAATGGATTCAATTTAATCAGTTTGTTGACAAGTTACCATTATTATTTACTGGTGATGTGAATTATGAACACAAAAATTGGTCCCCAAGAGCAAAAGTAACAAGGATTGAAGTCGAGTCTTTTATTATAAACAATAATATGAAATCAGTGTTTGATGCAACATCATTGCCAACCTACAACAGGAATAATGTTATGTCTTGGATCGATGTGATACTGTTCAAAGATGCAAGAGTATTGGCTAAAGAAATCATAATTGTCAATAATAAAGACCACAATATGTTACAGTGTAAACTAGATGTTGAAAAGATTGAACATCAACCTCCGAGAATAATAAAAATAAATTCATGGAAATTAAAAATTCGACCAATGGACAATCGCCCCATTGATGCTCAACACACACTAATCAGTAACTGTCGACGGATCATCAACTTCCCCAATGAACATGGTCAATGGATATCCAAATCCAAAAAATCCATTCATATGAATGCCAATAGATCAATGCTTAGGAGAAAGAAAAATAGTAAAGAAAATAATAAACTACCTTTCACCATGGACTCAAAGAATTGCTGAAAAATCTAAACTATCATATTCTAAACAGAAAAACTTTAATGTTTTCATCAAATAATATACCTGAAAATTTTGATAATTCGATAAATCAACATCTTTCGTCTTTTACCAGTCAACGACCAAGATTTAAAGACAATGTTCTCGTTAAAAGATTTGATGGATTGCGACCGTTGGAAAGATCACGTTTATTATTGAATCGGGTATCAGGTAGCTCACTCGATGCTGATGATTTTAATGCTTCAACTTGGAAGATCTTTATGGAGAAAAACTCGAGTAAAATAATAAGAGTGATTGATGAGATATTTAAATGGGGTTATATACCTGAACCAGTAAGAGTATTCGGTGTTGGTTTGGTCCCGAAAACAGACAATGTTACTATTAGAATTGTCAAAGCTCCCAATTATTTACTCAAGCTTATTGATAAAATATTGGCTGATAGGTTGCAAGTTCTACTTTGTCAACTTATCGAAGATGAATCACAATATGCTTATACTAAATATCTCAAGACAAAAATTATTATTTGACCTACAATTTAAAAGAAATTTTAAAAACAAAATAATAATTTCGTTAGACATGTCGAAAGCTTTCGATATGGTGGATTTAACGAATGCATTAAATCGCATTGATAAAGTGGATCAACAATTGGCTTCATTATTAAAAACTATCTCAGCTAAACGATGGTTAAGATGGAATTGGAGGAAAAAATCTATTGGCGCTTAGAACAAGGAGCAACACCACAAGGAAATTCTAGTGGCCCCTTATTATTTATCATTGCGGCTGATGAAATAATAAGACGACTAAGAAGAAAAAACATCCAAATTCTAGGGTTCGCCGATGATATGTACGTTTTAGTGGAAAATGCCGATGAAATCGCGGAAAAAATGAAGGTCGTCGAAGCTGAATTCGCAACAATAAATTTGACAATTAACAATTCAAAACTCGTATTTACAATATGAAAGGTGATCTGGAGCTGAAAATATTGGGTTTCAATGTTCAATCAAAGTTTAAGATGAGCCGCTTAATTCAGAATCTACAAGAGCTGTCAGTTAAAGTAATTGGACGCTTTGGTCAATCGATTCCGTTGTTGAAATATCTTGACACAAGATATATCAAAATGCTTATTAATAATATTATTATTACAACCCTGCTGAATGTAGGATTTGAATGGCTATATTCAAATTCATGGTTTGAAAATGCGATAAAAATTCAACAGCAAGTTCATAGAAACTTCGCCTTTCTGTTTGGACTTAGAAAGGCGAATAAATGGTCGATGATAATGGCTTTCGACACGATTTCTATTATTTCGACTCAGATCAAATGGCTCATGAATTGGGATATCGAATGGAATGGAAGTGAAATATGGAAAAGGCAGTTTGAAATAATAACATTAAATTGATAGATCGAGCGCCAATTGGATACAATGAATATATAATAACTCACTCTAAATTGAATTGTTCATGTGAATTTCCAATAGTAACAATTGATATAAGAGAGGGTAAAATGAAACTTGAATTAGGACAACAAATAATAACCATTAATATTGGTATACAAAATTCACCATCAATCTTAAAATTAAAAGCCTTCAGTGTTATCATCAAATTAGCTCGGAAAAATTTGCTAACACATATACCGATTGATAAGAGTCTTTGGTCAACATTATTCAGATTTTCATCTCCAGCATCATGGGATTTAGCTGGTTTGATCTTTGCTGATCATCATTCATCATTGGTATTCTGCATCAAATCGTGGAGTTTTGGTCATATTGAAGAGGCAGGGATGGTGGTGGATATCAAATGGACTTCGAGATTGGAGATGAATAGATTGATTAATACAAAAGCAAATGAGATAATCAAAGCGATGAGAGATGAAGATAAAAGCAATCCTGATTTAATTGTGAATCCAAATATGAACAAAAATATTTATTATTATTCACCATATAAACGAGTAACCTGGTTTCGGAAATTAACTAAAATCAGTTATGTTAATTGCTGTGGAAAAATAATAATTGGTTACAACACTGCCTTGAACACAAAGATCATTCAGAAGCTATTTTGGAAAGAGAAATCACCTGGTCATGGGAACTAAAAGATGAAGATGGAATAAATCGCCGAACAAAAATGAAATATTTAATAATGATTGTCAAAAAAATTCTGGAAATTCAAAATAATATACTAAATTGTAATTGGATTATGTTGTAACACAAGGCTGAAAAGCCTGGGGGGTAATTTTTGAATTACCCAGCAACAAAGCCACGTCTTTGTTGCTCAGTGATACGACATTCGATCACTAATAATAAAATTCTGTGAGTTTATCTTTTTCGCTTCAACTGTTCATCTGTTACTTGATTGTTACTTCATTCTAAATTGGTTAATTCTAATTTCAGGCCTTTTCTATTTAATCGCAGGCTCTACGTTTACCTCACTGATCACTGGTTTGCTCTTTGACTAAATTGTTGATTATCTAGTGTTTGTTTACTTGTCAACATTATTTCATCATTTGGTTGAAACGCATTTTTGTTTACCTGTTTTCTTCACTATAAAGGGTGTACGTTTTAAAACACTTAGAGTTCTGAATCAACACTAAATCTTATTGGATTTTCATTAAATTATCAACAACAAATGAAGGAAATTAGAGATAAAATTAACATCAACACCATCTCTTAGAGATTCAATTAAATTAAGGAAAAACAATCAACAGGTGATTACCTTTGTTTACCTCTCAAATTAGTCTTACCTTTTGTCACCTTTATTCATTCTGTGGTCATTTTGCGGTCAATTGTGGTCATTTTGCTTTTTTTGTTATTATTTCAGTTCACTTTTGTATAATGTATCCAATTGAGGTCAGAAAATTCGCTCGGCAAGAGTATTATCGACACGAGCTTCTCATTAGTGTAAAATCGGAGCTTTTGAATCATGTTGTTGAAGAAATCAACCGAAAATTTAATTTACGGGTCCATTCAAGTTTTGTGACTAATATTTTAAAAAAATTTGACGAAACGGGATCGATTGAGCCTGCTAAACGCGTCCATGGGGAGTCAATTTGTGAGCGGGAAATAATTTCAATGATTGAAGAAGACGATGAGCTTTCAATACGGCAAATCGCTTTGATATTGGACGTATCAAATGATACGTGATGAAAGTTTTAAAAAAAATGGGTACAAAGCTTATAAACCCGTTGAGGTACAAAAATTGACAGCAGCTCACAAAAATAGGAGATTAGATTTTTGTACCTATTTCCTTGCTTCCAACATCGATTCCCGAAAAATCTGGTTCTCAGACGAGAAGATGTTTTGTCTTTCCGGTAGAGAGAACCATCAAAATAATAGGCGGTGGAGGAAAGAAAGGCCAACCTTTTTTAACGAGAGAGTAGCGCATCCAGTGAGTGTCCATACTTGGTGTGCTTTATCATCAATCGGTATTATTGGCCCATTTTTCTTTGAAAATAACATTGATCAATTTGAGTACCAGAAGATGATTGATCTCGAATTTATCCCGGCCTTGCAACAATATGGTGGACCTGATAACTTTTGGTTTCAACAAGACGGAGCTCCACCTCACTGTACAAACCAATCACTTGAGTTGTTGAAGGTTTATTTTAATAATAGGCTTATTAGTCGTCGGGCAGATATCGAGTGGCCTGCAAGTTCACCAGATCTTAATCCTCTCGATTTTTATTTGTGGGGTCATTTAGATAGTTTGGTCAAAAAGAGTAGACCCAAAACTAAGAACGAGCTCAAAGCCAGCATAAAAAATGAAATTGCGAAAATAAACACAAATAACTTCTAGTAGATCAATGTTATTAATAATTTTAATCGCCGCTTGGAAATTTGTATTGATCAAAATGGTGGACATTTTTGTGACTTGTTATGAAATTAAATTTTGATTTTTGTTTTTTGTTTAATTGAATCTCTAAGAGATGGTGTTGATGTTAATTTTTATCTCTAATTTCCTTCATTTGTTGTTGATAAATTAATGAAAATCCAATAAGATTTAGTGTTGATTCAGAACTCTAAGTGTTTTAAAACGTACACCCTTTAATAACTGTTTTTTATTTTCTTGTTTTCCTTTTGGTGTTTAAATTACATTGAGCTCTTCGTTTTTTTTTTCTTCTAACTTGTGATATTTCTGTTCGTTTATCTCAATTTTGGTGATTATCTTTTAGTTAACCTGGTGTGAGATATAAATAACCATGTACAAGGTTGATGAAGTTGATGATTACACTTTTCTTAATCATCCTCAGCAAGGATCTTCCGGTTATCTATTGGGCTCGGATGAATCTAATTCCAATAAAGCTTGGCTTGAAAGGAGACAACAGCTATTGGAAGAGAGGAAAAAAATTGAAGACAGAACTTTAGAATCATCTAAAAGGTCATTGGGAGCCTTGTATGAAGCTGAAAGTACTGGTATTGAAACGGCTCAAGCCTTAGTCCATCAAAGGGAACAATTAGAGAATACGGAAAGAAATTTGGACACAATTAACAACATGATGAGACAAAGTCAGAAACATTTAAATGCCATGAAAAGTATATTTGGTGGATTCAAATCAATGTTTTCTAAGAACAGTGATCAAGCCAATAAGCCTACACCCATTACCCCAATTGATAATCGCTCTAAATCAATCTTAGCCTCTAACCTTGAAAATATCCAAAGAGAGGCCTCTCAAAGTAGTGCTCAAAATCATCCAGCACTTGCCAATCGTGGACTTGATACATCAGGTGAAAATTATCTAAACTGTTCAATCATTTTGATTGACTGATTATTGTTTAGCAAACGTTGAACATAATTAATCTGATTAACTATTGAATTTCTAATGATTTTTCTTTTCTTCTCAAATATATGTATCATGTTTCCTTTGGTTTTCAATTTTTCAATAGGTTTTCGATTTGATGATGACAATGATGGACCTACAAGTCCAACAAGGGTTAAAGCTCCTGGAGATAGATCACAAATGGTAGAGCAACAATTAGATCGTAATCTTGATGAAATGGGCCTTGGATTAAGCCGATTGAAAAACCTAGCAGCCGGATTATCACAAGAGATTGATGAACATAATGAAATGCTCCCTAGGATTATGATGAAAGCCGAACGAGCAGAAGACACTTTACAATATCAAAATAGACAAATTAATATACAATTGAAGAAATAATCGTTCTCAAGTGACTTGTGCCTGTTTCACCGAGAAGATTTTTCTTCTTGAACCAGAAAAATTCAGTTGAATTCATTTCCATCACCATCAAAAAAAGAATCACAATTTAGTGAAAATGTTTTTTTTTCCTTCAAACTCGTTCCATTTTCAATACATCAATTTAACAATGAAAACAGAACAAAGCAAAGTGAATTGATTGTAAGATTATTTCATTTGATGTACACATGATTTAATTTCCTGTTGATTGGTTGATTGATTATCAGTAAACTCGATGATCAGCTAATCCGACTGATGGATTAACCATCAAACAAAACGCAAAGACATTTTTACAATTTAATGAGCCAAAATTATTGTAACACTGATGCTTAACTATATTTACAATCAATTGTAGTTACCAAACTGTACACAATCAAATTGTTTGTTTCAATTTCATGACAATAATATTGTGATTATTATTTTAATCCAGTTTCGCAACAATTTATTTCTCTCAAAGCATTTTTATTGTATCACAATCAATAACAATTATCTTTCCGTTATTTATCATATTAACATTGATTAATTGCTTCTCAATGATAATCATCATGATCAAAGAATCAATGTCATTTAATGTTAACAATTAACTAGATAATTTTCAATTTACAATTATCTTCATCCAATTCAAATCGCTTCAAGCTAATTATGATTTATCGTGAAAATTTAATTCTAGATTGTCATTGAATTTTAATTCAATTTAACAAAACAAAAACAATTTTATTAATCATTTCCATTAATGATTCTTAATTATTATTACAATTGGATTGTATTACTAAAATTATCCGATCAATTACTAAACAATCAAATAAATCACGATCAATTTATGTTGTAAAAACAACAATCAACAACTTTTTAGTTAATTGATTAGATTGATCTAATTGGAGTTAAATCAGATCATCATTCAGAGAGATTATAATTATAATCAATTAATTAATCGTCACTGAATTTACAATAGTTGAATCATTCTAATTGTAGGTATTTTTGACGTTACCATTTTAATCACAATTAACTAATGATTAACTATGAATCTTTTCAGGTCCATTAATTGAGCTATTAGATTATTTGATTGAGGCTAATAAAGATTAATTATGATTGATTGTTTAAGAAAATCGCCCTTGACTTTCACCATTAATTAAAATATAATCACAATTAGAACAACAATTAGATTAAATTGTAGTTTTCAAACTAATTTTTTTAATAGTCTTACCTGTTTATCTTAATCACCATGATTAGTGAAAAAAGTTTTTAAACATTGTGTGTAATTATTGATAAGATTGATCTTTTTAATTGTAAGTTGAAGATTTAAATACCTATTAAGGAATTACCAAAATGATAAGCAAATTAATTAATCATCTTTAATCAAGGTAAGAATATAATTAATCTCGTTAAACCTTTGCCATTAGCGAAACCAAAACAGTTACAATATAAATAGTCTATGAAAATGAATGTGACAATCAATTGATTCAACGAGTAGTTCAACAAGTATATTTGATATTCTATTTTAATTGTGATCATTAATTGTTGATTAGTAAATAACTTGAAGTAAAATGGTTCTCGAAGTCTATGGAAACACTGGTTCACCTCATTGTCGAATTGTTTTTGCTGTTCTGAAGCATTTAAAGATTCCCTATGAACAGAAAACACTTGATATGAGGAACAAGGAACATCTTCAAGCCGATTATCTCAAGGTAATTACAATTTACTCACAATTAATCAGTTAATTGTCAGTTTGTTTTCTCTTTTCATTCCTCTTAACAGTTAAATCCATTTCACACAATACCAACAATCAATGACGATGGTTTCGCTGTATTTGAAAGGTATTTTTCGATTCGATTTCTGAACAGTTCAATTAGTTAAATTCGTATCATCTTTTTCGTTCTAATCGAGCCATTGCTGTTTATTTGATTGAAAAATATTCACCTGACAATCAATTGTATCCAAATGATGCCAAAAAACGAGCAGCAATCAATCGTTGGTTATATTGGGATGTCGCTAGTTTCCTTAAATCATTACAATCTTACAATGGACCTTTTCTGTTTGGTAATGTTGATAAACCCGATGAAAAAGCGGCTAATGAAATTCTGGACAAAGTTAAAACTCTTGACGGTCTTTTGAGTCAATCTAAATACATTAATGGAGACAATTTAACATTGGCTGATATTGGATTAGCGATCACTTTTGCTTCAATCAACGCGACCAATTTAGATACAAAACCGTTTGAAAATGTCAACAAGTGGTTCAATCGATTGGAAAATGATTTGCCTGAGGTTTGGTCGGAAATTATTGTCAAACCAAATGAAATGTTGAAAAAACGATGGACTGATAAACTTTCGGCTTCCAAATGAATGCTATTCTTGTCATTGGTGAAACGATTTAAGAGAACGTAGAAATTTAATAAAAAAACTAGTTTAAATTGAGTGAGTTCTCTGCAATTGTTTATACATTGTGTGTAATTATTAATGATTAAACACAATTAAATACGAAATTTCTCGTTAAAAACAATATTTTTGTTTTGTAATCAGGTAGATCAACTGGCCAATCGAGAAACCATTAAGATCGGTATCTTTTCAAAAGGTTGATTAAAACAATGATCCATAAAATTGAGTTCAAAGACAATATTTTCTGTAAAAGAATTAAAATCCATCCAAATCGCATCATTTCTTAATCTACCTCCAAACTTGATCTCAATGGATCGACCACTTTCCTTGCAGTAATCGCTCAGAAGATCAGCTGCTTTAGATGTTATTTTTGGAGATCCTTGGAAATCAAGTAGCTTAACTTTCGGTAATAATTTCACGAATTCAATAATATCGTCGTTATCGATATCATTAGAATTTCGGATCGCAAGATTCACCAGGTTCGGAAATTTCGCAAAAATGTCGGAATACGGCAAACATTCCTCGTAGGGATTTTCCAATTTCTAACATCAGAAACCCGTTACAACTATTAAATTTCAAAAGTTAAAATTGTAAATTACAAACAAATAAAACACTTACCTGTAGAATGACAAGATCACGTAAATTGAGGTTTAAGTTTTTAGAATCCATGATACATTTCTTGCTACGATGGGCAAGGTAAGCACTTTCCAGCGATGGACAGAAATCCATAAAGTGAAAGCCATCAAAATCGTTTTCTAATTCTCTATCATTTTCTGAATCATATTCAAGTATCCTAAGATTTGGTATAATTTCACCAGAATAAACTTCAAAGTCTAATATGAGAGAAAAGAGAAAAAAATAATAATAATAATCGTACAAAATTCTCTTAAATATAATATTCCTTACGTTGACCTTGATATAAATGAAGTCTTTGTAAATTGTTTAAACTTCGGCCATATCTTGATAACACTTTTAACGATCCATTACGAATGTATAATTGCCTCAATTTACTAATGTCAAACGGATAATTCTTATTATGTAAAAGATAAGAGCAAACGAGCATTTCAATGTTGGGAAAACACAACAACAGGAACAAATCAATGCAACCCTTTTGAACAACGATTCCCTTGATATTTAAATGGTTCTGTCCAATTTCATTAAGTTTATCAATGGTTAAATCACGATGATGTTTAAAATTAACATCCAAAAGCTTTTGAATAGAAAGAGAGAAAGACAAAATTAAGTCAACCTGGTCAATGAATAAGACACAAAATTTACCTGGACACTTGGTAATAACCGAGTAATATTGTTCCTTATAAAATTTGGAGCTCTTGTAATATATTCAACCTCATCCGGACCAGAGTAACTAGACCAACCTATTGTAGAAAAGAATATTAAAACAAATATTCTTTAAAGATTCTCTTGTTGCTTACACAATAGTAATTTCTTTCTGTTGTATCTAATGGACAATAGGCTTGACCACCTTGAACAAACTTGAAGGGAGAGAGAAGAAAAAAAATGAAAACATAACATTAGATTAAAATTGTAAGATAGCAATTAACATGTATAATTAAGACTTACCTTGGGATATATTGAGTTGATCATAGAAATCATTAATATAACTGAATATTAACAGTAAACAGTCATCATTTAAATCATTAATCAACATGTTTAATTAACCGAAACTAAATCCAATGAAAAAAAAGCTAAATTATCTGGAAATGGAATCACTAATCCAACGACACAAAAGAATCACACCAATAATGTAACTTTAAATATTCTGAATTTTTACCGATAGTTAACTGATTAAATTTAAATTTGAAAGAATAAGAAATTAATTATAAAGATTAGATAAAAAGATTACTTATAGAAACACAAGAGAATTAGTTAATTGTTACAATTTAATTGTCACAATTTTAAGCGCTCATAAAGTGATCCAAGTCCATTCGGTATTCGGATCAAATGGATCAAAATCCAAGAAAAACGGTGGTGCCATCTGGTTGTAGAATCGAATAAAGATCAAAACAAACAATAATTTCGTTTGTTTTTCTGCTTTGGGATTGAGGAGATTTTTAAATTCTCACATTACTTTGATTTGGTTTATTTCAATTAAATTAAATTTTAATTTTTCTTTTCCCCATATCACTTGAGTGATTATAATCGGTGCTTTAAAGTGTTGTGTTTCCATTATTTCCAAGAAGCGTAATTAATATTGAAACATGAGTGAAATGGATCTTGAAATATTGGTGAGTAAAATTTCAAGATCTCTTTGTTAAGTATTCTTGGATGGAAGCTTTTATTTCATTTTTTTCTATTTTCTTTTTTTTCCTTATTTTTTTTCTTCTTCTCTCTATTTACTTTGGTTTATTCATTTTTTTATTGCTGTTGCTGTTTAGGGTCCATTGGATGAGGCCAGAAAATATCTTTCATTAGGAGATTTTACTATGGCTCAAAGATCTCTTCAATCTGCTGACCAGATAAATAGTAAAACTGATGATTACCTTAAAGAGATGGAAAATTGTAAGGCAGTAATTAAAGCTGATGGTGATTGTCATAAAAGTTATGGTAAAAAAGATTATCGAGCTGCTTTATTTTATGCGAATAAAGCACTTACAACTGCTGATAAGTGTAATAGGCTAAAATTGATGAAAGCCGAGTGTTTAGCTTTACTCAAAAGGTATGCGGAAAGTCAAGATATACTAACCAAGCTTTACCAGGAAGATCCAAAGAATCCGGATATATTTTATATCAAAGGAATGATGTTATACTATCAAGATAATGTCGATAAAGCTTTCAGTAGTTTTGCCGAAGCTCTTAGACTGTGTCCAGACCATGCAAAGGCTCAATTAGCCTTTAAAAGAGCCAAGTTGTTGAAGAGTAAAAAGGAAGAAGGTAACATCGCCTATAAAGCAACTAAACTGGATGAAGCTCATAAAATTTATACCGACTGTCTCACAATTGACCCACTGAACACAGTGACAAATGCTAAATTATACTTTAATAGAGCTCTTGTTTGGGCGAAGGTAAAAAAATTCATTCTTTCATGCTTGTCCTCTTTTCCTCCTCCTCTCTCCATCCTCTTCTCTTTCTCTTCCCTTACTCTCTCTCTCTCTCTTCACTTGATTTCATATTGTTTTTCCTCTTGTCTTCGTTACTACTTACATTTCTTTCTCGATCTTTCTTTTTGTTCCTCTTTCTTTCTCTCTTTCTCTCTCTTTCTCTCCCTCTCTTTACACATTCCTCTCTTTCTCTCTTTCTTTATATGTTTTTTTTTTGTTTATTTTTCTAATTGTTAAAATTTTTAGAAAGGTAAACTTCAAGAGGCTATTGCTGATTGCACCAACGCCATTAAGAACGATGAACATTATATCAAAGCCTATCTGAAACGTGCTAAACTGTACTTGGATTCAGAGATGTATGAAGAAGCTGTCCGTGAATACGATTTAGTCTACAAGAAAGATAAAACAAAAGGTAATTAACTGTTGTGATGATTATTTCTTAATTAATAATAATAGTACTTTATTCATTCATCCAAGTTAATTTGTAATTTTCTTTCTTTCATGATGTTTACCTTTTTTTGTGATGAATGAATAGTTTTAATTTTAGCATGTGATCTAATTTATTTTTTCTTTCTCTTTTAATCTTCTATCAACAACCTGATATGTTATTTTAAAAACGCACGGACAACAACAATTAATGGAATACCAATTAATATAAAATTTGTAGAACACAAAAAACTTCTAGAAGAAGCAAAATTAGCCTTAAAGAAATCCAAGCGAAAGGATTATTATAAGATTTTAGGAGTAAAACGAGATGCAAGCCAAGATGATATAAAGAAAGCTTATCGTAAACGAGCACTTATACATCATCCAGATCGTCACTCGAATGCAAGTGAAGATGTAAAAAGAGATCAAGAGACTCAGTTCAAGGCACTGGGAGAAGCATATAATATCCTTTCTGACCCAAAGAAACGAGCCCGGTACGATTTAGGTTACGATGAAGATGGATCAAGTTACTCAGAAGTTTCACCCAACGATATTTTCAGAAGTTTCTTCGATATACCAACTTACCACGGTAATACCTATTCTACTGGTAGTAATAGTAATTTCCAATATCCAAATTACAATTTTAACTTTGCAAATTCAAATACCTCTTATTCTTGAGAATCGAAATGATCTAGGAAATACACAACAACAACATCGTCGTAAACAAAAATATCTCGAAGAAGAAGTCGATCAAATGTATGGTTCTTTTTTTTATAATCTTGATTTGACTTTCTTTACCCTTTTGATCCTCCTTATACATCCCAAATTTCCCGTTTTTGATTCATTTTATCATCTTCAACCCACAAATCAATCAACACCACGGAAAACAACACATCCCTAGTAACCAACAACAACAACAACAACACCAACAAATAAAACCCACTCTTTAGTAGTGATCATTTCTTTTCACCTCAAGTAAAAATCATACAATTGTAATAAATGGACATTGAAATCTAAATGTCCTCTTATATACATATTAATCTCTGATTATCTTATTGCAAAGAAGTGATAAAGTATCAAATCTTTAATTGTTCCTTTGCATTCCAATTTATCATTTAATTATTTGGACAAAGAGTGACCATCAACTCTAACATTAGCTTGAAAAACTTTGATAACCATTGATAACTTTGAAAAAATGTAAATTGTTTCAACTTAGCAATCTAATGTATTATATAAACGACACAATTTAACTTGTGTAAAATCAAATATAATTACAATTTAATACAATTTTACTTTTCATCTGCAATAACATTTAAACTGTTGCAACTCTCCTTCTCCTTCCCATCAAACTTAATTAGTTAATTAAAAAGCAATAGTTGAGTACAATTGTAATTGTAAAATTATTGTCAAAAAAAACCACTGATTTTGTGTTGCAAAAAAAAAAGATTGTACATATTTAATTGCTGATCCAATTGCTGATTATCTTTAATTATCGTAAAACAAATCATGTAACAATCACTTAATTAAACAACAAGTGTTGTTTAATGATTAATCATTTTTAATCGTCCAAACTGAAGGAGTCATCATTAATCAATGTATTAATAAAATTTGGTGGCTTCCAATCAATAACTACAAATAACTGTAAATCAGTGTAAATGTTTAATTGTGATTAAATTTTTGATTTTTTTTCTCCACAAAAATCAAGGATATCAACTCGAATGAATTTATCGATTATTAGATTGGATTAAATTGTTGTTCGTTATTCTAAATTGCGAATGTAGGTGTCACCCTGAACCCTGAACTTTTTTCCATGATGAAATTAATGATTTTCATGTTGGATTCGAGACTGTTGCTGATTCCTTTTCCATCGTCATCTCTCCTGTTGAACTTTTATTTCCCATTCTTTCAATGTCTATCTTAGAGATTATGTGTTATGGATAAATGGCAGCAACCAAAATGTTCTCAAAATTCAAAGGTTCAACTGTAAACTCGAATCTATTCGAGGCCAATTACCCTCGAGGTCCAACTAATTACAATCCTTTCGACACTAATCCAATTTCGCAATATTTTGATATTGGAAATCAGTCCGGAAGTGCTGGACCAGAATTAGCCTGGAAAATATATGATGCAACCCGAAAACTGGATAAAAAGGTAAAGTAACAATTTAATAAACTTGGAAAATGAAATAATAAGAAAAGAAAGAAAAAAGTTTCATATTCTCATGAAAAAATTTCTCAATTTGTTTCTTTTGATATTCGTAATTGTATCAATTTCTTCATTCCAATCAACTTGATATACATTATTCTCATCGATAAATCAACAGGAAGCATCAGTATTTTTCTTCAACAAAAAATCAGTTGATAAACTTCATAAACCGAAACGGAAAGAGGCCATTTCAGAGATACTCAAGTTTAGTGCAAAACAATTGGATCGTTATCGACACCCGAAAATATTGACCCTTTACCACCCGGTAGAGGAATCGCCCGAAACTCTTGCCTTTGCAACTGAACCAGTAATGGGAAGTCTTGCCAATGTACTTGGATACCTAGAGGATAGATTACCTCAGAATTTGAATTCACCCATCAAGCAATATTCATTTCTCGAGTTCGAGGTTAAATATGGACTTTTACAGGTAAGAATTTACTTTTTTTCCTTCTCTTTGCTCGTTTGCATGTAACAATCAACACCAAACATTCAAAGATTAACATGATTATTATATAAAATAAATCGCATCAACTAAAACTTGAATTGTAACTTAGACTAAATCTTCAACTAACAGAACAGTGATGATTAATCATAGATGATGATGATGATAATATTAACTGTAAATATATTTTATCATCATTATTTTATGGATAAAAAAGTTCTGGTAAAAGTAGAACCATGAAAATGATGCAAGGAAAACTTAATAAGTGAAACCATATTAGATTCTGTTCATCACCATGATACTTACCTGATGTTCAACTTATCCTAATCCTTGCGAAAATCAAATAAACCTGAGCTTAAAAAGCGCTTATCTTTTTCTCATCTTCAATTCTAAGAATAGAATCCCTTTTGTTGCACCTAAAGGTGAGAAGGAAAAGTTCAGAGAGAGAGAGAGAGAAAATTGAGTATTGAATAAATATATGAGAAAGAAAAGGAAGATGATAAATATAATGGTGATGACATAAGAAGAAGAAGATAAAAACTATTCTCTCTTCGTGGAATCAAAATGGCGACCAGACTTTCGAGGAGACATTTAGGACTATTGTCAATGAACGAACTCGACTTTTCCTCTCAATTTCACATTCTTATCCTTGTCTAGTGAATTTCTTATTGTTTTCTTGGTGAAAAAGCACATGAAGAGGATACAAAAGATGATCAACTGATCATGATAATCATGAAATAGAAGGTGAAAGAGATGAAGAAAAAAATTCTTTTTACTCTTTGGTTCATTGTTCACAGTTATGGTGAAAAATGGTGATGAAAAGATATTAACTTCCTCATAACCCACACACACTCTCTCTCTCTCTCTCTCTCTTCACCCACTTCCACCTTGAAAATTTCCACCACAATCGATGATATAATCTCGTTGATTGTTGACCAATCGTTGTTTGTTTCTTTTTAACAATTAAACCTGTTGATTTACTTTTCCATTTGTAATATTAATCTATTGACCCAATTTCATTGATGGTCATTGAATAGTCTCATCAAATTGCTTTGGATAATCAATATATTATAAACACAGAATCCAATCGGAAACCTAACAATATAAACATGTATATATAAAGTTACTTTTAATTTGACATAATTGTTCACTGATTCAGTTAATGATTTAACAAGATGATTAAGATGATTTCCCATGGATGATGAGTTTTTGTATTCATTTAATGTGTTTACCTTGACAATTGAAAATTGTCTCTTGTTTATTTTCATCTTGATCATCACAATCATTTGATTGATGTCAATTAACAATTTATCAAATAGTTGATTGTCTATTCAACACACAATTGATAATATGATTTACTTGTTCAAATAATTCCCCGATGATATGATATTGTAGATCTCGTTGATTAGAAATCCATTTTATCAAAGCTTTGAAACAACTTTTGATTGTTCAAATTAATTCCAATGGGTTTCATTATCTAATCAACTTGTCTCAATATCTCTATTTTAATTGTCACAATCAAATCAATCAATTGCAAAGTAAACCTAAACATTTATCTTGATTAGCAATTTTAAAATCAATCAATATTAAAATTGAAAAAACAACAGCAACTCAATCAACTTCAACTATCATAGTGAAAATTAATCAGCTAATATCAAATTAAATTGAGATAAGATAATTAATCCAACAATCTAATTACAGGTTAATCGGATTGAAGTTTAACAATTAGCTCTCTCTCTCTCTCTCTCTCTCATGTCTCTATCTGGTTTCCAATTCAATGATTATCAGGTTAATTGTTTACATGGAGGAACATTAAAAAGTAAAACAATAAACCAGTTGATTTACTAATTGAAAGTAAATTAGTTGATTGCTAGATCTCAGAAATACAGATAAAGAAAATGATTGAACAAAAAAAACTTAAAGAAAATCAATTGGATCCAAATGTCCATTGATAAAAACATTAAACTTTCGTGAAAGTTTTAACCAAGAAGCAAAATAATCCTTATTACCTGGATAATCCTCTTGAGGATTATCTCAACAGTTGATATTATTAATATTACCTTTTCTTACCTTTAATAAATAATATTTTCTTATAACATCAGCATCTTCATCTTCTTTGTATTTCTACTTTGATGATTGTTACTTGTGTCAAATAAAAGGCTATTGAAAGCTGAAGGTAAAAAAATGACAGAGAAAAGTAGAGAAAAAAAATCGAATAAAAAAGAGAATAAAAATTTGATTTCGAATATACAACTAACCTTATCTTTTTACTCCATCCACTATATTCTACCTGTTCGACAGGTAGAAGATCTAAAACTTCAAGCTATCTATTAGCAAGGGAATTGAATGTATATACTTTATTTCCATGAGTAGTAGTTGGCCTCTTTTTCCTGTTCCGTTTATTGTCTTCTTCTTATCAAGAGGTTACCTTGTTTTCCATTCACTTTTTTTTTCATCATCTTTTATCCTTTCAACCTTCATCCTTTTCCAAAGAAAAGATAGAATATAATTCTAATTTTATCATCATCATGGATAAAAAGAAGAAGGCGAAAAGAGAAAGAGAGCAAAAATACATAAAAAGGATAAAGATGACGATGAAAAAGAAGAAAAAAAAAATTATTAGACTTTATTCCGATTCCATAGAGACTTACACCTTAATTCAACTGGAATCATTTGGTGTCTCTTTTCAAACTGATTCCCAGGTAAATACATTTACGAATATAATTTTATTGTCTTAGCCTTACTTAGAATTACATTTATATATGTATATACATATCGACTATAGATTGAATATTGATAATATTATCTACCAAATACTAAGACAGGGAGACAATTTTTCGCTCCCTGAGCCCTGAAAAAAAGGTAATGTTACCTGATAAGAGTATATAAAGAAATGTTATCTCTCTCTCTCTCTCTCTCTCTCTCTCTCTCTTCATTGTATTCCTGATATAATGATCTTAAGGATTCAATGTGTCTGACTGTCATCTCATTGATACTTACTTACCTTTCACAAGAGATGATAAAAAATTTACCTGAGTAAACTTATCATCTTTATCTTTTACTATTAAGATTTGCTACATATCATTATCATCATCAGAACTTTATGATCATCATTCTCATCATCATCTCAACCATGAAAGATATTAAACTGAGAAAAGATGATCACTTTAATCATTGATATCCCTTCTCATTAGTCTCTATTTCCAATCTAATTGCATTCATATGTAATTAGATTTTTTTTTCTTCTTCATCATCTTCATGGTATTGATAAATTTTTCTTAATCACTAGTATAATCATCATTTCCATGATAAATACTAGTAATATGATGTGATAAGTAAATGAATGTACATATTATACTTATTAATTTACTTGTGTCTCAAACTCTCATCAGAATGATCATTTAAATCTGTAATCAATTGATTTGAATGATTTTCAATGAAAACTTTGATTACAACTAATAAATGATTAACCTTTTCATGATGATGAACATTTCCTAAGATTGTTTCATTGTCTCATCTCACCAATTAGCTGATCATATTTCCTATCACCATAGAGCTCAAAGTTCATACATGATGATTACCGTTAACTTGAAACATTATATATTGTCTGTCTCATTTAATCACAATCAACTCCCCACCCACCGGTTTACACACCCATGAAAATCATTCACTTAGCAAATGAACATTTCAATCAGCTATATGATAATGATAATAATATATTTACATGAAAAGTTCATTCCAATCTGATCAGAAAAGGTTATTATCTGAAATAATGAATCCTCATTATTGATAAATATCATGTAGTGGTTACTAATGATCTAGAACCAGCGATCACAATTAACTCATAATAATAATAACAATAATCTAATAATGATGTTGAAATGAATTTAATCAACTCTCTCACTGTAGGAATCAATTTCTTTGGAAGAGAAATAAAAAAATTTTCCTCTTTAAAAGAATCAAATAAACTTGTAACTTGATTATCATCAGTAACTTACAGGGTAGAATCATGATGATGGAAATCAACATTTAAACCTTAGGATTTTCATGTAATCGTCATGATCATGATCAGGGTGATAAAAAGTATGAGGCAATAGGAAACAATGAGAAACAGTTAACCGAGCATAAAGTGAGTCTTCAACTAAAAATATCAGAATTCATTCAAAGTATATGTTCATATTGATGGATATTCTAGAGTATTTTGAACATTCTGAATACATGAATGTTATATTTATATTCAGATTCTTTCTTTGTTAATATTCTGATTTTTTCTTCTTCCATTCTCAAGATGAAGCAAAAAAGAAGCGAAATGTTGTATCTAACAAGTGTGTTCACTTGATGATAACGATAACAATAAACATGATAATACAATCACTTGAAATCTCTGGTCTTATCTCTGAATTCTCTGAATTTTATCTCTCTCATTCTTATTTCCATGTTAAGAAGTAGAGATTGTTTTTTTCTTCATCTTCTTTTTACTTTATTTTCCACATCATTTTGATGATCCATTCATGGAGATAATAAATAAATCGCTCCCCTGTTTCATCACCTTTATCACTTTTCCTGAAAAGTTGTTGAAATTATTTTTATCATGAATCTTGACGATAATAAAAGAGTCAAACAATATATTGTTAACCATCATGACAATTGTAACTATTTCATGTTAATCTAATTCTCTTGAAATTTAAAGAAATGATAGTGATCATTATATTAGATTACAGGTTTCGTTATGTTTTCATCATGTTTTCAGATCAACAATCATGAACTTCTTGTATAGACTTAAACCTTATCATGTATGAATAGTAAGTGAGAGAGACAAAAGTTATCATTAGTTTCCAAGTGAATTCAGTATGAAAATGAACTTTTTACCTTAAGGGCCTACACTTGATCATCTCTCATGAACATGTGAGTCTTCAGAGTTCAGAGTTTCCATAATAATTTAGTGGTTAATTTACTTTTTTTCACCTTCCTCTTGATTCATGTTC